AGCAATCAAGAAGACAAAAGAGAAGATCTGCATACCCCACCCAAACTCTAGGAATCAGCCCCATCACCTGGGAAGCAGGATATGATAACAGAATTAAACCACAGATATCAAGGCCTAGACAAACACTCAGAAACAGTCTCAAGGTTCATGCCACAGGAACAGGAAACTATTCCAAACAAAAGGCTAGGGGGGGTATAAAACCTACTGCCAATGTGCTCAATCTCTCTCTGTGCTCTCTGCCCTTCTCTCTCCTCTGCACTTTCCTGAAGAACCATCTTTCTGCAATAAACTGTAACCTTCTTCCCAAAGCAGTCACCATGTTTGCTTATTTATTCCCGGCTTGGATGAACCAGGATGAAGACTTTACTTCTAACACGTGGGTTTTGGGTTGCAATTTGGGCACTCGGTCTCTAAAAAGTTCGCCATCACTGTTCTATGTTTTGTATTTCTCCATCTGAAAGAAGATACACTTTGAAGGTCTTGATTTATCAAGCTAAGCAGACTGTTTCATCTCCATCAGGTATTTGGACCGTCAGGAGGTCTATGTTGAGAAAGAAGATGCCTGTGGCTTAAAATTAAAGAGAAGAAATATAACAAATAGTCTTAATCCTGTTAAAACATAACTTGATCATAACTAAGAAGACACAAGGCTTATTTTATACTGAAATATAATTGCCAACATCACACAAAATAAATTCAGAAAATGATGTGAATAGATTCCAGGCATGAGCCAAGATTTAGAGAAGGGATATTCTTGGTGACAAATTCTTTAGTTGCCTGTGAATGACCAATCATCAATAAAAAGAAATATCTAAAGAATCTAAAATATCACTTGTATCACTAATAATTTGATTCTGTATAAAGTGATTTCATCTGCTCAAATGATATACATACATACATTGCAAAATGTTAAAATCCATTGCCATAATGTTTCATTCTTAGGTTACATGTGGCAAAGCTGTATTAACTGGAACAGACCCATAGTATCATGGTGGATTGGAAATGATGAACTATGACAGTCCAAAAGTTGTCTCAGAAAGAAAAGCAATTTAGCTGTGATGGATATTATATCAAGAACATTTTTATAATGTCTAGTTCATCCAACTGCAGTAAAGTTTGCTCAAAATTAGCAGACTGTTAGACTGCGCATCTAGTTAGCATAATAATCTGTCTAGAGTCTTTAGGTAGATTGACAAAGCTAAGTGAGAGGGGAAAATGTACATTTATTATAGCATACTGGTTCACTGAATTCTTGGCTCTTTTACAAAAAAATATTAATGACAGCTCACAAATTTAGGAAAAACATGAGACAGAAGAAAAATTTATACTATATTTCACAAAGTCCTTATAGGTCTATGTTGTGAATATAATAAATAAACATAATGGTACCTTTTTTAAAGCGATACTTTGTGGAAATATTAAACAGAAGGTCCTAGAAGAGCATAAACATTTTTCAATTGATTGTGTGTGGTGCAATTCTGCTTTCTAAATATCCCCCCTTTTTTTGTATGTATCTTCTTGATCTTATGAATGAATAGCTTTTCAAAATGTGCCTCTGGCAAGCCTTAGAATGAATATCAATTTACTTTGTCTTTTTGTGTGTGTGTTTTTAATCACCATACTTGGCACTTTTTTTTATTCAGTCAATGTTTCCATTTGTTTTGTAGTCTCCAAAGAACTGCTTCTAATCTGTCTTTAGTCACTTTATTTACCCCCAAATTGATATAGTCTGGAGCAGTTGCTAATTTTGCAATCAGACAAATGCTCTCATTGTTAATAGAAATAATGCTAAACTTAGGCAATCCTTTTAAAAATGCTGACTAATTGCTCATCTGAGTGCTAGAAAGAAATAATAACTCCTTTCTCAGTGGCTCAGTGATAAAGCCCTTGCTTTGTAACTTATAATTATAACTTATAATTTTATAATTTGTAAATTATAATTTATAGCCTTCATCTTGTGCAAGACATTCCCCATTTTTTAAATCGAATTCTAGGATTCCTGTGTAGCTGTCCTAGAAACATAACTAATATTTTTTTGCCTGCTAAAATTTATGCTTCCTAGGGATAGTTTGCTATTGAATTATAGCCCTTATTCATGACTAGTTGACTTTATGTGGGTTGATAGTCATATTATTTATTTTTAAAAACTTTCTTAGACTAATCTGAAATACTTAGCGAGTTGCCTTAGCTAAGGCAGATATTTGGAAGAAGGTTGTTTTCATACATTAACATGTTTGATCATTAGCATCCCAAGAGATGGATTAGTCTGGGATTTCTGCCTTTTCTTAAAGACATGCCACTTCTTATCTGTTCATTTCAAAAAGAATTTTATAAAAGGGCTGGTAATTTAAACGCACATAACTTTCAACTAGTCTGGTTCAAAACTGAGTTGATATGTTGAAAACTTGTGTGATTCAACTGGGTACTTTAGAATGTGTCAATCTAGCCACTAAGACATTCTCCGTCTCTTTTTCCCTCTTTACCCGCTTCATAAAATAATTATACTGAATTCAATGAAGTTTTTGTTAGTGACATATTTTCACTCATTTTTGTTTGTTTGCCCACATGAGCCCATGTAATTGAGCTTCCTTGGTTGCCAGCCAAAGAAGAAAGATATTGAGGTGTTACATTCCTTTGTGGTCACAAAGTCCCCTAGTTTGTAGCCTGGCACTTTAACTACAACACCAATCTCTTAGTTGTCTGTCAGTAGAGGTTTCAGAAATTCAGCTAAGAGGGGAAAAAATCAAATTCAGAAAAATATACAGGGTTTAAGAATATCTTCTTGGAATATTTAATTTTGTTTTGAAACTTCTAAAACCGTGTCTTACTATTTCCTTTCTGAATTTATTTGGAGTTGATTGTTTTCATTCGTTGGTTTTCAAAAAGGTACCATTGGTTTAAAGAGTCAGTTCATTAAAGTTAATGTCTCCTTTCAAGCAGCTGTACCTTTGCTTAAACTTCTTTAAAATTTGGAAAATTAAATTACTTTCTTGTTTGCTAGTACGTAATGAATACATACAGTATTAAAACAAACTACTGAGTTCCTAGAAGATAATCTTAATTTCTTTTTAAATGTGCTAGTTTTCCTTTGCAAAACATTGTATCTGCTGAAATTACAAGACAATAAACAATACATTTTATCTTTTGTAGATAAAAAAGTTCGGGTCAGGTCAAAAATGTCAACATTAATACTTATTGTAAAGAACATGTAATGGCTTGAGGCATAATAGGTACTTCTACTATATCAGACCTATTATGGTCAGTTAAACTTCAATGTTACTTGGAGGGAGTCTACATTTTGTGGAGGATATCTTTAAATCAAACTTTGAGAGTAATAAGAGTCTAAATAAGTGAGATTAAAAATATAGATTAATTCCATATGAGACTAGATTAATTTTTCCATGCTTTGCCTTTGTGCTCTATCTTTCAATTATGTGCAGTTCACATCTGCTGTCATATTGCCTCCCTTTGTTATTCAGAACAGTAATGGTTTACCCTCTGAATTTAACATCATGGCATTTTGAATCGCACAACTCAGCATGATATGGTTATAGTGTCACTTTAGAACTTTCTCAGTAACATATGGAGGTCAGAATAAAAGGGACAAACCCTAATGCCAGAAAATGACTCATGTCTCATTTCTTTTGTGTTTCTTCTCATGTAACTTTTTTGCGGGGTCATTTTGAGTCAGTGTTGACATCAGCAGACTGCTTGGAGAAGTCCGTGCAGCTTTTTTGGCAAGATTTCAGAATGGCTTGCCATTGCCTACTTTCTAGAGCTAAGAGAGAGTAACTGGCCCATAGACATTCGGTTGGTTTCATGCCTAAGGTGGAACTTAGTAGTCTCCCACTTTCCAGCCTGGTGCTTTAACCACAACACCAAACTGGCTCTCCATATAATAATAGTACCAGTTTGGAGTTGTGGTTAAAGCACCAAGCTAGTTAAGGCCTTTCTGGAAGGCATCTGATGGTGAAATGCATGCCGGGGGCGCCATGCGTGTCAATCTGGAGCTCCATTCTCAGCTGTAGAGCCATTTCCCAGCCCCAGCTGGGCAGGACTGTCGGTGCCACCGCTGTGAGGTGAGACCATGGAAAGGACACCCCCCCCCAAAATAAGACCTGGTGCCTCTTTTGGAGGAAAAAAAATAAAATAAAAATAAGACCAGGTCTTATTTTCGGGGAAACATGGTAATACATCTACAAGCTGGTGTTCTGGATTAAATATATTGCTAAATATAGGAAACTATTCCGGTGGTAAAAGATTTGGTACTATGTTTGTAATCCAGGATTATATTTATTAATCCTTATTTTATGTCACCTAGTAAGATACAGTGCTAGTAGGATACATGACTAGTTACGGGAATTTCTCAGCTCAATAATAACATTAAGCAACACAAAAGCTGAAGATAAGCTTTTACATTTAATATAAAGGCGCTCCGTATAAGGGTCTAGGACAACTCTCCAGAGCCAACTCACCACAGAACAACTTGCCGCAGACAAGAGTTACACTAATATAAAAGAAATGGTGGAATAGAATCATTAAAGAAAGGAGGGACAAAATGAAATATGAATGACAAAAATTAAAATATTCTTTAAAAATATTGAAAATAATTAAATTGAATAATTTTTGTCCCACAGCGAGTTGTCCTATGGCACGTTGGCCAGGGTGAGTTGTCCCATGGTGAGTCTTGCATGGCAAGTTGGCCCCAGCAAGTTTTCCCATTCTGCATGGTAACACAGTAAAATGTTAATCATAAATCATGTTTTAGCAAAAGAAAAAAGTCACAGTGCCCTTTTTAAAATTTAATTTGTAAAGTAAAATAATACTTTTTTAATTAGTTCCTTATGAAAGAAAATCCTACTATGTATCTGATACATTAATGATGTAACTTTTATTTCTAACTATAAAAGGGAAGCATAAGAAAGAGCTTTCCAGGGCTGCTACTAGAGCTTCCTGCCACTAATCCACCAATGCTTCGTATTTTTCCTTTTGCAATTTAGTATGGAACTGAAGATTTAATCGAATATGACTATGACTATGGGGATCCAGATTATAAAGATTATAAAGACCTTGAAACTATAACAGATGGACCCCCATTATACGATGAGACTGTAGCATACACTGAGGTAACGGCACGTGGTGTGTATGTTGTCTGATGTCCGTCGTCCTGTCTGTCTGATGGTTTGTCACGTGGTGTCTTAGTGTTGATCAAGCTCACTCTGTCTTCTTTCCTTTCTTGTTTTTCCATGAAACTCATTTTAATTCAACAGCGGCAGCCAAAGGCAATTGACAGGAAGTCATTATTTGTTGTCCTTTCTTATCCTGATATCTTTCATGTCTTACTGCTCTTCCCCTTTTGTTTGTTTATGTTCTCCCCTTCCATCTTTCACCCCCTTTTTCAGAAAAAGAACAAAGCCCCAAAGAAGAAGAAGACAGGGATCGCTAACTCAAAGAACAACCCCCAAAAGTTCAAATTCAAAAAATCTGAAACCCTGTCATCGAAGAAGAAGAAAAGCTCTCGAGCTGCAGCCAAAGGCAAAATAGGGGTAAAGGTAGCTCAGAAATAATCAAGATCTCTCCAAACTGAGCTTGGAAGATCTGTGATAATGAAAACCAGTAGCTCCAACCAGTGGTGGGATTCAAATACCTGAACATCTGGTTTTCTGCATGGACGCAGGCCTGGGCTCCGAGGCCTAGAATGGACTTCTGGAAGTGACATCCATGCACTTCCTATGGGCTGTTCTAGGCGTGGGACGCCTCCACCAAAGCGATGCGAACCAGCTAAATTCCACCACTGGCTCTAACCCTTAGTAGATGAAAGCACCGCTGGCTAATACTGTAATCTAGCTAAATAGAAATTCTTCTTTAAGTGTTTGCCTTTTTCCTTGCCTATTAACTTTGTACTTTTTCCTCTCACATTAGGCCAATGCTGTTGATGAATATCATGAGTATAATGTGGCTGACTATGGAACTGAAGCTTACCAGACTGCAATCCCTACTCAAACAACTGGACGAAATGAGGTAATGAAGAATAGAGAAATATAATGGCAGACCTATTTCAAAGATTTTAATCAGTAAAAAAATATATATTACCATGTCATTATCAGCTAGCCAGAAAACCAGTTTGATGTAGTGGTTAAGGTACTGGCCTAGAAACCAGGAGATTGTGAATTCTAGTCCTACCTTAGGCCTGAAAGGTCCTTTGGGCCAGTCATTCTTTTTAGCCCAATCCACCTCACAGATTTGTTGTGGGGAAAAATAGGATGAGGAAGGAGTATTATGCATGTTTTCCTCCTTGAGTTACTTACAAAGTAATAAAGGCAGGATAAAAATCTAATGAATAAATAAAATAATAAGAGAACAGTTAAAGATTAAAGTCGTGTGTTAAATCCGAGATCCAGTTTTGTGGTATTTCATAGTCACATTCAGTCTTTACCTGAGAAATGACTTCAAGAGATTCCTATTTTCTGTAGGAATGCAAGCACATACATTTTTGGATGTCAAGCAAAGAATTCAATAATGGCCAAGCAAAGCTCAAGGATACCTAAGTATGATGTAAGACATTGCCCACACTTTTGATTTCAGTGGCCTGAAAGGAAGTATTAGTTTTTTTCAGTAGTCATTATAGACAAGATTTGCTCCAATTGAGACTCCTACATAAGAGAGAAAAACAGTGAGTGGATGATGACTGGAGTCTTGAGAATAGTCACTTGGCTATGTACAAAAAAATCAATTTATTCACATTTATATTGCAGTCTCATTTGTACCAAATATTGAGTAAGATTAAGTAGGTGTGACTATGATATCTAACCGCACCACACCATAAAGATATGCATCTGGATGTCCTCATGGTTCCTAGTTCAGTATGGGAACCCATACACATAACTTTTGTCAAGTACATTTCTCATTTCTTGGTTAGGGATATCTATTTCTATACCTCTAGAGTTTACAATTCAGCTGCATTTGAAAGATATACACTGATATCTAAATGTATCTTTTTTTAGACTCTGAATCAAAAGCTTTATTGGAAATTAGCCTTAACTTTGTGTTGCTGATATCTGCTCAATTCTGAGTGTGCATAATCAACTAATATTTATGAATGTGGGTACTGTGATTCATAAATATTGCCATGCTATATATATAAAAAAGAGATTTTAAGCAATAATTTCTAAAGATTTTGAATTGTGCTAAAGCAGATACATTTATTGTGGGGCTTGATTGTCTTATTCTAAAGTTAATGTCTCTGTATATTGAAGAAAATGCTATTTAACTAAAGCTAGCGCTTAACAGTTTAATGCTTGGTTTCACACAGCTCTCAATCAGAACTTTCAGAGTTGCTCTCTTCTGTAATAGCCACTTTTTATGTTCAATCAATGTTGAACAATGTTTTCTTTATTAAGGATATAATGTTGAACTTGGATAAGCTTAAGATTTTGCAAAACAGTGCATTCAGATAAAAAGATTTAGCTTCTATCTTTTCGGCTTTAAATGTGCATGGATATATATATATATATATATATATAAACCTCAGAAAACATATATATATCACCCAATCCAACTCCATCTTGTATGGGAATCCATTACTGCAACTTCCCTAAAAGACAGCCATTCACCTCTAATGAAGAAGGGGCCTCTGTATCCTAGAGCTCCATTTTGAACAATTATTATCATTATAAAAAAAATTCTTGCTTCCAGCTAAAATCTACTTCCTTGTAACTTAAATTCATCATTTATTGTCCTATCTTCTGGAACAACTCTGCCCTATTTTCTCTAGAGGAACCTCAAATACTTGAAGACAGCTATTGCATCTCCCTGCAGCTTTTGCTTTTGCCCAGCTCCTCCAACTTTTCCATAAAAGTTTTTAACTTTAATATGACAGTTACATAAGCTTAATCAACATTTCATTAGAACTCGGTACATATTTTGAACATTGTTACTGACACTAATATGTGTGAAGCCAAGCACAAAAACTTAGAAATAATTTTGATAAATAAACATACACAGACACTACTGTTGTTATGGCTTAGGAATGTCATACCTGAAAAATTCAATAAAAAAACTAGTGAGACTTTGTCACTAAATAATCTTACATCAATCCAGTTTACACAGGGTTTCATTTAATATATGCATAAATGGTAACGTATACATTTTCAAAAGAATTAATTTCATTGCAGATAACCATGTACGTTGGAGCATTCTTTTAATAACTCTGAAAAACTGGCTTGTGAGTTTTTCAGAAACAAGTTAAAAGATGTCAAGCTATATAGCTGTTGTTTTATTTTGCAAAGCATTACCTTAAAATCTGCAAAATGCTTACATTGCTTTACTAACTATAATCCACATATTCATCCTATTCCTCCAAACCTCTACTGCTTATATGAATAGCAAACTCCTGTTGAAGAAGTATTTACTGAAGAATACGTAACAGGAGAGGATTATAATTCAAAGACTAAAAATAATGAGGAAACAGATTATGGAAACAGAGGCATAGACCACAGCGAATCTGAAGTTCTGGTAGATGGAGATTTAGGCGAATATGATTTTTATGAATATAAAGAATATGAAGAGAAGCCAACCAATCCTACTAATGAGGAGATTGGGCCTGGAGTTCCTGCAGAGACTGATATCACAGAAACAACCGTAAGTTGGATACATCTGAGATAGTCTTCAAAGATGCTTAATGGCTAGCAGATTTTTTTTATGGGTATCTATATTTTCTATCATTTAATTAGAGATGGAAAAAGGAAAGGGAATATTTACAGGTAGTCCTCACTTAACAACCACAACTGAGGTCAGAATTTTGGTCAAAAGGCACTGCGGTCATTGAGTGTGTCACCATGGATCTTGGCTTGATTTCAGAACTGATTTTATGACAATCTTAAGGCAATCACCACAATCATTAAGAGAATTATGTGGTTGTTAAGCAAGCCATGTTAAGTGGTTAAGTGAATCCATTCTCCAACAGGTGGTTTTTGCAAAAAAAAAAAAAAAACCTCAGCAAAAATTGTTGCAAATTGTGGTCACATTACCCCAGGATACTGCAACCGATTGTAAATGTGAGCCAGTTTCAAGCATGACAAACCTAACCTCAAGGATGGATTGTAAGTAACATTTTTGGACCCATTGTAATTTTGAAAGGTCATTACATGAGTAGTTGTTAAGGAAGGACTATCTGTGTATACTTCCATAAAAAAGACTTGGTTAAAAAATTGATTTTAAAAATATAGCCTTGTATCAACCTAGAAGTGTGAATTTGAGAGTTCTCATCCACTTCATTTGTTGTGTTGTGTTGCCTTGTGTTTTTGCAATGTTAGAGATAAAAGAGGAATTTTGTTAAATTGAATTTCATTATCAGCTACTTATAAATAAGATGATTTCTCCTAGCCAATAAATATTTGTAAATAGCCTTTTTTTTGCCTACATGCAGGGATAGAGGCATCAATCACAACATGATTAGTTGATTATGTCTTGATTTTGAAAACTATATATTCTTTCTTTCTTTCAAAAAAGAATTCCAGGGTAGAAACAGTACATACAATATTACGTGAAAAACTAATAATATAAAAAAGTAGCTTGTGTGAAAAATAAAACAAAAGGAATAGAACTTTGACCTTTTATTTTTCAAAAATCCTAACAAAACAGGGCAGTGCTGAAAGTAGTATCAGACCTACTTCTAATAGAAAGGTGTTCCACATAGATTGTAGCTTCATAAACATTCATAAATTGGATCAAGTTTATTTCTTGCAAAGGCATCCTGATGTTTGAGGATCAGTTATAATAAGTCATCCAAACTATGTGTAATCTTGCAGATATATACAAACAATGTGTAATCTTGCAGATCTCAATATTTCAGAGTTATCTACTAAAGTGTTTCTCAATCTGGACAACTCTAAAATGTATGGACTTCAATTTCCAGAATTCCTCAGCCAGCCATACTAGCTGGGAAATTCTGGGAGCTGAATTCTGGGAGTTGCCAAACTTGAAAAACACTGATCTACTGTAGTAAGTTTCATCTAGAAAGCTCTGCACATATATAGGGCCTCAGAAAGATTGCTCTTAGATGGTCTGGGATCCACCATAAGCAACAATTGGAAAATCTTCACTGTGCATCTCATTGAAATGTCATTGGCTTAAGAGTAAGATTCATTTGATTCCTTCTTATTACTTACTTGTGTCAAACCATTATCTCCCACTGGTAGTTATTTGAAGTTGTACATTTGGATTTAAGGACTTTGGTATTCTCAATAATTTAGGGGACAGATACATCCAAAGCAACATAGGGACTAATGTCTCCTAGAATATATTTATTTCTTATTCTACAGTTTATATACCACACAGTCCATCAAGGCAGAAGTCGATGAACAGAATGGTATTAACAATGGAATAGAAATTAAACATAAACCAAACAAATTATAAGAAGATGTTAAATAAATCTTCAGAAAGGACAAACTACGATGAATAAGAATTGAATAGGACAGTCACAGTGCATGACCTCTTCTCTGCACTTGTTTTAGAAGAGCCTTTGGCAAGAAAAAATGAGACCTCTTGTTTCATCAGCATATTTTATCTTTCTCTTTTTATTTTTAATGATTTGATTGTAATTTCTTTGATTGTTGTGAGTCATTGTGAATCATTAAGAATCATTAATTATTTAATTAATGTTAATAAATAATGTGAAGTAATAATCATCATATAGGCTTGACTCCAGGCTAACTTAAGGGTGAGGTTTCTCCTTTTCTGTTTTTTTTTTTTAATATTTTATTGGTTTTTTTACAATAACAATCTCCAGTGTCTGGTGTACAGTGTGTTGTCTTGGTTTATATGTTTTTTTTTAAAAAAGCAATAATAATTAATTAACAGTCGATAATGGTTGATTTTGATAATTCCAAAATTAGTATATTAATTTATATATATTTTTTGTTCTTCCCTTCTCCCAATAGTATCTTAAACTTCTTTAAGATCCTTCTTCAATCTTAAACAAATATAATTCTTAATATTTTCAATGTATCAATTAAATATAGACATCTTTTCATATTTGTACAGATAATGATAACATCTATGTATAACATTTTTTTTACCAGCTTATATTATTCTTATAAAAATCATCTCATTAGTTTACCATGCATCCTATTTTTGTGATTTTTGTTTATGCTTAATTTCCCCTTTATGTTCAGTCCATTCGTATCAGTCATGATTTTCTCAATGCTAATTATCTGAATTTCCAATTTTTTCCATTTAAGTACACCATCCCAATGTTTTCATATTTCATGCATTATAAGAATGCTGTACATCCTTTCCTGTTTTTTTTTAATCCCCTCCTGGTTGGTGCAACCTCTATCCGGATAAATCTGATTAATTCATGTGATTTATAAGCTGCCCTTGTACAGATAGTCCCCTGACTTACAACCATTCGTTTAGTGAACATTCAAACTTAGAGTGGCCCGGAAAAAAGTGACTTATGACCGTTTTTCACACTTAATGACTGTTGCAGCTTCCCCATGGTCACATGATCAAAATTTGGACACTTGGCAACTGGCATGTATTTATGACAGTTGCACTGTCCCGTGGTCATGTGATCACGATTTATAAGCCTTCCCAACTGGCTTCCGACACGCCAAGTCAATGTGGAAGCCTGATTTGCTTAACAACTGGATGGTTCACTTAACAATTGCAGTGATTTGCTTAACAACTGTGAAAAGGTCATAAAATGGAGTGCATGTCACTTAACAACGGCCTTGCTTATCAATGGAAATTTGGGGCACAGTTGTGCTTGTAAAGTGAGGGACCACCTGTGAATAAGTAAGACTGTAAGTGGACTTCTGCTCTCTCATTCACAAAGGGCTGAATATACAATTTGTATTTACAAACCATTTGTGTTTATGACTGCTTAATCCCATGACTCTTTCAGTAAATAATCATAAACTTGTGCGCACACACGCACACACCCAAAAACCAGCCTGCCACAATATTTTTTGAATCTATAGAACAAAAAATGCCAATAGTCACAAATTGAAAATCTCAGATTAACTCTTAGAAAAGTAGTTTTCAGGATTCTTTTTTTTTAAAGGAGAAAATATTGTTATCATAAGAGACCTTTGTGGTACAGACTGCACCTCCCCTGTTAATATTAATATGAAGGAAGTTAGTGAACGGGTACTACATAGAAAAGGACCACATTCAATGGAAGTCTACATCAAAGCTGTTGATTTGGATGGATTCTGCTAAGCTATTTTGTTTACCAGTTTATCAACATGGGGAACTACTTTGTTGATCAATAAAGTAAATCACACACTTTATATGCAGATATTCAAAGTGCTGTTCCAGGCAACTCCAGATAGGATTGAGTTTCTGCCAGTGCAGTCAAGGGTGGATAGAATCTTGTATTGGTATAAAGCAGCATATTAATTTCTCATGGAATTTAGGAATTCACTTGCAGGTTAAGAACACATCAGAGTGTTCAGGCTTATGGCATGCTTCAGTTTTCAGTTTTGTGAAGATCTAATGAGAAACCAGTAAATTCTAAGAAATTCTCTGAAAGTTCTCAGAAACAAGCTATTTAAGTGTTATTAAATATTATGGTTCTTCGTGCAGTCAGCCAGATGATGAGACTGAATTTGGCATTTTTGACTGCCCATCGAGTCCTTTCCAAGGACCTGTTGTAGTAGTTGTTGTTGTTACCTGTACCCTTATATATTTGTGCATTAATTTGGTAGGTGAATGGCCATCAAGTATATGGAGAAAAAGGACAGAAAGGAGAAGCAGCTGTCATTGAACCAGTGAGTATGCTATTTTATATATAATATATGTAATAAAATGATAATAAAATTTTATATATTATACAAAATAAATATATAAATAACAGTTGAAAATATAGCAATGTTAAAATCAGAAAAAATATAAAATAATGAATAAATGAGTGACATTTGTAAAAAATAAAAGTATGTCCATAAAATGTTAGCACAACAGTAGTTCAATTTTTAATGTATTATTAAATTTAGATATATAAACCATTTATAGCTCCTTCTCAGTTTTAGTACAATATGTTACTTCATCACAATGATACTTATATACCCTGCTTAGATCAGTGTTTCTCAACCTTGACAATTTTAAGGCATGTGGACTTCAACTCCCAGAATTCCACAGCCAGCTATGCTACAGCAGAAGTGATTAGATGTGGAAACACTGGCTTAGATCCTTAATATTATGTATGTATCGGATTCTTTCTTTGGACCTGAATATGTCTCTCTTCATTTCCTTTTGAGATTTTCTTTTTTCTTTTTCTGGAAATTTTATTTAGGTATTTAAAATGAGCTTGGTCTAACATTATCAGTGCTCCTTCTCCTCCATTTACCAAAATAAGGGTTTTTCTTTTTTGTAAAAGACCATTGAGAGGAATTGCCTGACTGCCATCAAATTTTGAATCAGTGGGTTTGTATTTAAGGCTTGGATCTTCATTACTGCATTATTTTAAGGCAGTGATGGTGAACCTTTTAGAGACCGTGCCCAAACTCCAACCCAAAACCCACTTATGCATCGTCGGGTGCCGGGTGGCATGGCCCATTGGAGGGTGTGGCCCATTGGGTGAGCGTAGTTGTGGTGGTAACGGTAGACTGGGTGGGACTAAAAAATTCAATCAATCAATTCCAACTTTGCAAGATGTTTTTTTTCCCCACGAGAAGTTGAAATTGACTGATTGATTGAACCTTCTTTTTTTTTTTTTTTGCACATGGCAGCAGAAGCCTAAAGCAAAACGGTTTTATAAAACCCAGCTGAAGGCCTAGGACTGGGGTGATGGTGCGCGTGCCCACAGAGAGGCCTCTGAGTGCCGCCTCTGGCACCCATGCCATAGGTTCGCCACCACTGTTTTAAGGTATGTTTAAGAGTGCCAATTCACTGTGGTGGCGCAGAGGTTAGAATGCAGTACTGCAGGCTACTTCTGCTGCCTGCCGGCTGCCTTCAGTTTGGCAGTTTGATTCTCACTGGGCTCAAGGTTGACTCAGCCTTCCATCTTTCCGAGGACCCAGAATGTAGGGGGCAATATGCTGACCCTGCTTAGAGAGTCAAGCACTGTGAGAGTCAAGCACTGTGAAGCGATACATAAGTCTAAGTGCTATTGCTACATTCTCCCATGCTCCCACGCTCTTTGCCATAAATAGGCATTCTATGCTTCTAAAATGTTGCAAGCTTCTCTACTGTTTACTATTCTCCTACCTTATCTACTGTTCAAAGATAAATCTGGGAAAAGCAGGAAGCAGCATCAGAGGGGCTTGATCATTATTCCGAATCATCTTTTTGGGGGAATGAATTTTATGAGAGTGGAACATAAATGCTGTACTTTCCTGATCTGTGGTAGTTTTCTTCCAATTTGACACTGTTTCTCAATTTTAAAATGTCCCATTCCACCTTTTGTCAAAATTACCAGTTCTGGCAATAGTTATTTTCACTATCTCCTTTAGGAGGAGATATTTCTGCTAGCCTAGATGATGGCGGAATAAAAAACACATCATCCAAAATTGAATCCACATCAATAATAGATAATTTTTTGTAAGAAAAAAAAGGTATTCCAATGAATGTCCGTCTTCCCAAGTTGCTGTTAACCCTTCTGCTGTGCCGTATGCTAGATACTTCTCTATCAGGATGAGGAGACAATGCAAATACCCTCTTAGTAAGCCAGTAAAATCATGAAAAGCGTTTGAAATATCATAAAATATTTCTAAAGCAAAAAGGGACAGGGTTTTTATTTACCTTCTGTGAGATATATGCTGAAAAGCAGTGCTTATAATGAAACTACTACATATGTTTCTTTTAAGAAACAAAACCAACATATTTGATTAGGTTTCTATTTCGAATAAAGATAATATATGAGTAAAGTGTTTTCCGTTTGATATTTATATTACTGCATTTGCTAGTGTGTTGCTGTAGTAAAAGATTTAAGAACTGGATGCATTTATAAACAAAAATTCCTGGTATGTACAAATACATATATATGAAAAGTTTTCCTTTCCCCAGTATTATGCAAAAAAATCAGATCTTTCTAATATAGTTCATCAACAGTTTGGCTCATCTATTGAGTGCTTGCCTGAGGTAGGGCAACAAGTGGTCTTTGGGTCAAATGTAGGCCCTAGCTTTTTCTCTAACCTTTTGGTAACCACAAGATGACACTACTAAAAAACAGTGACAAGCTGCTAATACACAATGGTGGGGGGGGGGTTTGGCATTCCTTGTAAAATAAGGATGAAAATATGGTACTCAGCCTTTGTTTCAGTTAGTGACCCATATTGCATATAAAACTCTAATTTTCTCAAAAAAAAAGCTGTAAAATTTGGCGGTGCCTCCTCCCTTGATATCCTTGCCCCATAAAAAAAAAAAACAGCTGGCTTCTATTGGTCAAAAAAGACAGAGCTTATAATAATTCTTGGGAACCATATAATCAAAAATATACAAAAATATACAGTAGCATGTGAGGCTACTGGCACGCTTGCAACAAAGGCTGAAATTAACATGGTGATGATTTTCATGGATATTTCTATCTACACCGAGAACTAATTTGCTTTTAGAGCCTTTTTTTTTACTAAAAGGGAACAAGGCATTTAGAAACCACTCCATGAAGTAGTATTAGATAGATCTTTTAATTACCATGTAATTCAGATTGCCTAGGATTACTCAAGAGGTCAGTTATGGGACCTCTGCAATTATGCTGTCTCACCTGTATTTACTCTTTGAACCACAGCCATGGAGACTGTAGATAATTCTGAATTTGCTTTCGAATGTAATGCTGTAAATTGGCTAGAATCACGTAAATCAGAGTCCCAAATCATTTTTCATTTTAGTTCTTTTAGGACAACAAATCCCAGACTGCTCATTCAACAAATCTAGATTTGGTGGAAATTTGGGGGCATTGTAGTTGCAATTCACCTGGAACAAGCTAAACTGAGAAAGGCTGCTCTTAATAGAAAAATAATCCCTACTTAAGAGCAGAAAATTGACATTAAATCAATAGCATATGGGGGAATAAAGGGTAGCAGAGAGGTATGAAAAAAATATAGTACATGCAACATTGGCAGGGAATTCAATGACAAATTTGGAAATATTGAAATAGACTGAAGCTTTTAATGATAAATAATAGATATAGACAATAATGGCCTGATATGGAACCACTATAGGATAGAAAAGATTAACAGACAGTGCTATATCTTGGGGATTGGATGCCTGTAACTCTGTCCAATAACACTCATTTTTCCTTCCTTTTTGGAAAAACAGTTTTAAAAAACTAAACTACGGTTTCAGAGTCTCCTCTTTCTAATATTCTGTGTTTTGGGGCCTGTGGGCATGCAAAATAATGAGACTTCAGGAACTTCTTCAATAGACTTCTGAATAGATTGCTGTAGTTTTATGTTGAATTCCATCTGGTATTTTTATTTTGTTGTGTGATTGATACTGATCTCCTTTAATTATTCTTAATTAATCATTAATTAATTATTGTTTAATTATTTTCAATCATTATTAGAGTATTTATTGGACTTTGGAGGACTTAATGAACTTGTTTTTATTTTTCTTCAAACTATTCCCAACAGGAGGGGATAGCTTCTAGCATCATCCTTTGAAGCTGGGTGGCCTAGGGCAGAGGTCCCCAACCTTTTGAGCACCATGGACTGGTTCCGTGGAGAGAGGTTTTTCTGTGGGCCAGAAGGGGTGTGGTTTAATGTACTGCCTACAACCCATGAATGGGGCTTTGCTTATTTGCGCAGTCTGGCTTCTGGCATGCTGCAGCCTGGTCCCGGTCCATGGACCAGAGGTTGGGGACCCATTGGCTAGGGCTTATTTCTCATTTGTTGTAACCTTTATTTTTCAACCCAGTTAGAGATTTTAGGGAGCCCTATTGACCTTAAGTAGAAAAACCAAAGGGAGGCTAGGCCAATTGGTCCCTAGCAAGCTAAATGGTGGCAGCTGCATTACAAACACACAACTCTGACAAGTAGGCAGAACTAGGATGAAGCCCGACCAGATCAAATATTAGATAGAAAACCTAAGAGGTCTAATTAACCTTTCCTGGACCACTGATTATTACAAAGTTAAACACAGGAAAAAAATGCAGCACAAAAAGTTTTGCAAATTATGGTTCATTTTATCCCATTCACACTTCCTACAATAATGCTACTGTACTTATTTTATGTTTATACATTAAATACATAATATACAATACATTTCTCACCTTTCTTAGGGAATGCTTATTGAAGGACCTCCAGGACCTCCAGGACCGCCTGTAAGTATATACTTTCTAAATATAATTTAAATAAAAAGAATGATACTATTAACGGAGATATTTGCATGACTACTTCAGGGATCATACATATATAACATAAGTTTTCATTGAGTACAGATTGTTCCATCTGGAAATGGTGTCATTTACCTAGCGTGTATTTTTGTTTCTGTTGGGCAACCATTATTAGCTCCCATATTTTGCCAGTCCTTCATCAAAATTGCTACTAATCATTGTAGTAAAAAGTTATTTAGAATAACTGATATATATATTGTCTTTATTTATAGGGTATTACGGGCCCCTCTGGTATGCAAGGCTCCACTGGCCCTCCTGGTGACCCCGGTGATAGGGTAAGTCTCTATGGGTTGCAAATGAGCATCCCAAGGGTTCAGATTGAATGGCTAGGAGTGTAAACGATTCTTAAGGATGTGCAGCTGTTTTGTAATCTCTTACTGTAGCTTATAGGAATACTTTTGTATTTTGCAAAGCTGTTATATAAATAAAATATCTTTATTCTGATAATGAATTAAGTAGTTTTAATTGATCTATTTCAGATCAAATTTGACACTCTTCCAATGTGAAATAATGAGATTTTTAGACGTTCTCGGGATAATGTTAGATCCTTTTTGTTGCTGTGCAGATAGAACATGGAGGGCCTTGAGTCTAAAGGTCATCTAAAGGTCATCTAATAGAGTTGGTGGAGGAAATAGGATATTGTGAAGGCCTCAGATTCCCATGTCTCCTGAATACAAGTCCACATTATTGACTATATTCAAGGTGATGAAGGAAAATGTTGTTATCAGTGGTGCAAATGAAAGTTGGAAAACAATCTCCATTATCTAGCTTTAAAGGCTTTCACAAGTCAGACCAGCAGATGTCTTGTTATTTCTGGATGACTTTTAGTGATAACAGGTGGCTGAACTGGAAGTGTAGCTGGCTTTCTCTTTCTGTTTGTTTTGCTTGCTATTACATCTGAAGGATAACTGTTCACATCTCTTGAGATAAGAGATATCTGAAGTCTTGTTATTAGTTTTCTGATACAATGGATTAGTACAGGTCAATCCATTTGCCCTTCCTGATTTCCCACTTAATCTTTAAATATTAACCAAAAATATTTTTAGCTGGGTAAATCTGTGTTAATCTGTTCCCATCATGTCCCTTCTTTGCTTTGTCTTCTGTGTGCTGTAATTGCATTGCTGCATTTTTTTTTTTTAGATCTCCAATAACTGATACATTAAGTGCAGAGTTGCCTAGATCTGTGGATATTATCGGCCTAAAACCACATGTGTAATGATATTTTTGCAACAGTTTTTATGAGTCCACTCATTTATCAAATGTAAAATTGGACTGAAATGACAGTATCAAAAGCAAGGCAGCTCAGACAATTCCTGCTTTGCAGCAACTAAAACCAACGGTGTGCAATCTGAAAAAACAATACTGTATTAACTTATGGTGTTTAAACATTTAGAAAGTTCTCGGAATATTTTGCCTACCACCATTTCAGATAAAGAAGAGATAAGCAGTAGGTGACCTTATCCTAGATGTTGAATATGCACAGGAGATAAATCAGTGTTAACCTCATCTTTGCTATGCTGTTTCACACTATAGTTTTGCATTCTGAATGTATCTCTAGGAGTTGTATGTTGTTCTGGTATATGTATGTATTTGATGCTTATTCTTGCAAAGAAGATCCTAGATGAGTTTATTTCTCCTCAAAATTCCGTACTGTGTACAGGTAGTCTCCTTGACTTATAACAATTTACTTAGTGACCGTTTGAAGTTACAACAGCATTGAGAAAAGTGACTTATGATCATTTTTCACACAACTGTTGCAGCATCCCCATGTTCACGTCATTTACATTCAGATACTTGACAACTGACTCACATTTATAATGATTACAGTGTCTCAGGGTCATGTGATCACTTTTTGCAACCTTCTGACTAGCAAAGTCAATGGGGGAACCAGATTCACTTAGCAGCCATGTTACTAATTTAACAACTGTGGTGATTCACTTAACAACTGAGGCAAGAAAAGTCATAAAATGGGACAAAACTTACACTTCTCACTTAGCAACATAATTTTTGTGGTTGTAAGTTGAGGGCTACCTGTAATCAGGTTGAAGAGCTGTGTAACAATGTTGTGTGCAGTGCCAATGAAATAAATTTAAGATATGATGATGTATGTGCACGTAGGTAGCAATTGAAGTGATTAGTGAGTATAATTTTTAATCTATACACTAGCATATGCCTGCAATGCTGGTTTTATAATTTGAGGAATTAAAAAGTATCCTTAGAACATAGGCATTTCAACATTTCCTTCATGAACATTAAAAAAAAAGACTAGTCACATGTTTGCAATAATGATTTGCCAACTTCTAGGAAGCTATTCATAATTATTGTGAGATGTTTTACTCTTAAGCATATATACGTTTTGTTCTTGTAGTTCATAACTATTGAGGGATCTATTAGCATGCATTTTTACATAAAGATGTAAGAAATGCTTGAATGTAAACTTTCTTAATTTGCATTTCCTGATCCCAGATTTGAACCAGAACATACATTAATAAATTTTGCCATATATTTCACAACTTTAAAACGAAACAAAAAATATTTTAAAGAAGGAAACACAGAAATGCATATACTGCATTAGAACAAGATGTAGACAAAAACATGCTTATATGTGGGAAAGCACTCACAATATATACATTTTCCTGGAATCCACATATGAAATGAAGAGGAAAATGTGGACAACAGTGTGTGTATTAAAAGAAACATGCACAAAAGCTGCTGTGGAAGTTTTAATTAATAAACTACAGAAATGAGATGAAATGAACATAAGATGGGATTTCAGTCATTCTTTTGAATTTGCAACTGTGGTAATTAAACATGCTTTAATATGTTTCCAACAAATGTATAATGTTTATATCATTTACTGGATCTCTGTTTTGACCTTAGGGTCCACCAGGACGTGCTGGTCTTCCAGGGGCTGATGGCTTACCTGGACCCCCGGGTACCATGTTAATGTTACCAGTAAGTCTTACTTTGCTTTATAAACATTACATTTTCAAGGGACAAATAAGAATTTCAATGCAGTATGATCAACTATTAATATTTCTCTTAATAAATCACCTAGGTCCAGGTTGATGGAAGCTCTTAGAAGTTAGACAATAGCAGTGACCAATGCAAGAGCTGATTCCTGAAACTGGCTTATATCCAGTGACATGATGACATTATTGATGGAGCAGAGTGACATTTCACCCCAAGCTATACAAACGGCCTGAGATTGTGCTTTTGAAATGAGGGAAATGGCCAGATTTCAGTGGCATAGTCTTAGGTTGCAAAAGGGATGCTCACTCCTGAAATAACAGACACTGCACTTCTTCCACCATTCTAGACAAGTGTATATATCAGGTTTTGAAAGAACACTTTATTTCTGTTGTTCATGTTAAAACAGGGATGGGCAATTAATTTTCCCAAGGGGCCATATGAGAAACAAGGACTGTTGTAGAAGGCTGAACCAATGTAAGCCGATTTGATATCCTCAGATTCTATCACCTCAACTCCTCAGACTGGTGCAGGTGAGGGGCAAGCTCTTCACAGGTGCAGAAAAGTACTTTTTCTTCACCCTCCTGCGTGGAATGGGACAATTTGCCCCAGCCATCACACAATGGCCATCTCACTATAGCCTTCTCATCATGGCCAACTTACTCCGGTCATCTCATTGCAGCCAATTCACTGCAGGATAAGTAACCATGGCCAGCTTTCTGTGGGGCAACATGCCACAGAAAAGTTCATGTGGGATAACATTAAATGTTATCTACCGCTGTTTCTTTGACATTATTTCCATTTTTCTCAATGGAACTAATGTTCAAAAAATAGTGGTGGATAACATTTATCGCATTGAATTATCCTGCAAGGAGGTGTCCATGGCAAGTTGTCCCATGGCTAGTTGGCCATTGTGAATTGTCCCATGGTGAGTTGCCGTTGACGAGATGGCCATGGCGAGATGGCTGTGGCTGTGGCGAATTGTCCTAGATCCCTCCTGCAGCTGCCAGCTGACTGAAGGAGCTCGTGGTGACTGCACGGAGCCAGATCCGACTTTGCTTCTTCTCTTGTCCCCTATGGCACACTTATTTACTTTTGATTTCTTCTTTATGATTGACCTCATGCAGGCTGGGCAGGGCCCAAAGGACTGGATATGACCTAGAGGCCATAAAATGCCCAGATCTGTGTTAAAACATGGTTTCAATAAGTCAATTGCCTGAACTTATGTGACATACTAATTAAATAAATTTCTGAGTTCATCAGTGATTAGTTTTGCGACTTTAAATACAAAAGCAACTTCCGTTGAGGATGTATTTATGATGGTAGTGCTATAACATACCTAGGAGTGAACCAAATTCCAGTTGAACTTTTAGACAGGCCCAGCCAGAAGGGCTGACATCTTCTAAAATTTAACTTTCCAGCACCAGTAATGGAGGAGAGAAAACTAATATTTCTTAGGCCTAAATCCTTATTGAGAGGGACGTCTTCATGTGAAAAATGACCTGGGTTTGCTGGATCTCTAATTAAAAGCAACAAAGTCGTGGCGAGCTACAGTTCCCAGTAATCTTTGCATTGAAAACATCTTCTTGATAATTTTAAAGGCAGAACTGGAGATTAAGCTGTAAGACAAAGAAAGCTTGGACTGCAGTGATTCATTAATTCTCCTCAAAAGCATGGGGAGCTTTACAGCTTGGAATGATGCCATATTAAAATGATCCAATTCAAATCTTATTGAAACAGTGAGATGGGCAATATATAATGTAATAATAAACAAATACAATTTTGTCCAAATTAGTTTCTTTAAGGTTAACACATTCTGAATGGGAGATAATCTTTGTCACTAGCAATAATGCTGTTTATTTTAGTAATGATTATTTTTTAAAAAATAAAATTTGTGATAAATTATACAACCTAAAAACTACCTACATAAAACACCATTATATCAAAGGAAGGTTCTTAAAGATTGTAGTAAAAAAATATTTCATTAATGAGTGAATAGAAATCAGTTCTGAATTTTTCATTTTGACTAAAAAAATAAAAACATGCTTTGCTTCTGTACAGTTCCGCTTTAGTGGAGGTGGTGAGAAGGGCCCAGCAATCTCACCTCAGGAAGCTCAGGCTCAAGCTATTCTTCAGCAAGCCAGGGTAAGTGCATGCAGACCAAAGCAAAGCTGGAAAACCTTGCCCCCCACCGAGGCCCACCCCTTTTCAAAGGCTCTGTTTCCCATTCATCAAAACATGCTGTGATCTGCCTTCTGACATGAGTGGAACCAGAACTGAAAATGAGTAGAGCTACAGCAGAAGTGATTAGATGTGGAAACTGCCCTGAGGTCTGCTCTATGGCCTTTCCTGCTCCTGCTGTATTGGTGGAAAATGTCAGCCCCATTCGATAATCCAGACAAGGGCCAATTCTGCAGAGATTGGCTAGAGCATAGGTTGTAGGAGATGGCTAGGCTGAGCCTGAGGGAGGGGTCAAACACATTATAAGTCATGAATCCCTGCGTGCCTCTAAGAGATCTAAGTCCAGCCCACCTTGAATTCTTCTCTTATCTCCCATGCATTTCCCTTGATCGCTAGTTGGTCAGATACTGGTAGGGAGCTTAAGCTAGCAATTAATCTCATTTATTTGCATTTGAACTGCCAGAATCTCCTGATTTCCCCAGCATTTGACACAGGTAGTCCTTGTCTTATGACCGGTAGCTTAGTGACCATTCAAAATTACAGTGGACCTACTAAAGGGGGGTACTTACAACCTGGATTCAAAATTCTGGCAATCAGCCTTCCCTGCCACAGTCACCTGACTGTACTTCAGGTGCTTGGCAATTGGACCAGGTTTACAGCTGTTTTCAGCATCCCGTAGGCCTGTGGACATGTTTTACAATGGTTTTGTTAAAATCCATCCTTCCAGTTTTTGGCAAAACTAGCCCATAGTTAGCCATGGGTTCCCTTAAGACTACAGTGTTTACTTAACAACCCCACCACAAAAAAGATTGTAAAATGGGTCAGTCAAATGAGTGACCCAATTTATGACCATCATGTGTTACAACTGTGATAAGCAGATAATAATAATATCTTACTCAGTTTTACAAAATGAACATTGTCTCTTATTTTTATAGAATCCAGGATCTACTAAAATTAACTTTTGGGGTTTTATCTGTATCATGCCAGAGTCATGATGCTTCACGATCTTTCCTCATAAAAGGTAGCAAGGTTAAAAAAATTTTTACATTTCAGCAAATAGCTAATTATCAATGGCAATTGTTGGAGGTTATGAGTAGTTTAGCAAGTGATTCATGTTAAATATTTATTTTTGTTTACATTACAGATTGCAATGAGAGGGCCCCCTGGTCCAATGGGACTTACTGGAAGATCTGGTCCTGTGGTATGCAAAAATTGGTTATCCAAAGTTGTGATTCATAAATGATTTATCTCAGTTGCAATGCCATTTAATTGGCGGGGATTTTAATAAGAATGATTTATTAGTGTATCTGTCTAGGAGCTGTCCCTAGCATTAAGTTTAGGGACTGCCAATCTTTTAGAAGCTAGAAAGCACAGTACAAAACAAAATTAGGCAGCGATTGATTTCAGAGGAGGATGTAATCATGCAACAATATTACATGAGTAAATGGAGCTAGGATTTTCAATCATGTATGGGTTGGTTTGTGTTTTGCTTTTAAAAATTATTATTGGCTGTTCTGATGGTTTATATGTCCTTTATATTTGCTTTCCACTGAAATTTGTTTGGAAATCACTCTTCTGTTGTTCAGTGTTTTGCAAATGAATTTGGGGAGCATAACTTATGGGGATTTTGAAATTATGTGACAGAGGTTTACACAGTCTCTGAGCTGCTCAGCCTTATATTAAGCAGAATGAAATGTCTGACTGAGGCAACAGATACTAAGAAGTTGCCAAATACTAAAAGACAAAACTGGACATTTCTGCATACGCCTAAATTAACCTCCATCCCCAGGTTGCAATAAAGGGTGTGGTCCCATAATCAAGGCTGCAGTGAGGTTCAGCTGCAAGGCTAGGGAGTTTCCATATGGTCCTTTACTGGAATCCAGCATACCCTGACCTGGCCACAGACTCTCTTGATAAAATTAAATAAATGTTTCATTTGATGGTTAACATATTTCTCAATATGCTTATTTGTCCCCTTGGAATTTGTACCATTTCTGCAATTTTTGAAGAGTTAATTTCCTCCACTTTTATATTATTTGTATTGGGGGAAATTATTTAGAAATTTATCTCCTATTACAAAATAGGAGGGTTTTTCCCCCTCAATTATTTAAGGTAGTTTAAATACAGGATTTAATGATGAGAATACTGGAGATTCTGATTTCAGCATGGAGTTTAAAATGGCCAACAGAATGTCCCAGTTGTCTAGTTTGGATAACAAGCAGAGCAAAATTGCAGACCTCTATATTATAGACTCACTGGATAGAGATTTGACATTTGCCAGCATTTTAAATGTTTAAATGACAAAAGCAGAACACTAGCTCTGCAGTTGTTAAATTACCTGAGCAATTTTCTTCTAATGATGGTTTCCTATTTTATGAAACGGATACTCTGTTGACAGAGATAATCAAAATGATTCATTTAAATGCTGCAGTTAAGCAGTTACTATCTCTTTCCAAGCTATCCAAGGGTATTTACAACAATATAAAATGATACTTATTACAACCGAGATTACAGACTTTGCATAAACCTAGTAGTCTCCTGAGGAACCTCAGTAATTACACCAAGGTAGAAAAACACTTAGACATAAAGGTCAAGAGGAAGTATGCCATTCAGAATGAAAGGATATATTTAGTTTCTAATGTAGTGTGCTGTTTCCCTGATTTGCAAAAGCAGGCTAGCCAGCATAGTCGCCTTAGGGCAGTGGTTCTCAACCTTTCTAATGCCGCAACCCCATAATACAGTTCCCCATGTTGTGGTGACCCCCAACCACTTATACATCACTGGGTGCCAGGGACATGGCCAAAGAAAAGGGGGAAAAATGGCTGACAGCCTTGTTTGGCGACCCCCGTGAAATGGTCATTCGACCCCAAATGGGGTCCCGACCCACAGGTTGAGAACCACTGCCTTAGGGGCTGTGAGAAGTTGTAGTTGTATCTGTGTCCAATGTTCCTGCTTGATTCTGATAAAACTGCTGATAATCTGTATTGATTGTAACCATCCTGCCCAAGATGAAGGTAGCTGAAGTCAACAGAGCCACCTTCTCCACCTCTGTATCTGTATTTCCTCTCTCTCACACACACACATTTCCAAGGCTTCAAGTTCTTGCTCTGATAGCCTAGATCTCCTGTAAATATCCATATTTTGCTTATGGAGATCAGAAAGCTGCTGATGCCTAATGAGAACTTCCTTATTTGGAAACTGTCTTCTACATAAAAAACATGCTAACTTTTTCCCATCTGTTAACTTTTCTTCCTCATTCTCCAGTCTCTCCAAGAAATCTTCCTCATTCTTTTTGGAAGAAAAATGATAGCTGTTCTTTAGTCCAGAATTCTTTACATGTTCTGGACTGTCCCAGTTGCCTTAATTCCCAAAGGTCATGTTAATTGGTGATTATATGGCTGTTGTCCAACATGGCCAAGAAACATCAGGCTCCAGGGATGTGCTGCTGAAAATATATTGTAAACATGAACTGTTTTTGTCAGCTTTGCAGGTAGAAGGATTAGTACAATGAAAATCTGAAACCTTTGGGTAGGAGCGTTGCTATTTATAGCTGAGGAAATAGAGAGTTATGTTCTTTGTATTTAACAAAAAAAAGTTTTGTTATGGCATCAAGCAATGCTAGACGTGCCTCAAAGCTATATGAGTAATTTGACAACTCTGTAGTGCACGGGTGTCACACTCAATCGCATCACACGATGTATCGTGATGTATCACAATGGTTTTTGCCTTTGCAAAGCTGGGGGGCGTGGCCTGTGCATGACTCATCCGGCCCATGGGCCGCCAGTTTGACCCCCTTGCTGTAGTGGGAATTACATTTGAAAATGTGCTGCAGTTTTCTTGATTAAAAAAAAAAGGCAAAACTTTTGTTGGCTTTGTCCATAAAAACATGCCCACTTCTAAATATTTTTACAACTCTCTCACTGCAAAAATTAACATATATTTGCAAACTTGTGAAGGACAGAAAACTTTGTAAAGGTATTGACCTTTTTGACAGTAGTGGTGTTGGGAAATATTTACCCTGTTGATTAAATCAAGTAGAGACCTTACAGTGTGGACCTCAAAGAATCTTTCTCACGGTCTCTAGTCCCAAGCTCCTTGTTTCACTATAAACAACAACTGGTTTTTCTACTGATCAAGACTTCAGAAAGGGTATCTTAAAATTCTTTTCTTCCTGGAGTGAAGAAGATGTAGAAAATGGAGGTGGGTCAGTTTGTAAAATATTTACAGTAATAGGTGGAAAGTTATGATCTGCAATAGAGAAGATACCTTCTTTTGGAATATGTCCTGCTTGACCAACTCTTGCATTTTCTCATGCAAGAGTCTGTCAGTAGTGAAATGAAAACTGTTTTTAAAAAATGAAGTAGTAGTAGTAGTGAACGGAAGGAATATGTTAACAATCAATTGCCTGCAAGGCCCTCACAGTAAGCACTTGTAATATTCTCCTGTTTATAAGCAAAGCAAAGTCCCAATAGTAGGATGTTTTAGAAATCCCCAAATCCAGTTTGTTCATTTTAAAATCCCCAACCCAAAACTTCTGGGATCTAGGTGATATGGGACTGGGTTCCTCTAGCTTTTTATTTAGTGTATGCTCAGCACAGCTAGTCTGGAAAGTATAGCGTTATTTGTTAATTTACAGGCTACCATCCCCTAGCAGAATATTTTAAAGCCAATAAATGAACAATTGAAGTGAAAGCAGGGAAGGCCTGCCAAAGCACCTGTCATAGATAAAACATAGAAGAGGAATGGGAGAGGCACAGATAAGAAGGGATGAATTGGAGCGACTGCAAAGGGATCTTTATACAAAGACCACTTATTATGTTCCCAACTATAATTCTGCAAGAAAAAAAGTACTACCCTTCTCTAGGGAAGTATAGGAAGACTAAAACGAAACATTGCGGTTAACTGTTCCCCAGCTGCATAGTTTTGATTCATATCCTTTGGCCAAGATAACTCTACAATTAGCCTACTCTAGCCTCTGTGATTTGTAGGGAAGGAAGTTATAAAACTGGTCCTTCTGCTCCCATTCAATGCTTCCTTGCCAGGTTATCAGAATGGCTTTGAGAATGGCTGCAAACGGAGCAAGTAACTGATGTCTGAAGGTATCTTGCAGCATAAGAGCCACTCTTAACATCTGTCACTAAAAAGGATCCTAATATTTTACTGCTCCTGTCATTGTTTATCTCCTGTTTTCAGTGGAATATAATTTGTTTTTGGAATGAGATAATAGCCAGTTGGCAGACAAGCGATATTACTGTATTGGAAAAGTTCTCACTTTTGGCTTGTCATTTTTTGTGTACTGCCCAAAGTTCCCTATGATAGATAAACACACAGGCAGGCAGAGAGATCTGCCTTCTCCAAGAGAGAAGAAAATCTCACTAAGACTTTCTTTTGAAAAGGAAGAACAAACAGGATAGTGTTCTTACCAGTGCCAAGAGTTTCCCATTGGAGCTGTCCTCGAATATGGAATATTTTTTTCTATGCAGAATCATATTACATCAGTCCTGGCAGGAAATGCTGCACATATTTTCACCAATAGGGTTGGAGGGATTGTTTTGATATTGATGAAAAGGATTTTGTAGCATGCTGGTGGAGAAATCTTGAAACATGCTTATAACTGGGAGACAGTGAACAATGGCCTGCAAGCCACAAAGCTCCAGCACTGCAAATTGAAAATAGAGGTTGACCATAATTGCTTATCAGTATGAGATTATAGGGGTGTGAACCCAGATTGGTGACAAAATGCATGTAGAAATGCCCTCAATTTATTATTGAGACTAGAAGTGGGTTGACCAGCATCTTTAAAGATATTTATTCTTGGACAGTAAATTTTAAGTTTAAGATGATGGCTGGAAAGCAATAAATAAAATTATGAACCAGTTTGATGTGAACATGTCCCATAGAATCATAATCAGCAATACAAAAGTGTTTATTTTTCTGTGTCAAAATGTGAGTCAGATTGAACTAAAACAGCATGCTCTTGGGCATTTTTCCTTGGGTGCAGGGAAGTCCTGGTTCACCCGGTATCAAAGGTGACGGTGGAGATCCAGGACCTCAGGTAAGAGTCTATCAGCAACAAAGAAACAAATGCAAATGGTGGATTTGTAATGGGGTCCCTCAATTTTAATCCTAGTGGTCCCAGTAACTGAGAGAATTGTTTCATAAAGCAATTTGACCTTAAATCCAGGTATAATCTGATACCAACAGCATCACTTCATTCAATCCATCACCTCCATGTGGGGACTTACTTATGACTTCAAGCATCCAACTTAATTGTTTTTGTATTTCTTCATTCTTGTTTTTGCCCTAACACTGAGTATGTACATTAATTTAGTTGGATAAACATAAACTCAATTTTAATGCCTCCCCACAACAGACCAACAATGCTTTTTTTTTGTTTTGTTTTATTTACCTGGTATGCATTTGTAACAATAATATTTCCTGTTTATGGAAATTATGTTTCCAAAGAACTAATAATTTCTGTTTTTGTCCCCCGCATCCATATAAATGTTCCTTGCCTTATTGAATACTAACCTAGTTTGTACTTTTTACTAGTTTATTTTTCATCTTTCCCCCATAAAAATGCAAATTGGATCCAATTTTTTTTTGTGTTGCCTGTGATATTGTCCCCTGTGTTCCTGCTTTATGGATCTAATAATGTTTTTGCAAATCTTCTTGTTTGTTCAGAACATTTTTCCATAATTACAAACATGGAATACATTTTCTGGATGTAAAAAGGTTAAAATAGGTTGCACATTCCTACTAGAAAAATGCATTGTAAACAACTTAGACATCTGGTCACATAGGAAGAGTTATAGAAACATAGTAAATAGTATATCAAGTATTTATAGCAGTGTTTCTCAAACTTAACAACTTTAAGATCTATGGACTTTTAAGTCCCAGGCACCCATGCTGACTAGGGAATTCTGGGAGTTGACGTTCACATATCCTAAAGTTGACAAAATTGAGAAACAGTGATTTATAGTACAGATATAGGAGATTTAATTTTCTAAAAACAACTTACTAGCATTTGAAAAATCTTCAAAAATTAATGTCCTTTTTTAAAAAGTAAATGTGATAGAAAATGAAGCCGACAAACTTGTCCACTCTTTCAAAAGCTATAGCTGGATATATAATGAAGGAAACCTTGTTTAAAATATTAAATGTCAACAACTCAGCAAAGACTTTGATTTAAAATCTGTGGTTCCATGAAAAAAGAGAGAATGAGAGATTTATGCCTGGAGAGACACAAATCTGGAGAGACACAATGTAGGATCTAATCAATCCATATGGGATAGATTTCTTAATCCACAGTTTAGAAGTGTCTGCTTTTTCTTCTTTATTTTGTACACTGTAAAGAACAGTATGTTATGGGTGTTCAAGCCTATGAAAAAGTCTTTCTTTTTAATCCCTTTCAAGTGGATAAAAATACTGGAAGAATTTTGCAAACTGTTTATTCTTCCAATAGAAGAGAATAGATGTAGTTCAGAAGGGAATGATGGGATTCTTGGTGCTTTTAGAGATGTTGATCTTACCTAGTTGGATAATGAAACATCTGCAACAAAGAACCAAGATCAGAGAGAACAAAGGATTCCACGTGAATTATTCTTTGTTTTGTTTGAAATGAGTACATTTTCATTGGTCTCTTAGTTAACATCAGTTAAAGACTTTAATTTGAGGTGGATTAATTAGTTTGAGAAGAGCCATGGTGACACAGTGGTTAGAATGCAGTACTGCAGGCTACTTCTGCTGACTGCCGGCTGTTGGCAGTTCAAGTCTCACCAGGCTCAAGGTTGACTGAGAGGTTGGTAAAATAAGGATCCACATTGTTGGGGGCAATGTGCTGACTCTGTAAACTGCTTAGAGAGAGCTGTAAAGCACTGTGAAGTGGTATATAAGTCTAAGTTCTATTGAGGTAGATTATAATGAAGCAGAATCTCATGATTTCCCTGATGCAGTGTACCGCTAGTAGAAGCAGTCTCTCTCTCTCTCTCTCTCTCCCTCTCTCCCTCTCTTCCTCTCTCTCCCCCCTTCTCTCTCTCTTCGTGTGTATGTAGCATGTGCACTTACATATGAATATATTTTTCAGGGTCCTCGAGGTATTCAAGGTCCACCTGGTCTGCCTGGAAAATCTGGTAAAAGAGTAAGTTTTGATGCTTTAAAATTGTCATTTTGATAAAAAAGATACCTCTAGAATTATTGGCTGTGATGAGGTTGTTTTTTTTAAAAAAAAAATTGTGATGTATGTGCCTTGCCTACTAAAACAGTCATCTTTTTTTCTCCCCATAGGGTCGTCCTGGTGCAGATGGAGCAAGAGGAATACCAGGAGAGACAGGTTCTAAAGTTAGTAATTTTGGATTTTGATTATCTGGAGGCTGTTGTAATGTCCAGATATTTGTTAGGAACCAGACGTCTCCTTTTGTACCATTACATGATTGAATCTGATTGACTTTGCAGAGCGGAGTAAAGAATTATGTATGAAATAGAAGTACTGTAGCTCTAGTAACACACTTGCTGCTCCATTTTTGCACACAGTAGTGCACCTTCATGGCTAGCAGGCCTTAACAAATAGAGGAAACCAGATCACCTTTAGAGAAAACCCTTGGGTGGAATATGGCTATTCTATGATGTCATTAGTTCATTGCAGTATGTCAGAAACAAAGCCACTTCATGGTGTACTTTCCTTCTGAATGAATGAATGTCTGGAAATGAAATGAGAAGTTTTTTGGTAATCTGAGCAGCAGCTCCTCCAAGTCTTCAAACCAAAAGGGGGAAGATGTTTATAGGTCTTTTGATCTAAAGAAAAGAAAAGAAAAGCCTTCTTGCTGAAGTGTACCTTTCCAGAATTTGAAAATTTTATCCTAAACCAGGAAAATGTTCTTTATCTTTCCAAATAGGTTTTAGAAATAACATCCTAAGAATAATTATTTGTTGCAATTCCAAGCAACATTCAGTTTTAGGACATCAATAAAATAGATGTATAGTAGAATTCATTTATCAAAACTATTATAAAATGTGAGAATGAACTGCTCACACTGTTATAAGGAACAGTATAATTGGGTATGTCTAGATTACTGAAGAGAAGGACAAGGGGGGACATGATAGCAGTATTCCAATAGCTCAGGGGCTGCCACAAAGAAGAGGGAATCAAGCTCTTTTCCAAAGTGCCTGAAGGCAGGACAAGAAGCAAGGGATGGAAATTAATCAAGGAGAGAAGCAACCTAGAACTAAGGAGAAACTTCCTGACAGTTAGAACAATTAACCAGTGGAACAACCTGCCTCCAGAAGCGGTGAATGCTCCAACACTGGAAGTTTTTAAGAAGAGAATGGACAGCCATTTGTCTGAAATGGTGTAGGATTTTCTGCCTGAGCAGTGGGTTGGATTAGATGACCTCCAAGATGATGATGATGATTTTCCTAATTCTTATTATTGTTACTCCTATTAGGGTGACAGAGGCTTTGATGGGCTTCCCGGCCTACCAGGTGAAAAAGGACACAGGGTAAGAAAAATATCCATGTTTCTTTATCTAAAAATGTGAGTACATTAAAACTATATCTGGAATTGTCCAAAACAATTGTGACATTTTCCAGACCCTGCGATTTCAGTATGTTTAAATGTCCTACATATGTTTATTCAGACTTAGTTCCCATTGAGTTCAGTGAAATGTATGCCCATATATGGGAGGGAAATCAAACAGATAGTAAATTAATATGCATGGGATGTAGACTTTGAATACGTCCGCAGGTTTTCATTAGCCAGATTGAAATATCTCTTCAATGAAGTCAGTAATATTGCTGTAGATTAAAGTGGTAGCTCAGATCAGAAGTTTTCAAACTTTTAAAGAACTGGTTAGCTGAGGGGGGGGGACCCAGAATCCTTGATCATGAGGCAGAACTCTAGTAATAGAAAAAAAGTTGCATTCAAGACAACTTTTTTTTCTCTGTAATCTCTCATGAAATCCTATCAAGTTCTTGCAGATCCCTCGTCTTTTGTGGAATATAGCTTGAAAAACCATGACTAACATTGTTTCTTCTTTTATGGATTGTCAGTATAGATCAAGAATGGACCACCTATGCCCCCATCCCTGTGTTTATCAGTAAATGTCCCTCATTTCCTCTCCCCTCCCCTCTTCCCTTCCCCTCCCCTCTTCCTGTGTTAAATTTGGGAATAATAGAATGAGGCTCTCTAACTCCTGACTCCAAAATAGCTGGGTTTGCTCAGTATCATCTTAAATGCTGCAGGACCTTCACAGATATTTAGAATGGTGCTTACCCAAGCATATCTTGAAACTACTTTATCCTTTATACCTTATAATTGTTTGGAAAAAGACAGAAGGGGAAGAGGCCAAAAGCACATTATTACAACAATAGTTAATAGTTAAACCAAGTGCCATTCAACCTAAACATTACATGCCAGCAGGCAAGATAGTTCACATCTGTTTATCTTTCATTTTAATTTTGCTTAAAAATTCCAAGAGCAAAGAAGTAGCCTGATGATTCCTCATAGCAGCAGTCCTGGGCCACTGTCTTACTACAGTCAACATTCCAGATTATTGGTGATATAGTTCAAGTCCAGCCTAGATTGGAACGTGGAGTTTAAAGTGTAGCAAGCAAAGATTACAATTTTGCTGATCAGGCAATGACAAAAGACGAACTCATAACAGGGGTCCCCAATCCCTGGTCCATGGACTGGCAGAAACTGGCCCGCAAAATGATCCCTTGGATAGTCCCAACAAACTATCCTAACTTTTGGCATTGCTATGGGGTCCCCAACCCCCAGTCCGTGGACTGGCACCAGTCTACGGCAGGCCAGAAACTGGGCCACACAAACAAGGGAAGTCCCATCCACGGGCAGCACAGGAAACCACGCCCCCTCTGGTCCACAGAAAAACCTGTCTCCACGGAATTGGTCCCTGGAGCCCAAAAAGTTGGGGGGGGGGGTGTCACTGACTTATAGTATTCAACTTATTCAAGATGTGAAAGAAAGCCAACTCATTCCACTCATATCGTGGAATATGTACAAGCAGTAAAAAAAAATTACAAGGAAGGATCCTGTAATATAAATTTTCCCAGTGCTAACTCTTCTGTGTCCATACGTTTGACATAAAAAACTTCATTTGTAAAGTATAGGATACTAATGGTGCAAAGACATTGAAAAATGCATTTGGGGAAGTGAAGTTTTAAATGCTACCCCATAACAGCTTGAAAAACAGAATATCCATTTTTCATCAAGTGGAAGTTTGTGTGTATCAAACAACCCCCCCCCCCAAATAACTATTTTTTACCCTGAAAAATTGATATAATGTAGTGTGGGTAATGTTAACCCCATCTCATTGGCTTTTTATTAACTATTTATATTTCATGTATCTCTTTGCTGATTGCCCATGTCATTGACCCTAGCTGTGTGTATCAACATTTAATTTGTAGAGTATATAAGGTGGAAAACATTTTGAATAGGAAGATGTGTAGTCTTTTGAAAATCAAATTAATGAAGTAAATGGTCAGCAGAGGGCACTGTACATTAATCACTATTGTGATACTTAAATACATCACTCCAGGAATCTTTTTCCATGGCTGATAAATATTCTCACAATTCCATCTCTGTCTTTGTCTAAGCTACTTTGGCTGAGCTAGCAATTGTGTGACCTTTAAGTGCCCATTTCCTTAAAATCATGGGTACTTTTCTTTATATCATTTCTATTTATAGATGACTATTTGCACTATCACGTCCACTTATACTTACATTATGGTTATTTTTCAACTTGAGCTTCATAAATGTTAAAATCAGGACAATCATATCCTCATGAAACACAGACTTAGGTGAATTCTGAATTCAAAAGCTTTACCTACTTTAGCACTGGGAAAATATGAACTCATAAGATAAAATGTGCACATATTTTAAACTGATACACATATTTTTTTAAAAAAATGGCAGGCTGATATACCCCAAGTCTACTTATTGATCCACTTAGAAAAATATCTATAGAAAGTAATCGATAACTCCTCCATTTTGCTGTCCCCCACAAATTACAGGTGTTTGACATTGCCTACAGTGCACCTTATTTCTTCAGTATGGTAATTTGGAAATAAAAGATAAACATCTTTGAATTACAATGATATATGTACTACCCAATTTACGTACTATCTGTCTGTCTCTTTATCGGTCTATTATGAAGCTTTTTATGTGGGAGGACTATTTTACATAATTCAGAAACATGCTTAATTCTTTACTTTCCCTCTTTATTGCTATTACTATTATTTTCTCTGTTGCTTTGCATGAACTGTACACTGAATGTTTCTGTACCAGAGACAAATTCCTTATGTGTCTAATCATACTTGGTCAATAAAGTATTCAATTCAATTCAATTTAAATTTCTTGGGGTATTTCAGAGGCAATAATACAGTTATGAAATTTGAATTAAATTGAAAATTTGAGCTGTACATAGCAAGAACTGATGGCAGGTGGACTAAGGCAGTCTTAGAATGGATTCCATTTGAAAAAAAAGCACCCACGAAAGAGACTTAAAACAAGATGAAGTGGTGACATCAGCAAGCATTGCAGACCCAACTGACAAAAGGCAGCTCAGGACTGTGTTGGTTGGAAACATGTGGAAGAGGCCTTCATGCTGCAGTGAATAAACAATGGCTAGAATGGTGATGATGATGACAAACAAATTCATTACTGTAGCTACATTATTAACAGATTTTTTAGAGCTGTTCATATGTCAAACTATAATGTGGTTCATTTGCTTTTGACTTTATGGCTATAATTATAAATGGTGGCAACCTGTTCTGGCCTATTGGATTACAACATCCAGAATTTCTAGTCAGCATGACCACACAAATCCTATCTTACCTTGATGTATGTACTCTTGTCTTCTTCTAGCAGAGGGAGCTAAGCAATTGAAGAGTAATATATATTCCACAGCCTATATATACCTTTCACATTTTTATTCTCATCACTTAAAGTGAGGCTTCTTACTCAGTTAAACTTGTGCAGCAATTTGACTCACAAAGTGAAAGCCCTCTTGAACTCAATGTATAGAACTATCTTACTTGATAAGCTTAATACAAGTAAGAATTAAATATTCTTTTAGATTCTTTTATCAGTGAAAAATGTGATAAACATTTTATATACAAACATGTATATAAGTAAAAATTCTCAATCAGTCTATTTTTGGTTCATGTTGTTTTTACATGTGTTCATTCACAATCTGGGAACATTGCATATTATTATACAATTTTAAAAAAATCTGTAAGAAAATAAATATTTTATTATTTTATTATCACATAAAATAGCCATTGACATTTTTATCTAGATGTATATGTCATAAATTATGTTTTTCTTAGGTATTTTGAAAAGTTCCTGAGCGAAAACGTAATTCTAATTTGTACATTAGTCTAGGAAGCACATATTGTTTCTACTAGTTCTGACTGCCTAAAGAACCAATTACTCAAAGATCCCAACAAATAAGAAGTAAAGTGAGATTGTGACTATTCTCAGTCATTGTTTATTAACTTCTTTTATATCTCTTATGATCATGTTATTGAGAATATATTTGCTAAGGCTAAGTAAATGAATGGCTATCGTATCAATATGTTCCTTGGATATTTAACTTCACCTTTGATACTAATTTTTTGATAGCTTTTTTCTGCATCTGGAAACAGCAGCATCAATATTAGAATCTTCCTATATGTACAAATTACAGTACATTTCAAAAATGAAAAATTAACAGGGAGAATCAGTCTTTGCAATCTGAAATTTCAAATAATTAAGCTTTTATGAGAGGTTAGGTATGGATTGCCATGTGCAAATTTGAAATGTGTGCATGCATTTAGATTATTTATTGTGCATGTATGCATGTGTGTGTGTGTGTGTGTGTGTGTGTAGACTATATATATATTCTTTTTCATTCTAAACCTCAAAGATCCAAATGCTTTTGATTTGAATTCAGACACAATTTTTTGCTACCTAGGGAACATAACTGTCATCCTCCAGAAGGAACTTTGCTTAATATTTTAGCATTTAATTAGAAATTAATAAGTGTGTTTGAATACCAGGCAAAAGCATAGTTGAGACATTGAGGGATGAATCACACTGAACTGGGGCTTGTGGATCTTTCATTTTCTTCTCCTCTATCACTGCCTGGTGGAGCTTTTCCAAATACTGCTTCCCCTGTTAATTCAATATTTAACTTTCCATGGCAGTGATTAACCATAATTTCTGCAGCTGGATGATATAGCAAACTGTGGTCAAGAAAACATGGACATCAACATTTTCCAACTGCACATCATAGGTATACCAGAGAACAAAGGGGATGCATGAACTAGAAGTATATTAAATTATGGTTTGGTTTGATGCCTTAATCCGTGATTTGTAGATTATTTTGAAAAGTATTATATAGCAGCCATTTATTGTTGTTGTCATTAAGTGCTGAACATATAGGTATAAAATTACTCTGATTTTCCTATGAAAATCAATAGAAAGTTTGTTCATATTACTAGCATCCAATAAGCAGGATGGGCAAATGTGGAAAGCTATGCAGTGTTCTTAGAATTGTGTTTTGTTTGTAAGAGAATGAATAAATATTGTCCACTACCTAGCATAGGATTAAACAGGTTTCAGCCTTCTAATTTCAATGGGTTTAAACATATTTTTACTCTGTGTTGGATTATGGCCAGTACTTTAAATCCAGCCTTCAATAGAAGCATTTGCAAAGTGATATAACATGTAGCGATCTGTATCTTTTTAACGGAGCCATGTCCTGACATGCTAGCATAAAGCTCAAACATGTGCATCAGCACACAATTTTATCTCTTTCCCCAAATGTGATTTTATCATGTTTTCTCTTCAGGGAGATCGTGGACCACAAGGGCCTCCTGGTGCTCCTGGGGAAGATGGAATGAGAGTACGTCATTCATTGTTTTCCTCTCTTTTTTCACCTGCAAAATAAAAGTTTAAAAGTACTGTTTCTTTCACACTTAACCCCTTTCTTTCCATTTTGTTTTTTCTTGAAATAAGGGAGAAGACGGTGAGGTCGGACCAAGAGGCCTTCCAGGTGAATCTGTAAGCAAAGCTTTCTATTTGTTTAGTACTCATGATCACTTTTGTTGTGAATCTATTTGCCTCTGAAAAAATATACTATACTCTGTCCAGGGCACCATTTTGGAATCAAATATAATTAGGGGACAAATTCAACTGATACGTCTGATTTGTTCATAAAAAATTCTTAGTTCTATATTTCTCACTGAAGTAAACTAATGCTATCTCCCTTTCTTGTTAGTACTTCTATATTTTTATTAATGAATACTCATGGACATTTTTTTTCTCCACTTGCTTATTTCATTTTAGTGAATTTCACAGTAAGTCCCACTTGGGGAATTTTATCACTGCAACAATTTATGGATCCATCTTACATAAATAAATGCAAAATTCACACTGATCTTTTAGAATGTATGGGCTGTCATAGAAGAAAACAACTCCATCACGTGCATGACATATTCTAAATTTTTTGGATTAATAAATGTATCCAACAAAAGAATAGAAATAATTTTTCCCTCTTGATTCTAAAGTTCCTATGTATGAATTTTTGCATGTAGGTATATGCTGTCCACATGGAGAGTTTTGTTAATTAAAGAATGATTCTCGATGAAAATAGTAACTTGTACAGTCCCTTTCTACTGATCCCAGAATCCTCAAGGTGGACTAGGAAAGGGAACTCACACTATCTATCTCTTTATGTTGGGAATAGGAAAAAAATCCAGAGCTTCAAAGTTGAGATGATCTTGATTTGAGAAAAAAGATCAGCAATTAGTGGCTTTTCAAATTGCTCTCAAAATGGCATCTTTGGAATTTTAAGAGACATCCCTTAATTTTCAGTTTAAACTGTATACTTTTTTGAAGCTCTGAGAGCACATATAATTATAAATGTATATATATAATTGTAAATGTATATTTATACCTTTGAGTCAGTCTTGATTCTTGATGACTATATGGATACATCCATGCAGTTTCCTTTGGAAGTGGTTTGCCCTTGCTTGCCTCCTTCCCAGGGCTAAGAGAGAGAGTCTGGCTCAAAGTCACTCAGCTGGCTGTATGCCTGAGGCAGGACAAGAATTCAGTCTCCTGATTTCTAATCCAGCACCTTTAATCACTGAACAAAATGGGCTTCCATAGTTATAAATACATGTATCTAAAAGAGGAATATGTTGCTGTTCTTCCAAAATAAATAATTGGGAGATTTCTGTTAAAGAAGTCTTATTTGGAACCCATTCATTTATATAACTATTTGTCAATTTCTGGTCTTTCCTGTTTAAGGATTGAGAATAAGTAAATGACAATTTAGACTGGATTTCTTGGATTAGGGTGGCTAGTTTGATCTTTCCAATACATGTTCCGACTAGGGTAGCTGGGCTGAAAAAGTTTTAATTATTATTAGGGGCCAGTTGTGTATTCAGAAAATTAACAAAAGTCCTTTTGATTTTGTTAAATATCTTTTTGTTAGACTAAAATTACATTCTTTTCTTTAGTAGATTACCTCATTTATTTTTCTCACAACTGTAGTCTGTTTTTGACATTGTATGCTTCATTTGTTGATTATATTATTTCTTTTTAAGTTTAAAAGGTAAACAAAATAAAACTCATAATGGGAGGTGGGCAACATTCTAGTTCATTTAAGGTAGCGGACACCTAAATAAATATTTAGTAGATGTGTGGAGCATCCAGTTCAACATATATGACCTCCCTCACATTTTTATCTTTAAAAGTTTTAATGTTCATATTGTTCAGCAAATTAAGATAAGGATTGTGGTTGTATTTTTGTCATGTATGTTTTCCTGCTCATTTTAAAAGGCCATTTTAAACTCAGTTTTGTTCAAAAAAGTACAGGTATCCTTGAGTAATAACAGTACATTTAGTGACCTTTCAAAGTTACAGTGGCATTGAAAAAAGTGACATGACTCTTTTTCACACTTACAACTTTTGTAGCATCCCTCATGATAATGTGATCAGAATTCAGATGCTTGGCAACTGGTTCATACTTCTGACCATTGCTGTGTCCCAAGGTAATGTGGTCCCCTTTTGTGACCGTTTGACAAGAAAAATCAATGGAGAAGCCAGATTCACTTAACAACCAGGTTACTAACTTACCAACTTACCAACTATAGTGATTCACTTAACAACTGTGGCAAGAAAGGGACAAAACTCACTTAACAAATGTCTCACTTAACAACAGACATTTTGAACTCAAATGTGGTTTTAAGTCAAGGACTACCTGTACTCCAGAATTAAATATTCCCTTATCTCATTAATTATTTTACATAACTTGCTAGTCAAGAATATTTTATAATAGAAATGCCTTAGTAATAAGCAGGTGGGATGAGATCTTCACATCAATGAAATCCCATTTTGAATATTGATAACTGTCACAAATGAAGACAAATATGTGTGTCCCAGGATAATGTTACAGGATTCAACCTGGGTCAGTCACTGGGATCATGAAGTTTTGTCTTTTGAGCTTTCGGATTCATGCTGGAGCCCATCTTCAGGGAACTTCTCTCTAATAGAATGCATGTTTTGGGCTAATAATTGATAATTGTGTTCCTTATTCATTCTTGCTGATACGCTGACATATGATCAAAATTCCACTTACCACAGCATATACAGATTTACAATAGATAGCCTCATTCAAGACCTACTCAACGTGGTGAGGTTTCTCACATAGCTAATCATATTATCACTTGTAGACTTCAATGTACCAGCTTTTAGTCACTGATTCTTTCTTAAAAATCAGCTGGCTTTTGTGCATTAGGAGTTGGGGCTGTTCATACATACATGGAAAAGCTAGGTTACAGCAGTGAAAGATCTCTGGCTTATGAATGTAGTGAAGTTATGCAGGCCGTTGTTGGCCTACAGACCAGCTTTTGAGAATATTTGTCTCAGCAATTTGAACCTTGTTAAGGTACACGGGAAAAGTCACTATCACCATTTCTGTACTACTGCTTTCTCCATTGTATAAAACAGGAAGAAAAGGAATTCATTATCTCAGTGATTGATAATAAATAATTAGCTGTTTAAGTTTTGCTATTTTCTTTGGGTTTTACTGGAGGACTTTCAGTTACATTTTAAAAGTGTACCAAAAATCTAACCCTAAGCAACATTTTTCCCACAGGGTCCACGAGGGTTATTGGGTCCAAGAGGAACTCCAGGACTACCAGGACAACCTGTATGTATTTCAAAAAAAGAAATACCTTATATTTTGACATTTCCTTTGAACGTGGTGGTGACCTATATTAGTTTCTCTGATTTTCTTATGTAGGGAATCCCAGGCATTGATGGACCATCAGGCCCAAAAGGAAACCTGGTATGTAGATTCAATTTTTTTCTCTTTGAGTAGCTGAGGCAAATACAATTTTTTTTTCTTTGAAAAAATCCAACATAACAACCTACAAATTGATATTTCTCCTAGTCGTGTCTTTTTATTTGTATGTTCCTCAGATATTGTGGATAAAAACTGCATTTTATCCTTAGTATGAGTCTTCGATCTATCTACCAATACACCAGTCAGAGGTGTGAAAGAGGACACAAATTAATTGACCTATGCTGCCAACTGTAGGTTGAAGTCTCCATGGAACAAAAAAGTCTGGAGGAGAAATCAATAGAAAATTCCTCCATCCCTTCTGTAAACTCTATCCGTTTTTGAAGTGATGATGTGAAATAATGAAGGGATTAATATTTCCCTGTGCATTTGTTATAAAACAGGGTCCACAAGGAGAACCAGGACCACCTGGGCAGCAAGGTATCCCAGGTCCGCAGGTAAGTCCTTGTTTTGTGTTAAAAAAACATTCAGGAGAGTCAGACATGAAAACTTTGAATATGCATTTCCCTGGTCCCATATGCCCTTACTTCACTTATTATCTTAAAAATGGTCCTAGTACAAAAAGGAATGAATTTTTATATTACCTTTTTCACAAATCTTCTAAATATAATTAGTTTTTTGGGGTGGGGGATGGGTTGTGGAGAGATGAATGGTTTGGATTCTGTAAATACCAACAATAATAGCAATAGTATAAGAGAGTTTTGTCTTGGATCATATGGCATCCCTGTTGTCGGCAGAGCTGCCAGTATGAAAATTTTTACAATTAGCTCGTTTTCTCTAACTTTTAATTGTGTTTCATTAAAAAGGGGTTTCTGAGGAAAGATTTCCTTTTAATGATGCAACTCTAGAGAAAGTATTTCTATGAATGTGTAGATTTCTTATGGTGCGTTTTTTATGTTTTCACAGGGGCTCCCAGGTCCACAAGGTCCAATTGGAGTTCCAGGTGAAAAAGTAAGAAATATTCCTTTGCTTAATAATCAGCAGCAAAATCTCTGCTTTCTTAAGATGTGATCTGATTTTCTTTTTCCTAAAGTAAATTTCAACTAGCAGTCCAGTTTCTTGAAATGCACTGATACTTTTCTTAAGATATCTAATCTTATTTACATATACTCTGTGAGGAGAAAAATCTGCAATTTGGTAGTAAAATACATGCATTTTGCATTATTCTATTTTCTACTTACATTGAATTTACAATATCAAAATAAGTACCATTTTCTATGTTTGAAAGTGCTAATTTCACTTCTTCAGCTTTGCCACCTGTATGTAAACCCTTTAAAATAGGCCAAGTTAGGAGGCACATCCCACAAGTTTGGCTATCACTTTATTTTATTGATATAGATATAACACATAATCTTAAACTCCTGACAAGTTTTCCTTTCCTTTCCTATTAGACTCCAATGAATTAGAGTCAGGTCAGTCTCAGCTCATTTCTCATGCTTTCTTTGTTTCCTAGGCCTCAAGCATGATTATTATTATTATTAGTTTACTGTTGTCTCCACTAAGTTTGTCTCTGTGGCTCTTTACACCATAATGTCTTTTTCTGGAATCAATGTCTAAAGGAATAAATGACACTTGAAGTGGAGTCAATGACACTTGAAGTCAAAATAGCAGCCTTACATCAAAGAATAAACTAATTACAACAGGCCCTTGGAATAGCATTTCCTTTTTATATTGAAGGGAGAGTGAAACCAGTTGGTATTAAACAGAGAAGCCTGAGCTCCTTTGCTTGCTGTTAAAAATCAGTCTCGTTCTTTGGTTTCTTTATGTCAGTTAGAACTTGTCTTTATAAGGTCTTTGCACTGTTATGAGAAGCATTTCTAAGCACATCTATTTCTCATAGAGATGATGTGCATACATGGAATGCCTGGAATGGCCCTGGCTCCTATCAGTTTCATGAAGATAAGGCAGAGATGTAGATTCTGGCAGACTTCCCTGGCCCCAGGATATCCACGTTCTATGGGAAATACTGTCAGGTGCCTTTCTATGAGGCATTATTAATGTGCATGGAGCAACATCAAAATTCAGAGCTGAAGAAACTGAAGCACATCAAGTTTCAGAGCTGAAGATGTTTCTTGGATGAGAAGCAAAACATCTTCAAGGAAAAAAACAACAACTCCAGCTGTCTTTTGTAAAAGCACCTTTTGGGACAACCATGGACGACTGAGAATCTTCATAGTCAACATTCAAGATAGTTTCTGCATGGACTAATTTTCCATTAAATCAATTATAGCCTATTTCATTTCTTTCCTCTTTCATTCTTTGGGTTCTTTGGTCAATCATCTTTAACCAAGCATTCTAAGTGGTGATGCAGTTGAGGATTTTGCTCTTTATCTTCATTCTCTGTGATTGTCACAGGTTGAGCACTAAGCACTATAGGGAATCTCCTTTATCTTTAGAGAGTCTTTCTTGAAATAGAACTCTAGAAATCAGATGTCCCTATCTCAAAAAGAGCCCCTGCATTTGAGATACCTTCTTTAGGACAGAAAAGAAATGAAGCTGCAATAGAAGGGACCATACCGCATCAATAAGACATTCTCATACCAAGCCAGTTATGACAATGAAGAAAATCAATATCTTTGATCCATACTGTGATCAACATTAGATACATTATGTTAGTCACTGAATTCATGTTTCATTTAAATTCATTTCATTTCTAAAAAGTAACCTGTTTACAAGATGCATCTTCTCACATGCATGAGGACATAAAAAGTACCCTGCTGAATTAGACAACTTCATGGTAGCCAAAAGATCTTGGAAACCTATAAGCTGAACACAAGCACAGTAGTGATCAGGATAGTGTGTCAGTTTTTCCAACTAGACCAGATAGGAAACACAACCAGGTGAGATAATTCTACTTCATTGTAAGGCTACATTAACAGAATGTTGCAAGTCTGATAGTACAAATATCCCACCCGTTTTTTTGGAGCCTGAGAAGTTAGGGGGGGGGGTTTCTTTATGAATTTCTTTTTTGGTCATCATGCAGCTGGCAGGCTATGCCCTCTCTTAGTTGATTGAAGGCAACATCAACCCCCCCCCATCTGTCCCAAGGTCATTCCCACACACCATTACTTACTGAAAAGCATGATAATGAAGATAAATATATATCCTATTTGGTTAGTAACCATTGATTGGCTTATCTTCTGCTGGCAACTTTTACCTGAAAGCCAAAAAAAACCCCTATTAAATTAAAAAGATTGTGTTAGATTTTTGACAACGCTTTGATAGCAACAGATGTGAAGACTATTCTTTCAAATACATATGGCATCTACTGCAGTACCAATTCACCATTCCTTTGTAACTATTATCAAAAGTTGCCCTGGCACCGTCTGACTCCAGTTGACCTTGGAAACTCTGGGGCTTGAGTAGATAAATTGCAGATACAAACAACCTTTGTTCTGATAAACAGAACATCTACAAAGGTGGAGAAACTAGTTTTCTGTATATGTGTGTCCTAACATTTAAATCCTGAACTTCTTTCCGTTACCCTTTTGTAGTAGACTGCTTGCAATCTCCTCTCCCTCCTTCCCTCCCTCCTTTAACTGGTCTTGTGCACCTGGCCTGTATTTAGAGTATAGTCATGTTGGGCCCCAGGCTCCTCATTTCCACTTTGCAAGCTCCAGCTATTATAGCTGTGTAGCTTCGTAACAGAGTATAAATGCTAACAAAATGCTAGTTTTACTGACACAACAACAAAATCAGTTTCAAGTTAGGCCAAAGCTTCTGTTCCAATCACATCACAATAAATCTGATTAGAAAAATATAGATTTAATTCAAAAAAAGTTTCATCAGAGTGCATAGGGATTCAAATGTAGTATCTGTTTGCAAACTTTTAAAGCAGCTGCATCATTTCCTGAAATTACAAGAAAGTTCAAACCCTAAAATCACATTAATTAAAAATATTTCCTTTAAGTCTCATTCAAGCTATGTCCTCATGTCATTTTTTTTTTTGAGTTGTCTGACTGTTTTATTCCACTATTTCACAATTGTGTTTATACTTGTGTGTTTTTAGAAAATGAATGTTAACAAAACATGAATAATAGCTTGGGAATAGCTGAACATTGATAATTGCTTCTATGAGAACAATTTTCATTCATTCATTCATTTTTATTCATCTAAAAATGGAAGAAATGGATATTGTTTTCAGATATTCATGCCAATTTATTTGAGAGTCTCACCATTCACTCCTACTTATGACTTTTAAAATTCACCACATTTTCAATATTTATTCAATATACTCAGATAAAAAGAATGAGATATACATATGTAACTGATAAAAGAAACGAGAAAGTAAGTTTGAAAAAATCATGCCATGATATTCAGACCACCCCTTTCAAATGACGTATTCCCAGATGTTCAGCTGGATGTCAACTTCAAAATGGTCTAATAAGCCTTAAACTTTGGAGAGCTACTTCATTTCTTCTTCCTGACTGAGTTTTGATTTTGATTCGGGAATAATCTTTGACTTGCAAACATTGGCAGCATGCCAGTCTACCTTAACTTTGATTGTTTTTTTTTTCAAAAGTCTTCCTTCACTTCTGTTTCCAGGGACCTCAGGGCAAACCTGGTCTGCCAGGACTTCCTGGTACTGATGGCCCTCCGGTAAGTGATGTGCAATTTAGTCCATTTTATATTTTGGGTTAAAAAAAAAATTACTTTGCAGCGGTATGCACATGAATTTCGACAAAGAAGTTGTGTCACCAGTAGCTCAAAGAAGAACATATAAAGCATATCCAGTTTCATTATTTCAACCTGATCCACATTTCTCATCTAAGCTTTTATTTTTTAAAAAAGGTCATTGAAATGGCAGATGAAAAATTGCACTGGTACTGAAATTTTTTAAAAATGTATTTAGTTGCCTGACCAGTATAGGATAGGTATAAAATACTGGAAATTAACATGATACACGTTTTACGAGAAAACTATTTTTTAAATTAAATAAACTGCTCTCTAAGAATAGAACAGAACAGAACAGAACAGAACAACAGAACAGAACAGAACAGAATAGAATAGAATAGAGCTGGAAGGGATCTTGGAGGTCTTCTAGTCCAGCCCCCTGCTCAAGCAGGACAACCCATACCATCTCAAACAAGCGACTGTCTAGTTTCTTCTTAAAAACCTCCAGTGATGGAGTGCCCACAATTTCTGGAGGCAAGTTGTTCCACTGGTTAATTGTTCTCACTGTTAGGAAGTTTCTCCTTAATTCCAGATTGCTTCTTTCTTTGATCAGTTTCCAACCATTGTTTCTTGTCCTGCCCTCTGATGCTTTGGAAAATAGGTTGACCCCCTCTTCTTTGTGGCAGCCCCTCAAATACTGGAAAAAAAAATGTTTCATTGCTTTTGGGTTATGGTTGAAGTCATAGCTTTTGAATTCTAATTGTTGTACTTTTAATTCCAAAGGTAAACAATCAATTTCAAAATGAAATAACAAAATTATTCTGCTTTTGTGAGCTAGAGCATCTTTATTAAAAACAAAATGGTTATCACATAGATAAAGTTTGGGTTTGCATTGGAGTCGCCTTGATGGATTAATAATGACCATTTAAATCCAGGGGTCCATTAAAAGCCATGATGATATCCCACGCATCGTGATGTCATTGTGCTGTGAATGTAGATTTTGTAATTTGTGTTAGTTGTGCAATCACACAGCACAAATGACATATGCTACAGAATATGAAGAAGCTTCTTGGATGAGAAGCAAAACGTCTTCCAGGAAAAACAACGTCCATTTGCCTTTTGAAAAAGTACCTTTGGAATAATCATGACCTGGATGACTGAGAATCTCCATAGATATTTACTAGAATTATTGTTTTCACTCAGATGGTGTAATGATACAAATAATAGCAACTGTCTTCTACAATGGATAACCATGTTTTTAAGGATTCTCTTTACCTCTTACCGAAGACAAATGGGGATAATGCATAATTTATGAAGCCAGACATTCAAAATTCCAAAGCTTAATAGTGAACCATATGATTTGTATATATGAAGTAGAGCCAATGCCAGAAAGAGCTGGCTGTTTTAGATCAATTAATCTAGTGGTCAGATTACTGTATGGCAATTACAAATTAATCCATTATGGCTTAGAGCAAGGGTAGGCAACCTTGACTCTTTTATGACCCGTGGACTTCAACTCCCAGAATTCCTGAGCCAGCCATGCTGGCTCAGAAATTCTGGAAGTTGAAGTCCACAATTCATAAAAGAGCCAAGATTGCCTAGCCTTGACTTAGAGTGTGATCTAATAAAAAAAAATAGATATATTATTGGGAACACTCTTGGGAAACTTTGTACCACCAGCTCCTCTGATTATTTATTTAGCATATGATGAGAACATAACAAAAAGAAGTAAACGAATATGTACAAACCTCCTCAGATAAGCAACATAGATCATTAAATCTCTGTCTGGCTTCACATGGGACTGCTAGGCTGTATTAACTACCGTTTCCAATTTTACACCGCTTGTTTAGGCATCTTGCAAAAGGAGGTAGATACACAGATAAAACCAATTTGTTACAGTTAGCATACTTATCTGAGAATAACTTTATTTCTCAGATAATTTAACTCTAAAGAGTATGGTATACTCCAAGAGTATGGTATACAGATAGAAAAGGTTCTCCCGCCCCCATCTCCCTCATAATTACAAGGGGAGAGAAGAGGAACAAAAGTTTAGGATTTATGCTTAAATATATGCCCTCATTATTTTGTGCAGACTTGCCTGGGCTGATACCCTGCAGATATGTGAGCCTACAACTCATATCAGTTACAATATCTGTGCTGATGACCTGACAGGAATTTAACACATTTGAAGAATAGCACATCTATGTTAAATCAGCCCTAATTTAATATATGTTTTTGTTTCAACATAATATAGAATTTGTGCCAGTTATGCTGTCATTGCTTTTCCCAGGTTATTTTAGTCTCAATGTGTTGAAAATTCTTTTTATCGATTCTCAGCCTATCAACTAGGCTTTCTAAATCTCTCTGAAGATAATAACGGGTACAGCGCAATCACATTCTGATCTCTTGGGAATAAATCCCACTGAATTCAGTGAGATTTACTTCTAGGTAACTGAAAATAAGAGTGACACATATATTGCCAATGTAGCAATCCTTTTATTATTGCTCTTATAAACAAAAAGAGATCAGTATAGAGGAGAGTTGAGTTACAAGTTGGATTTTTAAGGGCAAACAGAAATGAAATATTTGCCCTAAAGCAAGGGTCTTCAAACTTGGCCCTTTTATGACTTGTGGACTTCAACTCCCAGAATTCCTCAGCCAGCATACCTGGTTGAGGAATTCTGGGAGTTGAAGTCCACAAGTCATAAAAGGGTCAAGTTTGAAGGTCCCTGCCCTAAAGTATTAAAGGTGTTAAAAGAACAGAGCAAAATGAAATGAGTGTGATGATGCAACCCTCATACACGTAGTCCTCGACCTACGACCACAACAGAGCCTAAAATTTCTCTTGTTAAGTGAGACGTTTGTGAAGTGAGTTTTGCCCCAATTTAAGATCTTACTTGCCTCAGTTGTTAAGTGAATCACTGCAGTTGATTAGTTAGTAATAATAATAATAATAGTAATAGTAATAATAATAATAATAATAATAATAATAATAATAATAATAATCCCCCAGTGAGGCACTACCTTGACGTGGTTGTGGGGCTTGTGTACTCTGAGGAAGATGAGAGCTATGCCAGAGGTTCAACCATACTGGACAGGTCTCATCAGAGGAGTCAGACAAAGAGTGTCTCTCCCATAAAAAATATGGTGAGACGTAAATTGCAGAATGCCATACCGGCTCGGACGTCGCCCGGGTTAACAAGGTCCGCACTAGATATTGGAGTTCCTGGATATCTGGTGAAAAATGGGTTACAGGACTCAGGACTGTTGGCTGAGCAACCAGGGCCAGCAGCTGCAGAACTACTGGAAGAAAAGGTGTTTACCCGTCGCAGATACACAGTGATGGAAAACAAAGAAATAATGATCTGTTACTACAGATCAAGTCCAACAAGACGAGGATATCTAAAACGAATGCACCAATTCTGGAAAGAACAACATCCAGAATCAGAAATAACAGAACAGAGACTAGCAGATCAACGCCGATTTATAACACGAAATAAAGTATTCACAGAAACAGAATTGGACGAACTGCAAAGGTTTACCCAGGGCAAAGAAATCAAAGCCTTACCAGAAGTAATTCAGAATGTAGAGGCAAACCAGGGGGAGTTGGCAGTGAAAGAATCCAGTAGAGATATACAACTGTTCTCATTTGGAAACCAGGCACCTCTTCCTCAGGAAGAACAAAACCCTCTAACTAAAGAAATAAAAGAATTGAAACAAAGAATAACTGAGCATCTAGAACAGCACAAAAACAACAGAATAAGGCTGCCTGCATTGAAGCTTGTTCCAAAGAAACAGCTAGCACAAGCATTAAAAGATGCAAATACTGCAATAGCAAGTATAAGCACCAATTCACTGCAAGAAACAAACCAACTAATGTACAGCACAGCTGCAGTTATAACAGAATACCTGGGATGCAAAATCAACAAAGAAGAAAAACAAACAAACAGTGCACCACAAAAATGGAAGGTTAGACTAGAAAATAAGATCAGCAAGTTAAGATCACATGCAAGCAAGCTAGAACAGATGAAAGAAAAGAAGCTGAAGAACAAAAGACCAAAGAATACCTAATCAAGAAATACCACTTAGAAACAAGGAAGATCAAGGAAGCACTGGAAATAATAAAGCAACAAATAACAGCTATAGCCAGGAAAATCAGTAGATATGAAGCTCGAATTGCAAACTATAGGCAGAACCTCCAATTTCAATCCAATCAGAAACGTTTCTACCAATCCATCAATGGAGAAACTGCAAGGAATCAGTCAGTACCTGACAAGGAAGAAACAGTGCAATTCTGGAAGCAGATATGGGATAACCCAAAGAAATACAACAAGGATGCAGCTTGGTTAAAAGAGGTGGATACAAATAAAAAAGAAGTTGAAATGAAAGAACTAGTAATAACAACAAAAATGGTAGAAAAAAGAGCAAAGAAAATAAAAAATTGGTCAGCACCAAGTGAAGATGAACTGCATGGGTTTTGGTTGAAACATCTAACTGTTATACACCCACTCATTGCCAAGCAATTCAACAATATACTACAAGGAGGAGAAATTGAAAAGTGGCTAACAACTGGGAAAACCTACCTAATAATGAAAAATCCAGCAAAAGGGGCAACACCAGGTAACTACAGGCCAATTACCTGCTTACCAACAACCTTCAAATTACTAACTGGTGTGGTAGCTGATGCAGTACAACAGCATCTAGTTGAAAACAATCTCTTTCCACCTGAGCAGAAAGGAAACCGCCCCAATAGCAGAGGAACAAAAGATCAACTCCTAATAGACAAAATGATCTTGGAAAACTGCAAGAGAAGGAAGACCAACCTGAATGTGGCATGGATTGACTACAAAAAGGCATTTGACTCTCTGCCACATGATTGGATAATAAAGTGCCTAGAAATAACAGGAGTCAGTAGAAACATCAGAAAATTTGTGCAAAGATCGATGGCACAATGGAAGACACAGTTGCAGATCAATGGTGAGAGGCTGGGAGAGGTTAATATCAAGAGAGGAATATTTCAAGGAGATTCATTATCACCATTACTATTTGTTATTGCACTGTTTCCTCTGTCAACAATACTGAATAACTCAGGACATGGCTATCAAACATCAAAAACATCTGCCAGACTATCCCACCTCCTTTACATGGATGATCTGAAGCTGTATGGAAAACATCATCTGAAATAGAATCGCTGCTCAACACTGTCCGTATATATAGCCAAGATATTGTAATGGAGTTTGGCTTGGACAAATGTGCTACACTTACTATCAAACAAGGAAAAGTAGTGAAAACTGAAGGAATCAAGATGCCCCACGAAAATAACATTAAGAATCTGGATGAGGAAGAGTACTACAAATACTTGGGTATCCTTCAAGCTGACAACATCAAGCACACTGAAGTAAGAAAAAGATTAGAGGTGAATACATCAAGAGAGTGAAGAAGATCTTAAAATCCAAACTCAATGGAGGAAATACCATAAAGGCAATCAACACCTGGGCAATCCCATTATTAGGTACACAGCTGGAATAGTGGACTGGACTCAAGCAGAACTAAAAGCAATGGATAGGCAGACCAAAAAAATAATGACAATGAATCATGCCCTTCATCCACGCAGTGACATTGATAGACTTTATCTACCAAGGCAAATAGGTGGGCGTGGAATGCTACAAGTACATCAGATGGTTGAAGAAGAAAAAAATGGCTTTGGAAGAATATCTGAAGAACAATGATGAAGATGCACTGAAATTAGTATATCAGGAAGGCTTACTAACTACTGGAGAGACCAAACTGGCCTACAAGAAAGACCAAATGAAGAACAGAATAGAGGCATGGGAAGACAAAGCACTACATGGCCAATACATGAAAAAAATAGCTGGGAAAGCAGATAATAATAAAACCTGGCAATGGCTAAGAGCAGGAAAATTGAAGAAAGAGACCGAGGGACTAATTCTGGCTGCACAAGACCAAGCCTTAAGGACAAATGCATACAAAGTCAAAATTGAGAAGACAGCAACAGACAGTAAGTGCCGCCTATGCAAAGAAGCTGAAGAAACAGTGGACCACTTGGTAAGCTGTTGCAAGAAGATTGCACAAACTGATTACAAGCAGCGGCATGACAAAGTAGCAACAATGGTGCATTGGAAGATCTGCAAAAAATATCATTTGCCTGTAAGCAAAAACTGGTGGGATCATAAAATAGAGAAAGTAATAGAAAATGATAAAATTAAACTGCTCTGGGACTTCAGAATTCAAACAGACAAGCACCTGCAACATAACACCCCAGACTTAACAATTGTCGATAAGAAAGACAAAAAAGTCTGGATAGTGGACGTGGCAGTGCCTGGAGACAGCAGAATAGACGAGAAAGAACTGGAGAAGATAACAAAATACAAAGACCTACAAATAGAAATAGAAAGACTGTGGCAAAAGCAAGCAAGGGTAGTACCAATAGTCATAGGCTCCTTGGGTGCAATCCCAAAACAACTGGAGCACCACTTGAACACCATTGGCATTGACAAATTCGCTATTAGTCAATTGCAAAAGGCAGCCTTATTAGGAACTGCTTCCATCCTGCGACGATACCTGTAATACCATCAAACATCCACATCTGCCTATCCCAGGTCCTGGGTAAGGACTCGATAGGTAGACAAAATGCCAAATCCAGTCTGAACATCTGGCTGACTGTGCGATAATCCATAATAATAATAATAACAATAATAATAAAAAATCCCAAAACAACTGGAGCACCACTTGAACACCATTGGCATTGACAAATTCGCTATTAGTCAATTGCAAAAGGCGGCCTTACTAGGAACTGCTTCCATCCTGTGATGATACCTGTAATACCATCAAACATCCACATCTGCCTATCCCAGGTCCTGGTAAGGACTCGATAGGTAGACAAAATGCCAAATCCAGTCAGAACATCTGGCTGACTGTGCGATGATCCATAATAATAAAGTTGGAAGGGAGTGAATCTGGCTTCCCCATTGAGTTTGCTTGCCAGACGATTGCAAATGTTGATCACATGACCTTGGGACACAACAACGGTGATAAATATGAACCAATTGCCAAGCATCTGAATTTTGATCACGTGATTACAGGAGTGCTGCAAAGGTCATAACTGTGAAAAGCAGTCCTAAGTCACTTTTTTCAGTGCCATTGTAACTTTGAACAGTCACCAAACAAACTGTTGTAAGTCTAGGACTACCTGTAGTACATTTCTACTCAGAAGTAAATCTAATTTAATCTTGCTTCTAAGTAACTATGTAAGATTACAACCACACATTGAGTCTAATATTTATTCTTACATTTTGGAGATGGACAACAAAGGTGAAGATTTATTATACTCTTAACTTGCCTGTGGATTTAACCCAGTGGGAAAATCTTCAGGCTATTGATTTGCACTGGCAGTAAAATATTTCTATTACTGTTTTCTTTCATCTTGTTGTGCCATAACTTTAATGGCGTACTTTAGAGTAATGTTTGGTGACAGATAAAAATAATCAATTCCTATCTCCAAGAGAAAACACATCAAATGGAGAAATACTTTCGGTGCTTTACTTGCTTTTCCATTATCTTTAGAAATATTTGGATCTAAAATCAAAGAACATCTTTGTTGGCTTGATATATTGTCGATACTAATTTGTACATTCGAAGACAATCTCTAGATGCTAGTGTTATTAATGTAGCAAGAACATTATGTTCTTGGATTATGTCAGTTATTATTTTGAAATATTTTGTGACTCTAATTTTGTTTTTGGCCTAAAATTATATATTATGGGAAATGTGATATTCACCAAAATCTGCTTCCCTCCACCACCATTCAACTTTCTTTTTTCCTAGTGACATCTGATAATTTATTTTCAGGGGAAGCTCTGCAGCAGCCTCCCCATCCCATATATAACAATCAAACAAATAAAGGCATGAAAAATGTTTGTAACACGCTGTATTTCATTCTGTATTTCCCATATTGAAAGAAGAGTGGGAGTAGGAAATAATTTTTGCCGTGCTATCTGGTTCCAGACTACCCATTTGGCAGGAAAGACAACTAAACAACTTGTTTCTAAATAACCTTACATTCTCCTATATATGGTACCATAGAGTTCCTATTTTAAAGGCTAATTTTGCCTTCTCTCCAAATTCCATAATACCCTTCCTAGATTCAGGACAGTTTAAATTATTCATTTTAAATAACTTATATATAGAATTTCATTATTCCAAGCTGTAGAAATGGTCCCCAGTTTAGATAGGTTTAAAAGGGGTTGTGAAGCAGGGCAAAAATCAAGATATATGATTGAAGCCCTGCTCCTTATGTTCTGCACATGCAATCCCGGTTGAAGAGGGAATAGGACTTCAGTTATATGGTTGTGTCCCCATTGAAACCCTGGTATATGGATTCAGTTGGAGGCTATTAAAAGTAATTTGCTCAGACAATAAAATGGAATTTTCTCTTCAGAATGTCTATGAAAGGGAATACCAAGAAGGCAGGAGAGCTCTGGTTAGCCATTCTGGGGAAGCAAAATACTTCCAGTGTTGGGCTTTGACCTAATGAATCAAATGGATTCTTCTGATATTTATTCAGTGAAGTCATTAAAGTGGGATTTTGAGGCCAAAGTCTAGGGATGTACTCAGCAGAAGCAACAGGTGATAAAAACAATAACCATTATCTATCAGATTGTCCAAAGACTTCAATGACATCATTGCTTCACACCATTCACTGTAAACATATATCAGTTTTGTACCACTTTGACTGTGAAACCTTTTCAGAAGATCCTGAAAATAATCATTAGTAGAAGTTTAGTTGAATTTGTCTATCCCTAATCAGATTATAGATGCCAAGTTTCTCTAAGAGAAGAGGGTGGATATTTCAAGTTGGTACTGTCTTCTTAAAATAACAAAAATACCAAAGAAATAAAATGATATTTGAGAATAGGAATGAATCCATTTGTATGGTATTTGCATACTAAGTATTTCTCCTCCCCTATATATATTTTGTTAATAGGGCCATCCAGGCAAAGAAGGACAGTCTGGAGAGAAAGGTGACACGGTATGTTTATACTTTATTTATTGCTGTAAAAAGTGTGTGTGTAAAAATGAGTGAGTGTGTAATTAGAAAAAAGAGTGACAGATATGAAATTATGATAAATAAACTGTGATTGAAATCTTAGACCATTAGAACTAGCATCACTAGTTTTTCAAAAACTTTTCTCTTCTACTGAAGAATATTTCTTTCTTTAATTTCTCCCATGCAATTATTTTTGTACTGTCTTAGCTGTACAAAAAAGCTATACTGTCTTACTGTCTGTGTGTAACAAAAAAACAAAAGTGATAAATAAATTCATCAACAGGATCGTCTCTATTTAAGGATAAAAGGAGAACATTCAGCATAAAAGTGATGGGAAAAGAGAATATTTTCTGTAGGGTTTTAGTTATTGCCCATATATGATGATGATGGTAATTTCATACTATTTATACTGCTCTCTAGAATAACCTAGTTTTCCCAATGCTTTTGCCAATAAATAAGACAATAACTCTATAATTCTTGATCAATTAGGCAATGAATGTGCCCAAAGTTGTTTTGATACAAAATGGGCAGCAAATAAATTAAATAATAAATAAATAAAGTCAGAATGATTTTTCATTCTGTTCTCACCGAGTGTCCTACTTATTTTTCCATTTTAAATTTACTTTAAATGAAATAAACTTTCATTACTTCAAATGAAATGAGCTTTAAATTACTACTCGGTAACTTTATGTTGTCCAGGTTATATTGTCAAAGTACGCGTCACCTTCACAGATTGGTTTTAAAATAGGTTAACACTCCTAGCTGAGTTGGATATGGTAGATAGAAGCCTGAACATGTATTGAACTACAGTGATACCTCAGTCTTCATCGTTAATTGGTTCCAAGAAGTGCAATGGGTGCCAAAAACAATGAGTATCAAACAGATTTTTCCCATAAGGAATAATGTAGTGAGTCACAAGGTGGCTGACACTGACAAGTTCTAGCTTGTGCATTGAAAACCAAACAGACGAGTACCGGGACAAAATTTTTGCATCAAAATACGTTGAGTACCAAATTTGATAAGTTTCAAAGCAGTTAAGTAGCAAGGTACCACTGTATTCACAAAAGCATACATTAACAGGTTTGAAAGGTAATGTTTTTACATTTTTACATTAGTACATTAAAACCATGGTGAGGAATATTCATCATCTAATTAGAGATAATGCAGCACAGTATCATTACTGTAATGATTCAGCAGAATACAGATGGTTCCTTTAATTCCGTAATTCTTCCATTTTATCCAGTGTTGTTTTTCCACCCAATACTGACCATCCAAAATTCTAAGTTTTCTTTTGTAACACACACACACACACAAACTCTTAGTAAATCAATGTTTCCAACCTCTGCTAGAGTAATGCAGTAAAATATTAAGCAATTACATTTATCTTTTTTTTTTCTTTGCTCATGTAACATACTGTTTATGTAATGGTCAATTGACCCTCTTATGTATATAAAAAGAAGTATGTGGATTCTCAGTCCAAGTTAGAACTACCACATTTAAGTATTTGTGTATGGGTGATAGAATAATTATTTATTCCTCCATTGACTTCGTTTCTGACCTCCATCCAATCCTGTGTAAGTTAAAAGAAAAAAAACTTTGTAGACAATGAGTTACTTTTAATTTTCCTCCTGAGGAATTAATGCTTCCAACACTGTGAATGATAGTCCTAATCCAGAAATATATCCTAGCATAAATAAAAAAGGAGAGTCAACTCATATGTGTCCTTCTGTTAAGAACTATAGGAACTAAGGATAGCATGCTTAACACTATCATGGTATTTCCTAATGCTCATAAATTAATATAAATAAAGATTTATTTGATGTGATTTTTAAAATTGGGTATATTAAGATACAAAATTGTCATGAATAGCTATATAATTTATTGTTCAATTTAGACGTATTTGCATGGCACAGTTCACTGTAGCCTTGGTTTAAAATTCCATAGTTATTTCGCAATACACTAGAAAAGTCTTTCGTAATACAAGTTTTACTAAATAATTTCTCAGTAGATGACTGTTATTTATTTATTGACAATTTGGGCTTCTTGACTGATGCAATTTATAGGCAGTTCTCAATTTATGACCACAACAGAACCCCAAAATTTCTGTTGCTAAGCAGACAGTTGTTAAGGGAGTTGAGTTCCATTTATGATTTTTTTTTGGGCCACCATTGTTAAACAAATCACTGCAATAAGTGAATCTGGCTTCTTCATTAACTTTGCTTGTTGGAAATGGCTAGGAAAGTTACAAACGGTGATCACATGACAGTGCTGCTGTCATAAACACAGGCCAGTTGTCAAGGACCTGAATTTTGATCACATGACCATGGGGATGCCGCAATGCTCATAAGTGTGAGAACAAGTTATGCCATTTTTTTCAGTGCCATTGTAACTTCAAACAGTCATTAGATGAATGATCATAAGTCGATCACAATGGCCATAAATTAACGTATTTCTGGACATTGCTTACTGAACCTTTTAGATTATGTTAAGAAAGTGTGTTCAAAACAGTAACTACCGATACTTTCGAAAAAGTAAATGTGTAGCATCGTATTGTAGTAGTATATGTATATTGTTTAAACTTCACATAGTATAATCTAACTAAAATTCAATGTCTTCTAGGGGCCTGCAGGTCCTCACGGTCCAGTTGGCTATCCTGGTCCCCGTGGTGTAAAGGTAGGGCTAACATGATGTTTATGTTTGATAAACAATCAACTTGGCCCTAAGTTTTGCTAATCTGGTCCCTTGGCCATTGTCACTTGTACTTTCCTGTAGGGTGCTGATGGAATCCGAGGTCTAAAGGGTGGCAAAGGTGAAAAGGTAATCTGTTAATTGTGTTTACGTTCTATTGCAAAAAGCACCCCAAATAAATGGGAAAATTTGAAAATCATGTCTATTACAGCTGCAAGATTATTATACGGTGGTCGAGAAATGGCCATAGGGGCAGAGTATCCTCCTGTAATGTCTTCAGATGGCCCAATGATTTCAGCAGAATTTTTCTTGTATTTCTTCCAAAATAGGACAGGAAATATCAAGCGCGAGAAATCAGGAAATCCAGGCAGTTCAAATTAATATAAAGGTTTATTGCAGGGATGTCAAACTGCCGGCCCATGGGCCGGATGCGTCATGCCGAAACCGTGCTCACCCCAGCTCCGGCAATGGGAAAAAAAATTGTGATATGTCACGACACGTCATGTGACATGTTTGACACTTCTTGTTTATTATAAGCTTAAGCTCTCTACAAGAATCTGAACTACTAACAGTCAAAGCAAATTGGCAGTAGATAAGAGTCAGTGGAATTCAAGGTGGGCTGGACTTAGATCTCTTGTGTGTACAAAAAGACTCAAGACTGATGGCACATTTATTTCCTCCCTTGGGCTCAGCCTGGTCATCTCCCACAGAAAATTTTATATATATAAAATTCAATTATTTTAGAGGCTAACTGCTTATGTGTATGGTACTGGAAAAATCAAATAATAGTAAATAGAGCAATCTCCAGGATTAAGAATTTAGGCTTTTGCGTGTAGATCAATGGTGTTTTTATTCTGTAGGATAATTGGGATAATTTGTAGGGACAAAACTAAGTTCCTGACTAGTCTGTTATGATGCATAAGGAAAGTTCCATTTCTTTATTTAATGGACAATAATTGTAGCATCTGGGATCTTGCTGCTGGGAATGACATTTTCCAAGATTCCTGATTCTTGAGATATTATTATAGCATCTATAATTGCATTAAAGATTACAGGGACTCTATGAACATTACAAAAATGTCAGGAACAGGAATGGACATATCTTTTCATATTCTACAATATTTGCATTTTTTTTTCAAAGATCAGTTTGTCTACACTGCTGGAGAGCAATAACTGTGTAATAAATATATCAGGAGTGTTTTGTTTTTTTTACTTTACAAAACTTGACCTGTATTTTTTTGTACTCAGGAAAATTCATAAAATTTAACCTGCCACTTCTTTACATTTACCTCTTAATCTGTGTGTTTGATCTGAGAACTGCTTGGCAAAATTCAGAGAAGTAAGAAAAAAAAAGAGATTCATGTTCTAATTTGGGAGATACTAATTATGTCTGTTAGTAGTCAAATGTGAACTCATAGAAAGCAGCCTACTAAGGAATCCTAGAAATTATTTGCCAAGGCTCATAGTACCACTGATATATAACAGAAGCATTCTAGTGTTTGGTCCCAATGATTTCTGGTTCATCCACCATCACCATCAGAAAGATAACATAAAAAAGAGAAACAAAGACCCTCAACAGAACGAACCCATTATGAATCCGATCAAATGCTGGACTTCATTGCCTGGATGATTTGGAAAGCTGTTTTGACCTTTCCAGGTGCAGATTTTCTGTGGTTATTACATCATTGCAACAAGTAAAATATGGCTATGCTAATTAGCCTTTAATCAGTAGTAGTATCTTTGGGTTATATTCCAATCGACTTTTGAACAAGAAATATCTGATGGGAAAAAATCCCAACACTTTTAAAAATGGAAATATAAGGAGGAAATTTAATAAGGAAAAGTAATATTATAATGAAGAACTCATTGACAAATTAAGAAATGAATGCTCCTATTGCCTTAAGCACCTTTCTCATTATTCTTTCTTCTTTTTTATAAAGCTGAAAAGTAATTCAACTCAGCTGTGGCATTTTTTTCCAGATACAGAAATTGCCATATTGCAGTAATTTGGTGTATGATCTAGCTTTAGTAATGTAAATTATTGCGACTTACAGCAAAATAGCTATGTTATGCCAGTCTACGACTATAAAAAGACTTGATTTGAAATAGCTATGGTTGTCATATGCATTATATTAATTTATCCAAATTCTTGAACAACTTCCATTCTGATTTCTTAAGGAACTTTATTATGTTTCCCTTTCTCGCTACAAAAAACATAGGGTGAAGATGGCTTCCCTGGATTTAAAGGTGATATGGGCCTTAAGGGCGATAGAGTAAGTATTACTTTAAAACCGCTTTAGATCTATTGAGACATTGTACTTAAATTCTCAGATTGGTAAAGGGAACTTTCATTATCACTCCATCCATTCAGCAGGTTTTTTAGTCTCAGTTGAACATACAGAGATCTTCATTTAATGAAAACCACTGTGCAATGGATATGATTGATTCTTCTGAAGACTTTTATGTTCCTCCAAAAGAAAGGAAAGATGACTATATATTAGAGTTTTAATAATTAGTTTCTATGTTGCTCTGATCATTAACTGACTAAGGAATTGACTATCCTGACGTGTAAATAGGAATAAAGGAACACGACAACTAACAAACTTTAAAATCCATGAATTTAACACAATATAACAAAATATTCCTATGCGAAAGAACTACACAAATTTATTCAGTCATATACTACACAGGAGGATTTTTAAAAAAAATCACCTCTCCTCAAAGGCCTAATGAAATAACCAGGTTTTGATTACTTTCATAAATCCCATAAATCCTTAATTTATGACCATGATTGGAACAGGAATTTTGGTATTAAGCCATGTAGTTGTTAAGCGAGTCATTGTGTGACCAGATCTGATTTTATGACCATTTTTACTGCTGATGTTAAGTAGATAACCTGGTTGTTAATGAATCATGTGGTTCCACAGCCATCATAACTTCAAACTGATATTAAACAAACAGTTGTAAGTTGAGGACTACCTAAATTGTTGGGCTAGTTCAATGCCCAGAGAAGACCTTCACCATCAAGAACTTGTAGATGACAGTGTTTAGGAGAAGAACCTGAAGTTGCAGTGGTGCAGTAGTTAGAATGCAGTATTTCAGGCTAATTCTGTCAATTGCCAGCAGTTTGATTCTGACTGACTCAAGGTCACCTCAGCCTTCCATCCTTCAGAGGTCAGTAAAATGAGGACACAGATTGTTGAGGGCACACACTGACTTTTTGTAAATTGCTTAGTGAGAGCTGTAAAGCACTATGAAATGGTATATAAATCTAAGGGTTATTGCTATTGAAGGCATGTGATCTTTTTTTACCAAGACTGTGTACTTTCTCTAATACTATTCTATCCTCCATTCCTTTCCCCACCATCTCTGCCCAGTAGATTGATGAGAGCTTTTAGTAATCTCTACTGCTGAACTTTCAGAAATGTCAAAAGATACACTTGCTTTTTGAGACCTTTTTTTTAAAAGGTGTATTTTATGGGGCTGCATGGCTTCTGATTTTTATAATCTTGAGGATGGGATAACTTTTTATTAAGACTTTATGTATGCTTTATTAATCATTGATTTTTTAATTAATACTGGTATTTACTATTTAATTGTTCCCCATTGTCTCACCTTGGCTGGAAGGTAACCTTAAAGTAATTTAAAATTATAAATTAACAACACACAGTAGTGGAATTATTGTACACAGATTCCTTTATGTTACACCTGAGTAGCATTGCTTTTAGTATGCTCCAGACACTTATGATATATGATTCTCATTATTGGTATGAATGTGTCAGCTTTTGTACTCTTGTGACAGGTCTCAAATTACTTGTTGCTTCTTACAACAGTAGTGTCATCTTATGAAAATTTCAAAACCTCAAAACCCCTTATAATGAAGTAAAGCAATTGATTTTCTTTAAATCAGCATTGTTAACTTGCGTGTCAACATAGTACAGAAGCTGACATTTTGCCAAAGTTGCATTTAGTTTGATACTATTGAGCAAGTACATTTTCTGTGTTACCTGTATTTATTGATTTTTTTTGTATAAATTGGATCATCAAGGCAATTTTTAAGATGGATCGAGTTTCAATAATGTTAATTTATTCAAAATAAATTGAAACCACGGTCAAGATTAAGATGATAGATCTTGAGGGACCTGCAACAAGAAAGTTTTACAGAAGAAAAAAACTGAGGATTTCTCCCTATATCACAGTTGGCTCCAATTAATAATGTCAACCTTTCTGATTCTAGCCAGAACAACTAATGAGGATGCTGATTAATCAAGTTATAAGGGGAAAAAAAGCAAAGGGAGACCAACCTTTTTGCTTTCTGGGGTGGCTCCTTAGTTATTGTCTTTAGAAAGCTTTAGGAGGAACTTAATTTGAGAGAGTCAGTAGCTGGACTTCAGTTAGTGTTTTTTTTTCTTCTTTTTGGTCTTTTGTGGAGACAGATGGTTAGTTTTTATTGTTTTATGTACACAATATTTTTAAGGGTGAAGTTGGTGCTCTTGGTCCTCGAGGAGAAGATGGCCCTGAAGGTCCTAAAGGTCGTGCAGGTCCTACAGGAGACTCAGGTGGCCCCGGCCAAGCTGGAGAAAAGGTTTGTAATGGTTTGATATTTCTATTACCATAATTGACCAGCACGATACTAGCAAGAATATGACAAAAATAATTGAAGCACAAAAGACATATGAAAACATTTATGTTATGTTTGAAACATGTAGAGGATGGTGGGACCTCAGATTTGTAACAAAGACGTTTGAAGTAACGAGAATGTATTTCACATGTCCATTTTTTTTCCCATGTGGAAAAAACAACTCACGTTTTTACATGATTACTGTTATGCCAGTGAGAGGTGTTAGCCGGAAAACCAAATCTCCCACTTAAACCAGAGTTTCTTATCAAGGAAAAAGAAGAGCCACAATTTATTACAAACGGTAGAGCAGTGGACCAAGGTTAGTTTGTAGGGTCTCCTCAATATTTTGTTTCAGGTTCTGAAATAGCCCCTGAATTAACTATTCCTGAATAGTACTTCTGTACCTAGTGTCTGTCTGTACATTTAGGTAAATTCTTTCACCTTCCCCAAATTACTTCCAGGTGTCCTTTCTCTCTGTTTGGCGTGCAGATAGCCTTTTATTCAACTACATTTCTGCATGATTGCATCGGTGGCCTGATCAAAGACATGTTTGTTTATAAGGATCTTGTGAATGACTCTCCCCAGGTGATTCCCTTTCCATATAAAAAAAAAGAAAGGAAGGTTATAATTTGATACTAGAAGCTTTATAAGCTGTCATAAAAATACTTTCAAAGTCAGATCATTCATTCCAGAAAATATTCCTTTCAGCTTCACTTAACTGTTGGGAGCTATTTGGAATTAATGATCCTTATAATGTTTCAAGACATCTTGCCAGCTGTTAAAAAGGTCATGAATAAAGAACACAGCTATTATAATTATGGATAAATGGCAGCATAATTGGAAAGTTATCACTAAGTTTCCATTAAATTCCAATTCCACAAAAAACAGGAGTATATGAAACTTACTTTCTCCCAAAATCTAAATTAATTCCTATTTTGATATGGAAGTATTATGATAGATATAGAATTCGATTGAAAGGAGTGTGGGCAGAAGAAAAATTGGAGTTAGTGCAATTTTGCAAAGGTTAACATGAGTATATCTTTATGTGAAGTTGTTACAGGTTGGTTATAGAGCAATCAGTGTCTTTACTTGCTCCACAGCCTATGCATGGATCACAGAATCTTAGAGAAGAAAAAAACCCATTGAGGCCAAGCCCTTTCTCAGTGCAATAATACTAATTAAGGCGTCTAAGAGACAGATAGATGGCTGTCAAGTATCTCCTTCAATACACCCAGCTCTTCCTCCTCCCCCCTCTAGTGCTGGTAGTTGGTTTTGCTGTTAAAATATTGTTAAGGTTCCTTTTTAACATTCATCTGGAATCTGTACTCTGCATCCCATACTTCGGGTTGATAGAGAATAAATCTTGACCTTTTAAATAATTGTCTAAGGAATCACAAAATCTAATGCTGCACATTATAAAATATAGATTTAAACACTTAGCTCCAGCTCCTGATCTTCTGAAATATGCTAAGAAAAGCAACAAACATAAACTAAGTTAAGATTTAAGATTGTTTACATAGGCATAACATTTATTAAAGACACAAATTTCCTTTCCTCTTGAATGGAATGCTTTTACAATTTCTTACTTGATCAGATCTCAAGAATGATAACTATGTATATTGCTGAGGACCCTGATTATTGTATATATTAATAATGTGTATATTAAAGATCTTGGGAATATCATCCTCTTTAACATCATAGCTATTGCTGCTCTGAAAGTTTGAAAAGTGAATATTTCAAGGTTTAAAAAAAAGGGAGGGAGGGGGTTCAGGAAGTTGAAATATTTAGCTAAGTCCTCAAATTCTCCCAGATTCTGTACTAGTTTCTCATTGCCATTTGTGTCTTCTACTGTTCTACATTTTAGTATATTTTCCTTTTGGCACAATGATCCTATTCATTCAATACACTTAACTGGATTGGGGAAGTATGTTGTGAGAACACACAAAAGGTTTCAGTTGCTCCCTGTCAGCCACTGGGGAGTTAAATTAGCTCAAACTAATATTCCATCATGCAAAGATTTAAACTAACTCCAACCAGTTAGATATATCATTGGAATTCCCCAAAAGTACTGAAGAGAAAGTGCAGCTGAAAAAGCAAACTTCTCTATTATCAAATTCTTGCCAAAGCTTGGCAGCGCACAGCACATCTTCCGGACTCTGGCTTGCAGTAATGGCCAAACAACACCTGTTTGCACAGTTGGTATTAAATATGCCAGTAAAGTAATGAAATTTTACCAATATTTTCTCAGCACAACAATTTAATGGATATTAAGCTAGGGATGCTGTATTCTCATTATGTATTGCTAGAATCACTGATAAGGAGATTTGATTTGTTAGTGACTGGCTTAGTTAAGTATTTTATGAGAGCAAGAGCAGTGTAACAATACAACCAACATGTCCCTAGCCCAAGAGAGTTTGCACTACTTTTGCATTGACTGTTCGCATTTTGTTCCATGAGCGACAACATAATCAATTCAGACAACATAATCAATTAAGAAACAGGTAGCTTTTTGAGAAAATATAGTACTGCCAGATATTTTGTTTGTTCAGAGAAGACCAAGTGGTTTGTAGAGCAGAGGCATGCTTAAAAACCTCAGCAGTACTTAATTCCATCCTTCTGGGGTTAGCAGAAGATGAGAAGGGCCCCAAAACATCACACACACATTCACACAACACACAACCCAGCTTGAAATCTATCTGATTATGCTTGGTTTGAACCCAAGAAGAATCAAAGAACTCCATGTAGTACAATGTCTCATTTTGTATGATGTCTCCAAATCTTATAATTTTCATCCAGTTCTATGACTTTTGATAAAGTTTGGTCAGTCCCAGTTAACTGTTGGTTGTCTCTTGGGTACTATCAGCTTATCTAATTTGCATAATAAACTTTGCTTATTTAGAGGAATATTCCGTAATAAATCTTCTTAAATAACTTTATTCTGGTGTTTTCCTGCATGCTGTTAATGTTGAAATACTCCAAAACCACCCTTTCTTCTTCCATGGCTTAGTCTGAGCAGGTCTCATGTATTCCATCTTTCATAAATGTCTTTTCTGATCCTCATAAATTTAGTACCAATAGGATAGATGGACAGACAGACAGACAAATAGATCAATCTATGGATAGACAGACAGATCCAAATAGCTAAAAATCAATAAGTATGATGATTACATATAAATGCTAGTTACAATACGGAGATATTTGGAAAACGTAAATGAAAAATTAATGTTTTTTTTTAATTATAGGGTAAACTTGGTGTTCCCGGTTTGCCAGGATATCCAGGAAGACAAGGCCCTAAGGTAAATTTGCTACAGCATTAGGGAGGTATATGTAATTTAAGATTTAATAGTGCGTGCACATTTGTTTAGGTAAATGGATGTGTATGAGTTTGTTACTTAGAACTGATCCAGTTGGAATTATAAAACACCTTTACTGCAATCTAAACATTACATACTGTTCTTCTAATGGGAGCAAGTCTTGTAATTCTGTATGTTTAACTTGTTTAACTTGAACTACACTTTATTGATAGAGGCTATAGGAGTAGTTTTCCACAGTCATCCCTGTGGTTCTCCGTATACCATAGAAAAAGAAAAAAAAAGGTTAAAAAAAAAACAAAACCAGGGAACACAGTGCCTTGATTATGACTCAGTAATTTGGAAGTCTTCTTGAAACCCCAGTCTGAATTAAATCAGAATAATTAATTAACTTTTCCAGAATTTCATTTAATACAATTTAGAAGGAATCTAGAAGCTTTTTATCATCCTTTGAGAACTCTTCTTGATAACACTCAAGTCAAATAGCTACTTCTCCTAACCCTTATTCAGAGAGCAACATTAGCACACGCAGCAATACTTATTTTCAAAAGATAATAGCAGAAAGTTCCTGGAGTGTAGTTAACATTTTTATAAACTACACTTGACTTGAATGATAGTAATAAAATGTTGACACAATAAAAGTATATCTCAGTAACATTCTCCATAATATTAAGGAATCCAGAACAAGGTTGCATAGCTTCCACTACTGTTTTCCAGGTTGGAGGATGTCGAAGTACTGAGTTAAAATTGCTCCAAGTTCTGCTTTTCTACCAGTCTTTCTCCTTCATTGGCTTCTCTAAGGATTTGGAAGTGGTATACATTAAACAAATTCAACTCCTGTTCAGTATGACTTAGCATTACTTTATCAGTCTGTATCTGTTCCCATTTCATTGGAATCTTTTTTCTATATTCAAACATCAAATAATATGAATATTATATATATATATATATATATATATATATATATATATATATCCCTTCAATATCTGTATCTAAAGTCATACAATATATTGAAATTAAGATACTATTCACATGAAAATTATATTATAAAAAAATTACATCTTTTTTATTTCTTAAAGGCATACAATTAATAAACTATAAAAATATGACAATATAGATGGATAGTATATATGATCCAATAGGTGTCTATTCCTAACCACCATGATATGATGCAAACACATCACATTTTGTTACTTGTGCCATAGTGTCATATACACATTTCATCATTTATCCCCTTTCTGTAGACACTACCATAGTTTTCTAACAGTTCCAGTAAAGCAAAATGAATTATGGAATTAAAATCCATGATATAATATTCTGTGGACATCTGTTCTCTGTTTTCTGTGTGTATATTTATGTATACTTAACTTATTTATATTAGTTAAGAATGTCAAGTTTGTGCTTTATACTTACATTAGTATAGTGGCACATATCTACTCCTACTTGTACTCCTGTGTCTTCTTTCCATGAATGGTGGCTTCATATGTCATTGTTTTCAAAATAAATATATAAACGTATTATTAATTTTTTACTGCATTCTGGACTTGAACAATTATGGTAAGTAACTGAAAACTGTTAATATCTATATTCATGTTTGGATTGTGTGGCTTAAATAATATATATTGCAAAGAATATATGTTATGTTATTCAATATAGTTCGTAATAAAAAATGGTTTACATCCTAAAGTTCCAGATTAAATCCTTGGAATGATCAAGTAGGAGGCTAAGACATTTCTGTCTCAAATTCTGGAGAACAGCAATGGAGATGTTGAATAAATAGACAAATAGTCTGACTTGATATAAGACAGTATTCTATGTTCTACCATGCTATGTTTCCAAAGTCCTTCCAAGTATGAAATGAAGAGATACAGTGTGAGCTCTGTTGAATGCATGTGCTATTAAAACCACTGAGTTTAGTTTAAAGATGTTTCTTGTAATTGGCTGGGCAGTAGAAAGTTTCACCAAATATGTTATCATCTTCAGAATACAATATTACAATCTATCAAAAGTATACAGTGTGAAGGGCTTATTAAATATTTATATTGATTAAAAGTACATTTGTAATTTTTGGTACAGGGATCTACTGGGTTTCCTGGATTTTCAGGTTCTAATGGAGAGAAAGGAGGAAGGGTAAGTCATAGCGGTTTACCTATAAAGTTATGAATATATGGATTTTGAATTTGGGAACATTAAACAGATTGGGATGTACGATATTATAACATTTCTTATGTTGGGTGGTGCTCAAACTAAAGTATCATGTCTTTGTAAATAAAAAAGAATGCTGTATATATCCATTATGGCTGCAATTTAAGCAATGTGAAGCCCTATTATACACAGATACTGCTTAATGAGATCCCACGACCCAGGTTGGATAGAGTACACAAGCGTAGACAGTCAGGATTATTTTTCTTCCTCCTATACCTGGCTAGTGAAAAGGAAATTGATTAATTGATTAATATGTTTGATACATCTCTGGGTGGTTTATAAGAATTATAACTCAGAAAGACATATGATGTACTCCAGCTTGCAAGAATAAACAACAAATCCACTAGAACTCATCTAACCATCTGATCCAAATGGCTGGAGAAACAGCCAGATCTTCAATGCCTTGCAAAAAGCCAAACAGGGTTGGGAATCCTGTGACTCTCTGGAGGGATGATGTTTTCAGGTGCTGCCAGTGAGACATCATGACTCTGGTATTATTGCTTGATAGAAAGGCCCTGGAGTTGAAGCCGATGAAGGTATAAGCAGATGGCCAAACTAAGTATATCATTAAATACATAAAAGGCAAAGAAAATTTGCAGACAATTATAGAGTGTGAATAGGAAATTCAATTCCCATGCTGACATTATAAGAAACTGTTCTTCTGAAAGCAAATGCTCATACTATGCTTTGGGGAATAACACCCCCCCCCCATGATGTCATTGAAAAGCCAACTTGTCTGCAAGTCGGCAGACAAAAATAGAATGAGGTTCTAAACAAAACATTTTTAAGCAGATAAGACATCAAGAATTTGCTGTTTCGTTGAAGATGGCGATACTTCCATAATGCCGACTCAGCAAATTGTCAAAAATTCACAGCATCGGTATCCATAAAAGCTCAGCTGGATGTAGCTGATTGCTTGTGATAGAGCTGCGCGAAAGTCATCAAAGGGGAAAAGACGGGCTGACAGTTATACTTCATGGTAGCTTAGTGTGCCATTAAGTGAGACTGAAGTAATGCATGCCATTAATCTGCCTATCATTTCATTTTATTTAATGGGAATGAAATTTATCACTTTAAATGTCTAGATACAGAGTTCCATATGAGCACTGTTTGCCACATAAATTGGCAAAACTATATTTATAACTAAAGGGGACTCATGAATTCCTAACTGCTTGCACAATTAATCTTTAAGAGAATGGGGTTCCCTTCTCCACATGGAATTTTCTGAATCCTTCAAAGACGTATAAATATTATATCATGTATATGTGAAGGGTAATAAAAGTGTTCAAATTTAAAAGCATCTAGCACATGCCTATTCTATAGCACATCAGGTAATAAAGACAGATGGAGTATGGGGAAGGAAGAGAAGAGAGTAGGAAGAAACACCAGTCCTTCTTTTTACAATTTATCAGTAGATTAAATTTCTCAGTTATAATTTAAGGTAGAACTGGGCAACTATTAGTTTGTCAAGAGCTACATGTAATTTTTGGGAGGGAGACTGAGGATTTTAAAGTTGATGGGACTATTTCACACAAATTGGTGAAATTTTGAGGACCTTCTTTTTTTTCTTACTTATAATACATACTGTAGTAGGGGTTTCATCTTCCTTTTCATTTTCAAACTGACAGGAAATCCAACCATTAATTTTCTGATGGAACACATACATCCATACTCCTCTTCTATGTATGTATGTATGTATGTATGTATGTATGTATGTATGTATGTATATATTTATGTAGTAACACATTGGAGATTTTAGAATCAAATAATGTAGCTTAGGACCAATACCTTCATTATGAAATTAGTGTCTTGATGTATGCTCTTTTTTCATTGTTTTTCATTTTGTTTCCAATTTTATATTTAATTTGGAAGAAAAAGTAAAATAATTATGTTTTTAACACTAATATTCAAATGGTAATTAACTCCCCTACTTCCTATCAAAATTCAGTACTCTAAGGTACCTAAATAATAGAATATCAAGAAACTAAGTATATTATATAAATCTTGTATAACCTATTAAATCTGAGAAGATGGAGCAATAGATGCTTTATATTGCTAGATATACCGTACTTTCCAGCGTATAAGATGACTTTCGCAAGCAGTAAAATCGGTGCCGAAGTCGGGGGTCATCTTATACGCCGAGTCGTCTTATATGCTGGAAATTATGGTAGTTTCCGGTGTATAAGACGACTTTCTAGGCATGCGACTCGGTGCCGAAGACGGGGATCATCTTATACGCCGGGTCGCCTTATACGCCGGAATATACGGTAATATGTTAAAAGACTGAGTTAGTTCTATATTAACTTTTTATGGATATTTCTTTAGTTCTTCAAATATCTATATATATGTATATACATATACATGTATATATATGTATGTCTATAGCAATGTAACATATATATATATATATATATATATATATACACACACACACACATAAACATACATACAGTATATAGATACTGTAGATAGATAGACAGACAGATGGACAGACAGACATATATACACACAGATATCCATTGTAAAAATCACAATGACTTTATATGCATTATGATGTCATGTAACTCATGGCACACAATGACATTATGACACACAGCATATCATATCATTTTCCCCTCATCTCCCTCTACAGACATTCAGGACTTAACCCTACATGATTTTAAGAAATGGATAATAGTAAGGAGAGGAAGGGCACATTTCAATCAGTTAAGCAAAAGGAGAGTGTTCTGATTTACAGTTAGATCAGTTATTTGAAAATCAAGGGCAATTGCCTTCATTTGGCTGTATATCTAAATAGATAACTAGTTTTTGTACAGAGGGGAAACTCAGGGAAAAAAAAAAGAAAATACAGATTGAATCTTTGGCTCAAATATCTTGCCTGTTGGGCTAGTTTTATTAGACTGTCTTCTGCAAGGATTTACAGACTCAGCATAATCACTGAGGTACTTTTTAAATTTAAAATTATAAACTTTTATTAATTACAGTGGCAGCATTGTTTGCTTCCTTGAGTGAAGGTTTACATCATACGAAGAGCCAGATTGGTGCCTTGGTCCCGACAAAATAATCACCATCAGGACTGAAATTGACATCAGTTCTAGGAATACAGTTAATGCGCTAATTTCTTATTATGCAAATAGAAGCTACAGAGCAGCTAGGCAAAGGGGGGGTAGGCAAATGGGGAGAGGTCAGCTGAGTCTGAACTTGTTTTTCCTTGCCACAACCGGCTGTGTTTCTGAAGCTACTTCATGCATTTTAAAGGCCTGCACTTCAAAGGAACTGGGGGGAGAGACTTCTTTTGAAATGCAAATGCTGGATTCAGAAGAGCAATTTGTGCTGGCATTACGAGGGGGGGATGCCCCCCCACCAAGTCCAAAAGTTTCTCAGGAATTTTCCCCACAGCTGCTATTTGCATAACATGAAGCAAACATGTTAATTGCATTCACAACACTGATATCCATCTTTGTCTTTATTGTGATATGTTATCAATTATAAAAACACATCCTACCAGCTGAGCTCTATCTGTGGTTATGGGATTTTTCAGGTTAAGAGTGGGGCACTTTTCATTTGCAACTGTCAGTAAGTATTCCTTCTTCCTTGAATTCTACAGGTGCCCTTTCTCCACACACACACACACACACACACACACACACACACAAACACCTATATGGGTAGTTCTTAGCTTACAACAGTTCATTTAGTGACTGTTCGAAGTTACAACACCACTGAAAAAAGTGACATGACTGCTTTTTTCATACTTTCATAGGAGAATGGTAGCATCCCCATGGTCAGGTGATCAAAATTCAGACGCTTGGCACGGGCTCATATTTATGACAGCTGCAGTGTCCCAGAGTTATATGATCACCTTTGGTGACCTTCTGACAAGCCAAATCAATGGGGAAGCCAGATTCCCTTAACAACCATGTGACTAACTTAACAAATGCAGTGATTCCCTTAACAACTGTGGCAAGAAACAAAGCAGAGCAAAATTCACTTAGCAAAGGTCTCACTTGCAGTAGCAACAGAAAATTGGGGCTCCGTTGTGGTCGCACGTCGAGGACCACCTGTACACATACGGGCATTTTCTTCTGCTCCTGGCAGACGGAGCTACAACAGTTCAGCTTGCTTACTCTGTGGACTTTCAATCACGGTCTTAATTAAAAGAGAAGAGAAGAGAAGCCTTAATGGATTGTACTGAAGGAAGGTGCTTTGAAGTAGCTGTCTGTTTTGCTGAAATGAAAGGAGGATTGGCAACCCTGCACAACTCATTTAAGGCCCTCCCAATCAATACTGAAGGAGGGAGGATCATGCACAGTCTGTGGTGAAGTCCTTTGCTAGCTTCATTGAAATTAATATCAAGGGAAAGCGAGACCAGATCATTTATGGAGAAGCTTTTTGAAGGCTCTTGCCCATTAAGAGTGTGTAGGCAGTAAGGTCTGCATTTATTTCTTTATAGTAATGGCATATTTGGCAATTTCGTAATATATTCAGTACCCATTGGAGAAAGAAAGAGAGAAAATTCATGTGGTTTGAATTTCAGACGGAGGAATGAGATTTAAATTATTTTTCCTAGAGGGAGATCTTTCAAGTAGACAAATTGAGCAGCCAAGAATAATAGTTAATAAGACAGGCAAAAAGAAAAAAGAAAGCTAATGAGAATATTAAGACAAGCTTCAACTTTTATGGGATAATGATAGAAACAAGGACAAACAGAGTATGAAAATACATGTGGTTTATTAAAATATAAAGTCAAAGGAGGTAGTTATGCTAGCTGGTTTCTGAATCGTTACAATTCTATTTTCCTTTTTCAAAGTGACAAAACCACTTTCTGGGAAGATTGAGCTCTTTTGGAGAGCTGTCTCCTGAACTATCTTGCTATCTTTCCTTTATTTTTAATGGTCCACATTGTTGTAATGCTATTGGGTTTCTATTTTATTTGTTTATTTGTTTTAAATTGTACTTTTCTATAATGAGCTGGTGAGAATCTTTTTGATTGTGGCAGCACAGAAATATGCCAGTAAATAAATAATCTGCTCCAAAGCCCAGATTAATTTCCGTGAATTTTCGTTGACAGGGATTACACGGCAAACCAGGTCCAAGAGGACAAAGAGGACCAACAGTAAGCAATATGACTTTTTTTTGGATCTCTGTTTAATAGCATTATTAGCCCTTGATATCACTGCCTGCATTTCTTTATTGCTATCCACACCGTGGTCAGAAACCTATGTTTATATTCTCCTAGGCAACAATGCTCAATAAAAGCATTAATTACATATTTTCTCCCACTCACCAGGGGCCACGAGGATCAAGAGGTGCAAGAGGTCCAACTGGAAAACCTGGACCAAAGGTAATTTGACAGAATTCAATAACTAATTCTGAGTTTAGCCTTTTCTCTGGGTGCAAACGCCCATCTCATTTTTAAATAAATTGTTATTGTTTTTTTTCCAGGGCACTGCTGGGGGTGATGGCCCACCTGGCCCATCCGGTGAAAGGGTAGGCAAAAAACAATATCTATTTCATTTTTCTTTTTTTGGGCTCAGTATTCCTGAAATATTCCCAAATCATTGTATGTTGCCTATAGCGCCAATTTGAGTAGAGCTATAACTTACAAAACAGTTGTTTTGCAGGAGGATCTTTCTCCCCATTGGGGTGAATGAGAGAGATCTTCTGGGTGGGCTCTGTTCACATCTGCTTTTAGAAAAGCAAATATAGGCTTTTAAGAAACAGGCACTCTTGGATATTTTCATATCCCTTGTATTGGGTCTGAAAGCCTAGCTTAATTTCTGCTGAGTGAATTGTCTCCCGTGGGATTCTTGCAAGGCAAGAATTGTGCCACCATGGAAGAGATTTATGGCTTGTTGCTGTGCCAGTGTCTGTTGTGTCTTTATATCATAGCCAGATGCTGCAAAAGGTAGCAGCAGCAATTAGAGCTGGATGGTTGAGGAAATTTGTTTAGATTGCAATTCAAAAGTGGAAACACACTCATTTACCAAAATGAACCTCTTTCCAGATGTTGTGATGCACTTGGGAACTTTTAAAAGAATCACATAAAATATGTTGCTTGGTAAAGAACCCAACTTATGAGGACTAATAGCTGTCTCTGTGGAGAGACTCCTAAGCTGTAGTCTTTTTTTTCCTGAAAAGTGTTGCGACTTCTCTGAATTTTGGTACTCTTTAAACTTCAACTCACAGAATACACTGCAATATCAATGCTAGCTAAGGAATTCCGGGAGTTACTCCCAAAATCGGGAGATTGCCAGAGTTGAGGAAGGCTTGCCTGAAACTTCAAGAAACAGAGTGGCAGGTGGAATATCTGAGCACTGGAGTAAGAGGTGCAAGTACCTTTACTCCTCAAATGCTACTTCTCTATTCTTTTGCCTCTCCTCAGTAATTCTTGTTTATGTTATCCAATTTTAAGTAGATTATTAAGTTGGCTTGAGGTTTGAGAATGTATTTTAGCTTGAATCATTAGCTAAGCTATAGAAAACTTTCTGAAAATGAAAACAAAAAAGTTTGTTCTGAACTTCATCCACCCAAGAAATTGATTTGAGTGGAAACTCCCTAAAATTTTCACTTGCCAAAAAAGATTGCTCCTTTGAGCCTGCCCATAGAAGCCTGTTGAGTGGCTTTCATTTTCTCAGTATCTGCCTATAGGTGAACCAGAAGAAAGAAGGCAAAAAATGCCCATGTCAAACATGGATCCGGTTCATCCCTTGCCATTTAAATTTATAGGATCTATTGAAATACTTCTAGAATTAATTTAATCACCTTGTTTATCTCCTGTTGCTCTAGTGCAAGCTCCAGCTGGCAGGTTGAGCATTTACAGAAATGACAATGAAATGATCAAAGTTTTTTCTTTCATCCATTCTGTATTCAATTGACTGCATCCTGCCTGAGTGGTAGAAAAACAATATAAGATTTTCCATAAATATCTCTTTAATCATAAAATGAAATGGGCATAATTTTATAGTAATCCCAAAGGTAAACATCACCCCTCCGCTAAAAGACTGTTTGACAAAAAAAAAATTATTAACCACCAAGGTCTGGAAAGCTTTTTATTTACACAGAGAATATATTAGACAAGTCTATTTAAAATATGGTATCTACCTCATAAGGCAGTTTTCAGCATGTTATGAAGTTTTATAGTCTTTGTCATAATCTCCGTATTTTATGATCCTTGTTGACATTTGCTGGGAAGGTAATAGATGAGACAGAGGATAGTTGATGCACTACCCCAAAAATTTATTTATGTATGTAATGGATTTAGGGCTGCTCAACAATGTGCATGTATCAGCCTTTCCTAAGCTTTGTGTTGTCCAGATGTTTTGGGCCAGCTCCCAAAATCTTTGGCTAGTATGTCCTCAAATAAAAGATTTAGGTTATATTATATCAGAAAAGAAAGTTATCTATTTATACATTATTGTATTATTATGGGCAGAAATAATATGTTGACAGCTGAAGCATATAAAAAATGTGACTTAGACTGTAAGAGGACCAAATTTGTTAGATCTGTTTATATCCTGGGCTTTTTTCTTACAAGAAAAGAAAAGGAAAGGAAAAGAAAAGAAAAAAAGTTTTTGGTAAGAAAAAGAAAAGGTGAGGGGTATACTGGTCTGAATAAAGTTAAAGCCTAGCCTTATGAATTGGAGCTGATGAACATAGTGAAATAGTAGGCTTAATTGTGAACCAAAGAGCTAAAATATACTGTAGTCAGAAAATATTCATCCTTGTGCTCTATATAGTTATAGGTATGCATGAAATGAAATATATAGTTGGCAGAAATTATGTGTTAAATTCTCCAGGAAATTGTGAAACTGAAAGAACCAGGAATGAGTTCTGGGTAAGAGTGTGTAACATCCTGAATGAATGTCAACTAGAGAAAAAGGTTGTTCTCTTAAATATTGTAACCTGAATGATAGGGACATTTTGCAGAAAAATCTACTAAGTGCTACATATATGGAACAAAGGGGCATTTTGCAAGCAAATCCCACCACCACTGCTTTCTCAGGAGTTTGATTATGCATCCAACAATTAGATGGGGCTTGGTATCAGTATTTGATTATAATACTCTTCACACTGGGTTTTATATAAACCTCCAAACCCTAATAGATTCTGGAGCGTTCAACAATTTTATAGATTTTTGCCATTGTACACACATATGTCTTGCTCATTCACCCAGTAGACCCAGTGGTGATAGTAGAAACCATTAGTAGCAGATTCTCTGCAATAATTGTAAGAGTCTGCCATCAGTGATTTCTATCTTTGCTAAGAAGGCAAGGCTGACCATAAAAATATTTACTTCTTTGTTTGGCTTGTCCCCTCCATGTCTTTATAGTATTGTTGATGGGTTGGATTTAGATTGATAATTCACTTATCCATTGAGACCCAGAAGACATTAGATGTGATTTTCAGAAGCTTAAAACTATTTGCAGAATCTCCCCTTGTTACTAGTTTCCCTAGCAGCCAAGTACAGTTTGGGGAGTAAGAAGATTCATGAACCATCCCATCCCATCATCATGTCAATATACTATAACTTGGTTGTAGGAATTCAGAGTCTTGGTAAATCCGGCATCCCATGTCCTCAAAAGAACTAGCCTGCCTAAAGAAATTTCTCCAATAAGTTTGCAGAAGGGGTCATTCTTCATTCTGCATCCATAGCCAATACTCCCACATATTTTGTCAACATAAAGATTATATTTAAAGAGTGGTTAACAATTTCATTCATTCTGAATACTATTACTATTAGAGATCACTTCCTTCTTCCTTCCATTTCTAAACTTTTTAAATGGCTTCCTCTTTTTTTTTTTTACTAAGTTAAATTTTAGGGGATCCTAAAAACTAATTTGAATAAATATTTAGTTGCCTTTAACATATACTACAGAATATCTGAACGCAGAGTTATGTTCTGTCATTTATTCATTGCTCCTTCAGCCTTAATGAAATTTAGTAATAATATTTTTCATGTCAAGTTGGACTTATCTAATAGAATATATTTGGATGGCCTGGTAATTTAGTCTGAAATATTATACTTGACCTGCTTCACTAAAACAATCAGCATGCTAAAATAAAAAAAAATGTTCCTTTGAACTGCTGTATTGGATTTTCTAGGGGACAGTAGCACTTCCGTACAGGTGGACCTTCTCCTTAAGCTGAAATTTAGTGTTTCTTAATACAGCCCCTCCCCCCCCCAATGTTGAGCAGATGCAGCATTGGACAGTGGGATTTTCTAACGTTTATTCCCACTTTATCTTTGATTCTGCAGTTTGGACAAAAACTATCATCCCAAATTACTAGAAAGGGGGACTGTTCAAATGCTCAACAAGACTTGTTCTTTTCTCATATGTTTGCTTCCCAGGCCTTCCTCTACCATCCATATCCCACTCACCTCATTGTTGCTCAGATTGATGCTTCTAAAATTTCTCAGGGTCAATCTTCCCGGTGAGTGAGGATTTTGTAAAATGACTTCTGCCTCACACCTTTTATTCTGGACAGCAGAAACAAACTACGATGTTTTTACCAAAAAAAAAAAAAAAAAAGTGATCAAAGATGCTTTTCAGCACTGGTGCCATCTCTTGCAAGAAACTTCATACCTTGAATGAGTTCCAAGAAATCAGGAAATCTACAGAAGTCTCAGAAACTCATTCAGTACAGAATGAATACCAAATCAGATTTTAATATTAATGTATATGCTTGGCTTGTAGAATAAGCTAAGTATAGTGGAATGTATGTTTTTTCATGAAAGCCTGACAATTGCTGCCCATCTGTATCCTACAACCTGAAACTTTTCCCAAGAGCATTCAATGTCACAGTTTCACTCTGTCAGATTCCACAAGCTAGAAGGTTTACATTCTACTATACTTAGCAAATTTGCACACAAGAGGAAGGCCTGTTGTGTATGGGCTCAGAAAGGTGACTTCAAGGGGATCTTTATTCATTCTCTTTTGAGTGGGTGGAATGCACTATATGGCCAGTAGTAGTTTTAGAATTTTGCTACTGCAATAACCCCACTTGATGTATGGAAGTATTTAAGACTACTTTCCTTCTGTGCTGGGTCCTGGATGGCGTCATTTCTGAGAAAGCATCAAGGTCTATGTACCTTTCTTTTATGCCTGCCACTATGTTAAGCTTGTATGCAATAACCAAACAGACTTTTTAAGGTTTTATTACACCAGTCAAAGGTCTGGGACTCTGTATGTTGTCATCAATTTTTCTCTAAGATAACTTTTGAGGCCTCCCCTCTGCTTCAGAGACAGCTTCTTTGTTTGTCTACCATGTTCTCCAGAGCCATGCCTAATCATCTCATTTCAGACAGAAACACACACTTCATGATCTATTTTGAAGCACTTTTTTTTTCAACTGTTAGATATTAAATTCCATTTTCCACAGGCAGATTGCTTGCAGTCTTAATGGAGACAGAGAGGACAAATGCTGCCTTCATTTTTAAGTAAACAATCAATGCAATCACTTGCCTCAACCATTTATTTAAAAAAGTAATCTAATTTTAATAATTGTTTAATTTCCTGCTTTTCTTTTGTTTCTACCAGATAAAATTGGACTTTCTCATACAGTACATGCTTGATATTTGATATTTGTGGTCGTTGGACACAAATTAACCTAAATACATATGGTGAAGTGGTGCATTTCTTCAGTATTTACAATATAGACTTACTTATCAGAGATCTCTGTCTTTGAATGCCTGCTTAGATCTGTTTATAACTCTTGAAATTGCCAAGAATAACTTAACACTTTAAAGAATGTCTTTTGTCCAATTTATCATTTGAAAATAAGAGTTGACTACCTAAGAGAAATATAAAAATAAGTTCAGTGCAATTAAAAGTAATTGATTAAAAATGTAAATAAAATAAAATGTAAGAATGAATGGATGGATGGATGAATGTAAAAGTGAGTGACCAATATGAGAGAATGTGTTGAAATAGTCTTGTAGAGAAATGAATGAGATTGAATTGCAAAAGATGTATATGAAAGAAGTGTGGATATGTTGAGGGGAAGGAAATGATTGGAATGAGCTGAGGGGATAAAGTAAGCGAACAAAAATATAGCCTTCTCCAGGTAGATAGATGTTTGCACAATTTGTCCAATGTAAACAAGGGGGAAGAAGGGAAGTACACATATGGGCTCAGGCTGTACATCACTGAAATGTGTTCACTCAGGTTTATAAGTCTCTCCAAACAAATATGAGGGCAGCAATTCATAATTCCAACTTTTGTTTACTGCTTTGATAATACCTCAACATTTAAATAAAGTATCCTCTCTAAACCCACACATAAATAATAATATATAGTGATCTTTTTCATGTAGTCAAGTGAATACATGCTATGAACAGAAAGTTTTGTCAATGAAAACAACTCCATTAAAAAATAGATTTTTGAAGCATTTACTCTATTTTACCCAGTATTTCTTGTAAAGGAAAACCAAAAGAGGACAATAAATAAATTGTAATATTTGTCTGTGGTTTTGTTTCAAAACAGTATCAGATTTACCCAGAGTTCAATTTTCTTTTCAGTTTAGGATAAGCACGTACTTTTTACAATGTTATAATATCTCCTAGATGAAACCCAAAATTTAAGTATGCTTGTGTGCAGAAATATTACTTTACTTTTGATATAGCAAAGAAACAAGTACACATTTAAGAAGAAGACTATTCAGAACAAATTGAAATGAAAAATCTAGTTTATCAAAGTTCTTTTTTTATTACAAGAACCATCAGTAACACAATACCTTCCCAATATATTGAATTTCAGCTTCCATAGGACTCAAGCAATATGGCCAAAATTATGGAAGCTGAAGTCAAACCCATTAGAATAGTGTTTCTCAACCTTGGTTGAGAAACACTGCATTTAGAAAGATATCAAGTTGAGTATGTCTTACCTATTGAATCATGTTTTTGCTTTAAGATAATTCCTCAAAGAAGAAACCTGGGCAGATATGAACAAAGAGAATACATGTTATGCCAAAACATTGAAATTGGAGAGAGAGGGAAAGATAGATAATTGAAATTTGAAATAATGTCTTTTCATAAATTGGTTTCTCTTTCTCTAACATTTTTTCCCTTAAAAATTAGTTCTGTTAAATTTTTGTAATATTGCACATTTGTATACAGTCCTCAGTAAAATTATCAATATGGACAAAGAGGTAACAAAATGAGGAGTTATTGTATTTTGGTTATATGTTAATTCATAAAATGGGAATTTGATTCTTCTTAAAATGAGCAAATAATTAAATGCAATAGGTTGGGATGTAAGAGAATAATATTCAATTTTTTATTCAATGTGTAATAACAAACCAATGTTATTTATGGAGTTAGCTATCATTTTAAAATAGAGGCCACATTTATTCATAATCTCTGAGTAAAAAACAAAGAAAAGAAGATGAAAACCTCAGATGTTATTTCTTTTAAGTTTTTTTTTTAACTTCAGGCAAGCATTCTTCTTCTTTTGTAAGCAATTTTTAGCACCTTAATTTGTTTTCAGCAATAATCCTATCAATTGAGTAAAACTATCGTAGATCACAGAATAAAACCTAAACTGAGCAAACAATTGTCTCAACTTAAACTATAAATAAACAGATTCGCATATTAGCATATGTATATCTAAATAATTCTTTCCTAATAATCCCACACACATTTCTTGTGGTGCAAGAAGCAGCTGTAATTCAGCTCTTGCTGTGTACTACTGTAAATCCAGTCTACAGTGAAGATTCCTGTTCTTTCCATAGATGACAGATTCAAGGAAGCAAATCAAGGTTCTTCCCCCCCCCCAATTTTCTCTTTAATATGCATTACCAAACATCTGTAATTAATAGGGGAAGAACTGAAAATTTTACCATAAGGCTGCAGTGATATTCGGTTATCTGGGAATAAGCTTTATTTTGGTCACCAGATTTTTTTTTTTCTGAGAAAACACGAGTTTGCCCCACAAAGCTAAGTTGGGGTACCTTATTTATTTACCAGATATTAATTTCCTTGTTTGATGTTTACTTGGGTAGCTGACATTACATTAAAATCAAATTGTCAGTGTCAGCAGCCCCCAACATTTTGGGCACCAGGGACTGGTTCCGTGGAGAGAAGTTTTTCCGCAAACTGGGGGGCGCATGGTTTTGCATGCTGCCTGCATCCTGTGGATGGGTCTTTGCTTTTTTGCATAGTCTGGTTTCTGGCATGCTGTGGACCCCTGGTCCATATTAAAACTTGCTAAATGATCTTGAATTTTGGTCCGTATATTTATACTAGGGAAGGGAATGTTTTCTGCAGGCAGGGTACTTATTTATCAGCTCTATTGTGGTGCTACAAATGGGCAGACAGTCACTTAATTTTCTGTTACTGAACCACAAAGCTTTGCTTGACATTCTTGTACTGTTCTCTGTGCTAAATGTGATGATGCTTCTACTAATATGCCGCCAATGGTATGATTTGTTTCTTTGATTTTAGGGACCACAAGGGCCCCAAGGACCTGTTGGATTTCCAGGACCCAAGGGACCTCCTGTAAGTATTTGTCTTAAAATAAACATAGGATGGAAAACACTGAAGTAGATAGTGATTATTAAGCATTTTTATCAATGTATTATATATACCCGTATTTCCCTGAAAATAAGACTGAGTCTTTTTATTTTTTGCCTCCAAAAGAGGCACCGGGTCTTATTTTCAGGGGGGTGTTTTTTTTACTCACCTCCTGCATTGACAGCCCTGCCCAGCCAGGCCACTTTTTCTGCAGCCGAAGGAGAAGGTTCATTCTGCAGCTGCATTCTGGCCTACATTTCTCAGTCAGGCCTTTCCGGAAGGCCTCTGCAGCCGAATACCGAGCTGTGGATTCAATCCATAGCTTGGTTCTCGGCTGTAGTGGCCTTTCCAGAAATGCAAGCCTGACTGAGAAATGCAAGCCTGGCTGCAGAACACGCCTCAGAAGAGGGCCGGCGAGGAGAGGCCTGGCTGCAAGGTAAGTGGGTGCAGGGCACACGGGGCAGATCCACATCCCTATCCCCGCCCTAGCTTGATTTTTAAGTCTGTGCCTCACCTTACAACTAGGGCTTAATTTCAGGATAGGCCTTACTTTCAGGGAAATGGTATTGTAAGAATATTCTAACCTACTGTGAAGATAACAGAAATAGATTTCAGATCTAATTCTCTTCACCGTGTTGCCTGTTTTTACGTGTGCTCCATTCTATAATTGTTAACATAGTTTTTCTGCATATATTTTTGTTTTCAAGTCTCAAGTCTCTGGTTTGAATACCTGCTCATACAGACAGAGACCTGTTTCAGAAGGAAAACTATCTTAACACCCACTCAAGCACTTTAGATATATTATATATGTTGATATTTCTTTAGAGGCATCATTTGTGAAACCTCTATGTAAAGACTATCCTACCCTGTTGTTCTTCTACAACACTTTATTAATCTAAGTAGAATTCCATGTGATACACCAGATCTTCTAAAGACTTCTCATTGTGTGAATTCATCCAAGTTTTTAATCCAGCTTTATTTTGTCTCAAATATTGAAGATTAGTAAGTAGAATCATTCCCTCTAAAAGCAGAGCTGCTTGATATTTATGATGATTTATGATGTATCTAGTCCTTCCTTCTGTCCCAGATTCAGCTAAGAAAAGTTGGATGAGTAGCTAAATATGAGCTGGTTTTTTTAATGTCAGCAAAACTAGCAAAAGCAGTGGAGTAACAGCCCAAGGCCAACACATGTTCTCAAATGGAGACCTGAATTTAAACATCAAAAAAAAAATCACCTCAGAGCAGTTCTCTGTTTAGCAAAGGAAATACCTAAAACAGAGCTGGTTCTGTAGGACAATGTCCTTACAAAATGTGCTTGCTGTAAACTGATAACAAAATAGAAAATGCCTAAAACGAAGCCACAAAAGCTCTGCAGATAAACATTAAAAGTAGGCAGGCTGCAATTATTTTACTATCTGCTCAAAAAAACATGTGTTTTTGAATAGATTAAAAACATAATGGGTGAATGGCTCAATGAATGTTATGTTAAAATGTATGTTGTTATCTTGAGTTTTACTTCTGTGGCTGAAGTCCTTTTCTGTTTTTTTATGTCATAAACCTTCCACAATGCCACTGCAAGTCTTTAAAGATGCAGTGTTTGTGTGGTAAAGAAAGAAAATTTGAAAAGCATGATTATTGGGAAATATCTATAAGGTCTTTGCAAATCCTTCAAAAGGGATGCTGTGGAACTTGCAACACATACAAAGCACTGTTGTTGTTTTTTTTTTAATTATTACAGCAGCTATGCCTTTCCCAGATTCTGACTATTCTTTAAAAGGCTGTTCCGAAGAATTTCCAAATGCGTGCATGCATGCACACATACTTCCCATTTTTTTCCATTTGATTCACCAATGTGTGTTACGTAGCTTTCTCAGCAGAGGAGTCCAAACACCACTAGAGGTCACTCTCCATCTCCGTTACATTAATCCCAACCCAAAATGGGAAAGTATGTGATCTGTTATTGGCATGCTATCATCAAAAATGAGTGCGCTACTCATACTAGCTGCCTTATTGACTTTAAAATGCTATTTTCATAAATGGAACCAAAGCATTCACTGCCGTGGACTAATGCACAAGCTTGAAGAATGCTTGGGCTTCCATTTAGCTTGGTGGAATTGATCAGTCCCCTTGAATCAGAGGGAAGCATTGCTGGCTTTTCTGTAATGCATCTCTTAGGAAAGAAGAGACCCTTTTTCAATTCTAGTTGTAGATCAGGTTTGCACTGATATATAGAATAAGCGAGCAGCCAGGATGAAATTGTATTGTAACGTTCCAGCATCTCCAAAGAACAAATCCATTCCTAGTACATTGTGCCAAAAAATTGCCAAGATATTTTGCATTCAGCATTTAAAATCAAACGGATGCTCCCGCCACTCACCAGAAATGAAAATGCGACATTACATGACCCAACATTTTGCAGTCTATTCATGACACCCTGCATCAGTTACCTGACATGGCAATGACATTTTGCTAAGTGATACAGGTAGTTAGGCTCCGCTTCCCTTTTTGTACTTTCATTTAATAGAGAGAATAATTAACAGAATTTTCCACTTTCACTTTAGGGATCTGTGGGGCTATCATTTCATGACAGAATAAAAGTTACAGTTTCAAGCGCACAGTTGCTTCCCTAGACGGAGAATCACAATTTGTTTCGGCAAGATGGCTGGCATGAAAAAGTGTTTAACACAAATTAACTCTTTGAGTCATATTTCCAAAAGCAACTTTTTCTTGCACAATATAAACACAGACATCTTTATTTTCACACGAGTATGTGAAAATTACATGTATTTTATGTGCAAGCCCTTACTGATTGTTTCCTTTGTATTTCTTTTGTATGTACATTGTTTGATATACATCACTCATTTAGCAAATCCCATAGCTTTATTAAAGAAGGAAAAACAGATTACATCAAGCTTAGGGATAAGTGAAAACAAAAAATGTTGGTGTTCTTCAGACTCTTTGTCATCTTTGCAGAGATTGTTATGAAATTTGGAGTCATGAATTCATAATGAAGAAATAAAGCAAAGGGGAAAAATCACTTTGATATGAAAGTAAGAGAGCACTGTTAAGTTCTCTCCCTTTATCCTAATGTAAAGTCAAAGAGTAGCACTGCAGAGCTTAATCTCCTTTGCATAGGAATGAAATGAGAAAGATTTATGGCACCTCTATAACTTTAGTGTTATGTATAAAAATAAATGCACAATATATTGGAATACAATATAGTTGTCTACAGCAGGCAGCCAAAATACTGGCATTTAGATGCCCCAAGAAATTGATTCCTAGAATCCGAGAAAGCCCTTCCCCAAACCTTCCAGCATTTTGATCTCTGTCTGTTCAAGCTGCAAGAAAAGTTATTTTTCTCTAGCTGTTACTCTTCAAAGATAAGGGGAGTGTGATTTCCAGTTCTTACTTCTCATTATCAGAAAATCAGCCAAGGTCGTGCCCAAATCAACAAAGTATAGCCACTGTCTCAGTAAGAGGACAGTAAGTTTGAAAAACCAGTCTGAAACACAGATGTGTCACTAAGGTGACTAACTAAAAGTGATCCTTTTTCCTTTTTTTTTTTTTTGAAGTGATATTTCATTTATTTTGTTTCCTCCTGCAGGGACCACCTGGGAAAGATGGTTTGCCTGGGCACCCGGGACAACGGGGTGAAACTGTAAGCATGTTATTTATACTGTATAATGTAGCCCACTCCTCACCCCACTTACCGTATTGTGTGTCTGTTAAATGGGGGAATAATCCATATTGGTCTGTGAATTAGTCAGTTATGCAAAGGTATTGTTGTAAATCCAAAACACAATTAATGGTATTTTGAAAACGAGCAAAAACTGCTTTCAGTTTCAGTGATCCTGATGTACTACCAAAATGTATTTTTGATGCTAGTTATGCTGTATGTTACAAATTTTGTTTTAATTAGTCTTGATTTTGTTATGATTATTACTGCTGAACTCAGTGGAAAATGACAGATGCATATTTTATTTGTATATGACTATTTGTATATTCCTAAATGGATGAATGGATAGATAATATTCCAAGGGAGTACAATCCACATGTTAACAACATTTATAAAAAGCATTTTAAAACTTCAAAATCACCCTCCTTCAAAAGTACAAAACAATTACCATCATACACAAGAATGCAATTTCAGAAAACTAAGTTTCATAGCTCAAAAGTACAGTGTGGCCCCTAGTGTTATAATTACTTTCCATATACTACTTAAACTCTCATGTCTGTGACCTTCAGTTGAGTGAATCAGTGAAACAGTGAATCATAAGCAACAGTTTTTGAATCAATGTACTTCAAATGGTCTAACTTATAGAATACATCCAAAATCTGGGACCTATGACTTCCATGGGATTGAAATTTGGGGAAGTTGTGGCATTCAGCTGTAGTTATGAAATCATCATCTCCAATGCTCCCTGTCAGCTTCCTATAAGGAAAGTCAGTGGGGAAGCCAGTGGGAAATCAGAAGCTGCTCCCAATCCCACTGTTTTTTGCCCAACCTTGATTATTCTGTTTCTCTGTTTAACTAAGGAAATACCTCTGAAACAAAGTCATGAGTTGTCTCACTGAATTGTAGATGTGTAACAAAGGAAAATAATAATACAAACTATAATTAATTTAAATCTGAATTAAATTAAAACAAATGTAGGCTTTGGAAAGTGGAACTTGGCACCCCATTCAAAGGTCCAGTGTGATCCTGTATTTGAAACAAATGCTTACCCCTAATCCCAGCCTGAATGTACCTGGAGAGTAGAGGATTATAAAAGGCAGAATCAGATGTTCCTAAGACTCTAAAAATGCAGTAACCTTTATAAATACAAGAAATTCCCATTTATGTCTATCCCATAGCCATCCAAGGGCATAAAGAGGAGCAAAAGAGGACATCAGAAGATGTCACCATACAAATGTGGTGACTTATGTAGTTGCATAGGAATGCACGTACATAATATGATAAACCATTTGTGTAATAATATCTTTGTGTATGTATTTGTATAAATACTGCTGGTCAGTTTCAAACTATCTTGCTGCTATAGATTGCTCTCCTTGAAATAAGAAGGGAAAATTCATTTGTCACCACATCACATCTTCTTCCATTCTGACATGGCATTTGATGTTTGACAACTGACATGATAGAACACCATGAAACTGAAATAAATGTCTGTCATTACTAGTGAAAAAAATTAACATGTCAAACAAAATACACTTATTTCCTTCTTTACCTATTTTTCTTTCACTTTTCCTGTAGTAGTCCTCTCTGTTCACTTTCCACTACAAAGGTAGTGATATTTAGGGATGTACTGTATGTACTAATGTGCTTAATGCCATTCCAATAGAAACAGCACCTTATCTCTGCCATTTTGCATCTTTCTACTAACAGTGGAGGTTTCTCACAACGTTGCCTACTGTCAAATTCCTTTTTCCTGATCCCAAAATATAACCAAACAGGTCAATTTTGGCAGCTGCAGTGTGCTGCAACTGCCAAAAATAAACACAATCCTAGGCTGCATTAACAGAGGGACAGAATCAAAATCACATGAGTTGTTAATACCACTTTATAATGCCTTGGTAAGACCACACTTGGAATATTGTATCCAGTTTTGGTCAACACAATATAAAAAAAAATGTTGTGACTTTAGAAAGAGTGCAGAGAAGAGCAACAAAGAGTGGAGGCTAAAACATGAGGAATGGTTGCAGGAATTGGGTATGTCTATTTTAATGAAGAGAAGAACTAGGGGTGAAACCATGATAGCAGTGTTCCAATATCTAAGGGATTGCCACAAAGAAAAGGTGGTCAACCTACGGTATTTTCCAAAGCACCTGAAGGCAGGACAAGAAGCAATAGATGGAAACTAATCAAGGAGAGAAACTATCTAGAACTAAGGAGACATTTCCTGACAGTTAGAACAATTAATCAGTGGAAAAACCTGCATCCAGAAATGGTGAATGCTCCAACACTGGAGGTTTTTAAGAAGAAATTGGACAACCATTTGTCTGAAATGGTATAGGGTTTCCTGCCTGAGCAGGGGGTTGGACTAGAAGACCTCCCTGGTCCCTTCCAATTCTGTTTTCTGTTAATGGAAACTTTATGCAGATGCAGAAGAAAATGCAAACAAATTACTGGTTCATGGAATTCATAATGTGGGGTGAATAGTTCAATTATTTACAAATCCACATATAAGACAATGATCAAGACAGTGGATTTGTCATTTAGAAGAAAATGCTTTAGAAAAACTTTTTATACCCACCTCCCCTTTTCTAAAAAAAAAATCCCCCAAACATTTATCATTCTTTGGCATTGTTGATCTCTTTCTTTAAATGGTTGATTTACCACAGTGCTGTAAGAAAACATCCATCTTTCTGTGACACCTCCAGTAGTATTTACATCAAGTAGCACAGAATTATAGCTCCTCCTGGATTTTGCTTGAAGCAACCGTTCAAGGCAAATTTGGAGCACCCTAAATTGCTAAAAGATTTAAGCATTCTGAGAGATAATGGAAGAAGTTTGAATGCAAATGTGTGAAATTTTCTTAAAGGAAATTTCACGCACCCCTATCTATTCATACAGAAAATATTTACCATGGTTCCTAGTTTGTTTTATAAACAGCAACCTTATTGGATAAATACATACACACCTCTCTTCCTTGATTTTCACATTTATCTCTTTAAAAAAACAAATGAAAGTTTCAAGTAAGAATATACACATGTTCAGAAATCTACTTTCTTTGTTACACATTTTGGCAAGACAGTTTTCATTCTTTCCCTTCACCACCCATTTCCCCCATGGATTTATTTATTTTGTGCACTCTAAATACATATTTATAAAATTGGATGGGATGAAATGAGATTTTCATTTTGTTATTTTAAAATGCTTATTATGGAAAAATCTGGTGTGGTTGAAGGAGAACTAGACTTTGAAAAGTCTCTGTTCTGGGATTTCCTGGAACCATATGACTGATTGATTGCCATTTAAAAAGTAAATGTGTAGATTTTTTTGAATAATTATTTTACAGTACTAATTCCATATCTTTACTATAAGTCCATGTTTCTTCTCACACAGGACCTGAAAATAACTTAAACTGATGCATTTGTAGAATATTTACTTATGAAATCAAATAAAAATTAAACTCATTAGAAAAATAAACTATTTTTTCATGAAAATAGTTTTAACAAATATAAACTAATCATGAGAAGAATAACATTGTTTTAAACATTTGCAAGTATCTTCAATACTTGGCAAATAATTTTGATTTTGTGGACTTCTGAGAAGGGTCTTAGAGGACCCCCAGGGGTATTCGGATTATACTTTAAGAAACACGGTTTTAAAGTAATCAGTTGCCTTTCATGGGGTGAATTTAAGTATCTAAATATTCAGGCATTCACAGAGTAGAGCAGAGCTGTACAGATGTTGTATGAAATAAATAGTTTCTTCCCCCAGTGTCAAGTGATACATCTTACAGAGAGGGGGACTATACACATGGAAGCCCCTGTGTGCAAATTGGTACTTGTTTTATGGGTGTAAAAGCCTCACCCCTTGCAGGAGTACATACAGAAGCTAGTTCTTTCAGACATTTATGCTGTGTGCACAAGTGTCCCCTGGGGAAGAATAAATGACTGTTGCTTTACTACAGTACTTTTTTAAACATTTAAATATTCAGTATAGCTGTGTCAGCCTGATGGCTTTTGAACACATGTATCTGAGTTGAATTGAAGGATTGTCATTTATGCATCTACAGTAATTGCTTTCTCACAAAGTACCCGGTCTGTGAAAACTATCTGCTCTTTTGAACCACACCACTGGAGAAGCTGCGCTCAGAATGATTGGAAATGATAGCTCTTTGAAAGAGTCTTCAATATTTTACATTTAAAGATGCACAGCAATAATTGAATTGAAATAGCAGTCTTTATTCTCAGAAAATACAAATCCTCGGAGACACCCCTTATTTCCCATCACCTCTTTAACAATGATTTGAAATGTTCCCAAGTATGCCTTAACAGTTGTATGTTTTGTTTTGTAGGGTTTTCAAGGGAAAACAGGCCCACCTGGTCCTGGCGGTGTTGTTGGACCACAGGTACAATGTTGTTGTGTAAACTTGATGATTGGTTGAATTTGTAACCCACTTTCTCTCAGAAAGCTCAAAGTGGTGTACAGTGAAATCTCCCGGTAGTAAACACCTGCAATAAGTTACTCTGAGAAAAAAATATTGACTGAAGTTACTAAGTGAACTTAGGGCCGAGTGAGAATTTGAATCTAGGTTTCCCTAGCCCACGGGTCCCCAAACTCTGTAGTTTGTTGATTCCCTTCATGAAGTTTCAGATTGTTCATCAATCTCCAGATTTACTATATGAAAATAAGTGAATAAATACTATAATAATAGTATGAATAATAATAGCAACAATAATGGAAAGTCCCATTGTCTCTTAGGAGCCAGTATTGACTACTTTGGAGAACTCTGCCTTAGCCCATTCCTTAATTATTCTGCTACATTTCGTTTATAAGTTTTAGAGGGAATGTTGGTTTGTCCATTTTTCTTACCCAATGGGTGGCTTAACAGTATGATCACATTACCCTATAAAGGTTCTCACAGTATTGCATCAATTTGCCAGTTGTGTGAAACCAGTTGGTGACATGTTTTCTGGAATGATCATATTTGCTTGTTTGTCCTATTGCCATAGAGAAGATCTATCTTTAGCCATGGAATTCTCAAGTCTATTCTGTAAAGTATTTCTAAAATGAAACTGCTATAGGTCGTTTTCAAGTTCTGACAGTAATTGAGATCAGGCAGAACTGCAAAGACCACCCATAACCACCATTTGTTCAGCACTGCAGTAACTTGGAACCATTGCCAAATGAATTGTCATAAATTGAGGACTACCAGTTTGGGTTTTATTGAAAACAAATGTCAAGTGAAGGTTGAGGTTTTCATGAGGAAAAGCCAAAGGAATGTCAAACAAAGGCTTAGAAAGTTTGATGAAATTATCTATCTATTTATTTGAGAGGATTTTGTGCGTTCTTATCATATAATCCAGGGAAAACATCTGGGAATTATTATTGGAATGAGCTCTGCTGTTTGTCCAAAATATGGCAACTAGAATTATAATTAGCTTTAAAAGAAAAAAAGTGTTTAATTCCACCATCATGAAACTCTATATTCATTTTCAGGTATACCTCAAGGGCAGTTTATGATCATCACAATCTGTAAACAGATTGCCACTATCAAAATCTCTAAAATACAATATGAATTTGCCAGATCTGAAAGAATACTTGGAGGGGCTTCCCTCTAATTCTCATCCTTTTGGAAATTCAGCTGATATTCTGATCAGATTAGATCTTTTCAATAGCTACTCTGATTTTGTGGGATTTCATGATTCCAGCCAGATAGCAGCACCTAGTTTATGTTGATTGATCTCAGAAAGCTAAGCAGGATTGGCTTTGCCTAATAAGTGGATATGAGACCACTAGGGAATCCTAGAGCAGTATCTAGATTGAGATCTACAAAAGTATCCTGGAAGGAGGTGGTAGTAAATCTCTTCCACCAGGAATGTGTCCATGAAATTCCTGACTTTCAAAAGAGACTTTACTTTCTGTTTCCTTCTATGAAGACCATCTAGCACCAACTTGTTAAGGTGTGAAGTGAAGCCCTAGCTTTCCCTGATTTTCTTTAGTTCTCTATATGGTTCTCAGCATTCTGACTTGACAAAACATTTAAAAGATATAACATGTATTTTGTTTAAATGATAATTAAATGATTATCGCCCATCCTTTAATCCTATGGTTGGCTGTGTTGAGTTCCTTGAAATTAAAAAAATAATAAAGCAGGTTGTGCGGTACATTTAAGAGTGCTTTGCAAAGCATGTTAGCTTTAGCAAAACACCTCTCCTTGTTTGACCTACACCGTATCCTGCTTTTTCATTTAGCAGTTCAAAGCGGCATATGGAATGCTTCCTCCTCCTAATTTTCGCCACAAAATAACCACATAAAATAGGCTGGATTGAAAGAGAATAAGTAGATAAAATTCACCTGGCAAACTTCTGTGACTGAGGTTAGATTATAATCCGGGTCTCCTTAATGCTAGTCTAACACCTTAATGATCATGCTACGTTGGCTCTCGGTGTATTCAATTTAAATTATTAATATCATTTAATAAGTAGAGGTAGTCCTTGCTTAGCAACCATCTGTTCAGCACCATTGAAAGTTACAACACTAAAAAAAGTGCAATTGATCCTTGAAGTTGTCGTCACAGGGAAGTTGATTGTCCCCATAGTCATGTGGTTGTGATTTGTGCATTTAGCAACTGGCATGTATTTACTACAGCATCCTACAGTCATGTGATCATCATTTGTGACTTTCACAGCTGGCTATTTACAAGCAAGGTCAATAGGGAAGCCTGCAGGAAGTTGCAAGTCATGGTCACATGCCATTGCATTTAATAACACATGTGATTTGCTTAATGGCCACAGCTAAAACTGAGATTGTAAGTTGGTAAGGTCACCAACATAACATTCAGCTTAATGACCACACTGCTTAGTGATGGAGTGCTAGTCCCTATTATGATATGGTAAGTGAGGATTACTGAACTGTCCCCAAATCACTGAATATGTGCATGCATAGTGATATCCACTGGACATCCACTGTGACCACTGTGAAGCAAATCAGCTTTGTACAGCCTTAAAAAAATAAATACTTAAAATTTAATATATCAAAAGTGTTAATTCTTAAATAAATATTTAAAATTAAATATATCAAAGGTGTTAATTCTTAAATAAACACTTAAAATTAAATATATCAAAGGTGTTAATTCTTAAATAAATATTTAAAATTAAATGTATCAAAGGTGTTAATTCATTTCTGGTGTGAATTAACAGCAGAGAAGATATTTTTCCTAGAAAGCCTGTAAGATTTTACTGGAAATAAAATACTTAGGTGGGAGGATCTTGAAGTCATGGAGGGGGTTTTGAAGTCATGGAGGGGAAAATGAGTTGACCTCTGCCAATCAAACTCAGGTTAGATACATCGGAAACCGTCTTATTAAATTGGTGAGACTTAGCCATTTTTATCCACAATAATAGGAAATGTACAGTTTTACTTCATAGTAAGCCGTACACAAATATGATCTTCTTTTGCCAGAGTAAAAATTAGAATATCCAAGCATTTTTTTTAAAAAAAGCGAGCTAATGTCAGTGGAGTTTGAAATTAATAAGATCAATAAACTAATGGAAACCCCAGTAATGTCAGTGAAAGTATTCCGGAATGGGTGGGGTCTCCTCAAACTGAGCTTCTGAAAAATTAAGATTGGCAGGAGATTATTTGTATCTTGAATTTAGGGTATTGTTAAGAATTAGAAACTTAGCTATCCCAACCATTTTATCCTTTAAAATAGCCCTCCAATCTGGTGTCCTCCAACGATATTGGGGCTATAACTTCAGGAACAATCCTGGCTGGGCTCATCCAGATTTCTGGAAACTATTGTTCCAGCAAGTCTAAAAGGTTCCAGGTTAGAAACACTGCTTCAAAAGCCAGACATTTGCACTTTTTTCCCTTGCTCCACTTTAATGACAGGAACAGTTTAAATACAGGAGAAACAGTGAAACACCATATAGCTTTGGGAGTTTTTCCCCCCCAACACTTCATTGAAGTGAGACAGCAGGCATCTTACTAAGTGTAAATTTTATCTGAATCATCTTTTTGTTTTCCTTGCTTCTTTTATTGATCAAGCTTTGTTTAATTTGCAATGTGTGATCCTGCTGTGTTTGTGTTTGTAAAGATAAATGAAGTCTCAGCTCGGCTGTACACCAATATCCCCAAATAACTCTTACATTTGTTTTCCATGTCAAACTTTATTTATTTATATTTTTTGTGCTCTTAAGTATGGTGCCTACTGTCACCAGAAACAGGCTTTGAACTGAATTCCGCTATACACGTGTATGTTTACAACGAATTTGAGTGTAAACATGTATCATTGTTCATTGTTTTTTTTTAAAAATGACAACTGTATCATTATTATTCTGTGTTGATGTTTTAAGATGGCTGCTTAATGTTTAAATAACAACAATTAAAATTCTTGTGGAAAAGCAGGAGGTTCAGTTTCCTTTGAACTTTCCTTTGAATGGTTTCCCTACAAACAAACAAAAGACTGCTTAGTGTGCTTTAGAACAGGTAGTCCTCATCTCTTATTTTCTAATGCGTACCTATGAACAATGAGTTACATTTGGATTCTCTCACAATATTTAGGAAACCTACCTACAAGTAAGTGAGGGCAGTCAATCAGGTCATGAATGGTATCCATTTCTGGCTCAAAGTGTCTACATGAGCGCTTAGACTACGCTGCCTTTTTTCCCCAAGACAATTTAAACAGTGTGTCCATGCGCGTTAAGTCACTTACATCCATAATTAGATTGGGAATATAATAATCTCAAATGAACATAGCCAGTATTCTGAGTTGATGGGAATTATACTCTTACACCATCTTTTTTGTTTTGCTAAACTAACAATAATATTCTGTTAGCCAATTCTAGCAAGTTGCACTCATGTGGGTGTGCAAAAGGGCATATGTACCTTGTTATTGGGGTTTCTGGTGAATGGGAAAAGTATAGACATGAGGACTAAGGTAAGCAAGGAGACCTATCTCTCTTCAGTACTTTGCAGTTCACTAGTGTCAGCCCTTAAGAGAAGCTTTTTAAACTATAACGAGTAAGCATAAGGAAGAGGTAGAGAGAAAGCTGACTACATACGTCTCCCTTTCCTACTCTTTGTGTGCTGATCTTTTGTATATCAAGCCATTTCTTATCCTTCTGGAGGAGGGGGAAGGTAATATCTTATCCTGGTACAATTTATTGGGGGAATATTCTCCAATGATTCAACAACATTTAAACTTGGCAGTTCAACATTGCAACATGGGAGTTAATTAAATGCACTTTCTTTTAAAGTGAGGAATAGCATGTTATACTATGGAATAATTAATGCCATGCTTTGTGATTTAGGGTCCAACTGGGGAGACTGGTCCAATTGGTGAAAGAGGTCACCCTGGACCTCCAGGACCACCGGGTGAACAAGGACTTCCTGGTGCTGGAGGCAAAGAAGGCGCTAAGGTATATGTTCACTTTTCAGAAACACAGGGAAACATATACTGTGGCTTATGGAATGTGTTTACTACTTGGCCATCAAGTCATTTGTCTGGGATTTATAGCCACATCCTTCCCTTACAATTTCTGAATTGAAATAAACAGCTTTCATAATGCTTTCCAACTTGGTGATCCTACACATTCTTTTTTTCAGTAGACAATTATAACAATCATAGTGAGGCTTCGTAAACAAATTGACTTACTTTTTGCCACGAAGCGAAGTATCATGTGCTATAACATACAAACATCTCTTAATTTAACAAGGTGGAAAGTCTACATTATAAAAGTCTCAAAAATTCGAAGATAGCAAGCTTGTGAACTTTCACAGAGCAAAGTTTTTGAACAGAAAGACTAGGTAATCATTTGGCTGCCATGTAATTAATTATGCTACAGTTTTCTTTTCTCCAAAAATTTAATAGATTGAATTTTGAGGTGCTGCATTTGAAAAGACAGATTCACAATGTTTTAATATAATATAAATATAATTAATATAAACTAGAGCAGTGGTTCTCAACCTGTGGGTCGGGACCCCATTTGGGGTCAAACGACCATTTCACGGGGGTCGCCAAACAACGCAGTCTGCCATTTCCCCCCCCTTTTCCTTAGCTGTGCTACTCCCTTTTATTCTATTGGCTTTCAAAAGCCAATAGGAATTGTCCAGGCTGTCTCTGCCCTGCTGAGCCTGCCAAAAGTCCCATTCTGCAAACGGTGCTGCACCAGTTGAGTAGTCCTTGACTTACGACCGGTTGAGTAGTCCTCGACTTACAACCGGTTGGGGGTCGCGGCATTAAAAAGGTTGAGAACCACTGAACTAGAGGAAGTGTGACATGGCAGCTTCCAAGTAACTTCCATTGTGATAAAAATGAGATCAAGGTAATAAAGGAGACGTTTACTTATAAAAGACCCATTCCTGACTCAGAAGCACATTTAAAAATATCCTACATTCTGTCCTGTATTGACATAATTTTCAGCATTTACCTGTAAGTTTAAGAGAGCTGCAATTGTAATGCATTGTATGTGATGCTTCATTGATGAACTGCCCGTTTTTGTTTTGAAAACTGGGTTTTCATGGCCAACTTTCAGTAAAGATTATTTATTCTATTTTCCTAGGGTGATCCTGGTCCTCAAGGCATTTCTGGGAAAGATGGGCCTGCGGGACTGCGTGGTTTCCCAGGAGAAAGAGGCTTGCCAGGAGCTCAGGTAAAACTAGAAGGGCTGTAGTGAGTTAATCCCCAAGAGGGGAAGAAGCATCGATTCCCTGGTGATTAGATTTGGTGAAATATCTGGTTCTTAAGTGCATCGGTCATGGAAGACCCCAAACCGATCATCCATATCTTGACCACTGCTATAAAATATTATCTGTTAAACATTTGTAGACTTAATTGGCTGTTAAGGAATTGTCAGGAGTTAGGCAATATAGAACATTCATCAAGCTGAATGTGAATAAAAGAATTGGCTTAAAAGAGATGGGTTTATTATTTTATTTTATTTTATTTTTATTTATTTTATTTTATTTATCTCTCAGCCCATAATAAATTATGTGACAATAGAAGGAAGTTTTAAAATGTGTGCAGCAATGCTTTCTGGTATGTATCATCATCAACAATAGCATCACTAATAATAGCAACAACGACAACAACAACAACAACAACAACAATAATAATAATAATAATTTCCTTTGGTAGGGTGGAGCAGGTCTGAAAGGTGGTGAAGGTCCTCAAGGCCCACCTGGTCCAATTGTAAGTACGATTTGTCCAAAGCTTATGGCCTAAAGACATTTTTCATTCATATCTCTCTCTCCCCCTCTCCCCCCTTCTCTCTCTTTCTCTCTCTCCTTCTCTCTTTCTTTCTCTCTCTTTCTTCCCCCCCCCTCTCTGTGTAAGCATATGTGATCTCTTTTCATTTCTTTCATGCTGCTATGTGTGCCTGAACATGCTTGTAAAGACGATACAAATGGATAATGTGTGTCATTCATATTTGTCAATAGCAGTTTCCTAGTAATTACAGCAACTAACAAGTCCATAAAAAAAAAAGAAGAAAGTCTAAACTTAAATGTGTTGGCCTCTGTCAAACCTGTTAGCTGCAGGGGGCAAATTGCTTTTCCTTGTTTATTAGATATTTCAAGGTAGAAAAAAAAGAAAAAAAATCTTCCTCTTGTGGGAGGATATTGAAAAGCATAAGGTCTATTAAAGAGACTGATGGAGAATTCGCTCCTGCATTCTTTTGTTCCCCAAATGTGTGCATATTAGGGCCAAATTACAAATTAGGTGATTCAAGTTTCAAAAGGCATCTGCTTGAACTGTCCTTTTTTGTTCAAAAAACAAAACAAAACAAAGGAGCAACTGTAGTGTCCTGATCCAGACTTTGCTGCACACTTCCAGATTGTAGACCTGTGTCAATTCCAATCAGAAATCGTACTTTCCTCCCTCCTGTAATTTTTACCTGCAGGTGTTCTTTACTACAAACTGTCTTTTGCTAGACAAATGGCAGCTCAGAGGGGCAAGCAAAGGTTTTCTTCAGGAATCAGTGCAAAAGTCTGATAAGGAATATATTTTAGGCAAAGTATTTGCATTTGTCTTTCCTTCTTGGTGAGTCTAGGCATCTTCCTTTTATTTAAAGCAGCGTGTAAAACGTATCCTTGAATTACATGCAGAAATAAAAGAGAATACTTGTAGCTCAGGGTTGAAATGAGGGGTCCTTGGTGCTCTCTGAGCTTGCTTGTTTTCTTGCAGATGTACCATTCCCCTAACTAGGTAACATCATCGGCGCTAGTAACATCAACATCACTAGCACTGATGAAGTTATTGTACCTAGTTTGGGTAATGAAACAAGAAAACAAGCAAACTCAAGAGATTACCAGGGACCTCTCACATACAGAAAATTCTGAGAACAAATTTGTCTGGGGTGTTTCTGAGTTGAAAACGAGGTTATTTCTGTGGAACTCTGAAGGATGTAGACCACATGGCTGCTCCTGGAGAATATTCCCATCCTTGCATTGAATGCTGAAAGAATGACACGATTGCCGGTGGTGTCCCCTGACGTCCATGAGCTTTGCATCTTAGAATAGGATAGAGCTGGAAGGGACCCTGGATGTCTTCTTTGGTTTAGTTAGCATCGCAAGACTCTCTGACAAAAGTCAGATCCTCTTTCTCAGCTGCATGGCCAGGATTGGAACTCAAAGCGAATGCATTTTTTTTTTGTTTTTTTAGGCAGCAGTGTTATTATTCTCAAACATAAAATGATTTCCCAGATTAGCAGTTTCAGTCATTGAAAAGAACCTTAATAATGTGCATGAGCTGGCTCCTCCCAGCTTACAAAAAACCACAGGTAGTCCTCGGCTTACGACAGTTCATTTAATGACCGTTAGAAATTACAACGGCACTGGAAAAGCGACTTTTGACCATTTTTTCACACTTGCGATTGTGGCAGCATCCGCAGGGTCACACTCAGATACTTGGCAACTGGCTCATATTGATGACGGTTGCAGTGTCCCAAGGTCATATGATGATCGCTTTTTGTGACCTTCTGACGAGCAAAGTCAATGGGGAACCCAGATTCACTTAACAATTGGGTTACTAACTTAACAACTGTAGCAAGAAAAGTCATAAACTGGGGCAAAACTCACCTAGCCACTGTCTATCAGAAATGTTGAGCTCCATTGTGGTCGTAAGTCGAGGACTACCTGCATTGTTAAATTTTCAGGAATTTGGAAAGCTCTTGGAAAGTATTGCTGAGCCTTGCACGCTGATCAGCTGTTTGGCAGCTAGCATTTATCAGCATACCACTATTACACCCATTATTTGTCAAAACAATGGTTTTGCCTGGTACTTCCATCACTGCTGTCTGTTAAAGCAGGGGTCCCCAAGCCCCAGTCCGTGCACCAGTACCGGGCTGCGGCATGCCAGCAACCAGTCCGCACAAACAAGCAAAGCCCCATCCATGGGATGCAGGCAGCACACAAAACCACGCCCCCTCCAGTCCACAGAAAAACCTCTCTCCACAGAATCAGTCCCTGGTGCCCAAAAGGATGGGGACCTCTGTGTTATAGGATGTGTTACGAATGGAGATTACTTTTTGCTTATTCAAAACTCAGTGTTTTAACATAGCTGACTTTGGTTCCAGAAGATAGACGTTTGGCATTAAAACCACTTCATTTGTAAGTATAGTTGTAGCGGGGAGCAGCTGGCCCTAAACCAGAGGGAGTCACCTGACTCCTGAGAGCCAATAGGGAAAAAAAGAAGGGGCTTGATCAGGGAGAATGTTGGGGTCTTTTGGTGAGACAGATGGTTGGAGTCTTGGAGGTGAGCTCAAGCAAGGCTGGAAATTGAGTTGCTCGGGAATTTTGGAGTTGGGGGGTACTGCATTTTACCTCTTTTTAACTATGTGTTGGGTGTGTAGAACCTTTTCTCTTTTTTGGCACTTTTCATAACGTCGGAGTTGACCAACTGCCTTCTGACATCTGCCTCAGCTTGAGCGAGGTATAGATTCTCCAAAAGAGTTTGTTCTCCTTTTCTGTAGATAGCCAGACCCAGAGTGGGATAAGGATTTCCCCTTCAAACTTTCCTTGGGGTGAGAATGAGAAACAAATTGTAACAAAGGGATGGTGGCAGGAGAGGGACCTAGTGTTCCAGCTGCTATTCCCACATGGAAGATTATCTCAGAAAGGAAATATCTGAAGAAGAAGGGCTGAGGATTCCTTTCCTTATTACAGCATTAGAAATTCCTTGCTTTCCATCTGTCCATATTCTGTTGTGTGACAGCAGAATCATCTCATTTAACCCAGGCTGGATTATATCACTTTTAATATGCATGTGAATTAGCATAATTGCATGTCCTCTTATATATGTGATTTCATAAAGTTGTATATATATATACAGGAAAACATCCAAATATCTTTATAGATAAATATAATGGATAAGTGCATGGCTGTGCATAATTGTTCCTTAATATAGACCAGTGTTCCTTAAACATTTTGCTCTAAGGATCCCTTCTGACTTTTAAAAATATCAGAGGGTCCCAAAAATGGCTGTTGTTTACCTGGGTTATTTATTGATAGTTACTGAATTAAAAATTAAAATTGACATATTTGAAAACTATTTATTGAATCATGTAAAAATAAAGACATTAGGCCCATTAGATATTAACACAAATAAAACAATTTTTATGAAAAAAACTTTTTAACAAATAAAAATAGAATGTTAGAATAGAATAGAGCTGGAAGGGACCGTGCAGGTCTTCTAGTCCAACCCTCTGCTCAAGCAGGAGAACCTATACCATTTCAGACAAGAGATTGTATAGTCCCTTCTTAAAAACTTCAAGTGATGGAGCGCCCACGCTTTCTGAAGGCAAGCTGTTCCACTGGTTAATGGTCCTCACTGTTAGGAAGTTTCTCCAGGTTGCTTCTCTCTTTGGTCAGTTTCCAACCATTGTTTCTTGTCCTGCCCTCTGGTGCTTTGGAGAATAGTTTGACACCCTTTTCTTGGTGGCAGCCCCTCAAATACTGGAACACTGCTATCATGTCACCCCTGCTTCTTCTTTTCTTTAGACTAGCCAAACCCAAGTTGTGCAGCCGTTCTTCATATGTTTAGTTTCCAAGCCTTTGATCATTTTAGTTGATCTGAACTTTTTCCAAAGCATGACATTGTTTTAAATTTTGCAAATACCTTCAAAATGTGGCACAGAATTTTGATTTTGTAGAAGCTTGTGAGGTCCCCTTTAAGAAACATTCATATACACTTATGTTTTGGGGAGTCTATATTAGCAGACTCTCAGAACTTCATTGAAGTATGCAAAAGAAAGTTCAGAGTATAAGTCCCAAACTTTTTTTCTTCTTCTCAGGTTTAGGATATCTTCTGCAGATTTTGAAGTCTTAAACATACACACATTTTCCACCAAAAACAGAATAGCTAAAAAAAAAACCATAAAAGCTAACCTCTATGGGCTAAAGGCTGTAATTGCTATGAAATTTAATTCTCACTCTCTGGGAGTCCCAATCAAAACAAAGCAATATGAATATTTTTATATGCTTTTGAATCATGCCAAGTTAATATTTAAGATTGATCCTCATTCTTTGTTGTTGTTTTTTCTGATTCGGTCTTTCGAAGCATGCAGCCAGTTATGTCAAAGAAAACAGAAAACAAATGTTATTTATTGTAGTTGTACTTAAAGACAGTTATTGCTTTATCAAGACTACCTAAAATGAAAACCAGTATGGTATAGTAGTTAAGATATTGGACTGACATTTGGAGACCCTGGTTCATGTCTACTTTTAGCCGCATTCACTCTCTGAGCTGAACAAGCTTTTTGATGTGAAGAAAAAGAGAAAGAGATAGTGTTGCATATGCCATCTTGAGCTCCTAAACAAAAATGTGGGTCATAAATCTAACAAATAAATAAATGTAGTACTGATAAAAACCGCAAAGGAAAAAAGAAAATCTTAAAATTGGCTTATTTGCAGATGGCACTTTTTTATGGTATTTTAATTAAAAATACAAGGGTCTGCTTATCAGCTGGTAAGCTTATATGTGGTACTTACTTTGAAAAATATTACCATATATTCTCATAGGTAAACCTACCCGTGAATAAGCCAAACCCAATTTTGGGTGGGGCTGTAAAATTTTTGCCTTATTTGTAATAAGTATATTGGTAGGTAACTCCTGTGAATGCAACATGGAACACATTTCAGTAATTAAAAATGCTACAGAGAAAGCTCAGTTCCAGGTTTAAAGACAGACTCATGACATATCTTAGCAACTGCAGTGAACTTCTTCAGATGACCTTAATGCCCAAAGGAAGAATCATTCAGAAATAATTGCTTTCTGGAGTATCGTGGATTCCAGCTATATAGGGCTTTAAATGTACTTCATATTTCACCTAGAAATAGATGGGCAGCTAGAACAATGTTTTTAGCACATCTAATGGGATCTTCTTTAGTTCTTTCAGCATCCAAGCAGGTTGGAAAGTCCCATACTAACTGAAATTTCTAAAGTTGCCCCACAGGTAGTTGTTAAAGCCCAGAAATTACCAGAATGTGCACCAAAATTTTATAAAGTCTCTTTCTTCCAAAAGGGATATGTTTGGTGCTTCTAGAATTGACACAGTTTGTAATTAAAAAAATGTTCCTGGGTTTTCATATCTGATGGCAAATCAAAAACACTCAGCGGTCAAGAAGAATCAATAGAAAACTCTATGTTGCTTATTACTCCCATCCTTCACCTCCATTCCCCAAAAAACCAACTTGAAACTCTTTATAATGGATGTAATTTTTTTTCTTCATCACATGCCATGGAACCTGGCCCACTCCCCTTCTCCAAACCAGAGAGGTCTATCCTCTTCACTTCCTGAGGAGACCATCTCCTTTGGACGTTCTTTTAATCCCTGACTCCAAGATTAGCCTCTCTCAACTTTCAGAAAACTGTTTTCAGCTCTTTTCCGTTCATGTCTTGTAGCACCTTTTTAAATTCCCTTGATCTCTCTTTTTCAACTCCAAGGCTTTTTAACAGAAAGAACCAAAGTCCCTTTGGTTTTGCTTGGATAAACTTTTGATTGCCCCTCTCCTTCCTTGAGCCTAGAATTCTAAGGTGATTGCTTGCTTTTCCATTCCATTTTCTTACATGTATTCAGAGATACTTTACTAGGAAAGCAGATATTTTTAGTATTTCTCTGAAGGAGACAAGGGTAGAGAATATAAGCTGTCTTGAGAATGAATTGGGGCTGTGGGAGTTTGCTTGCTTTTCTTACCTGCAGCAGATTCTAAAGCTAATGGGAGTGCCCATTCATTACGGTAACAGTCCCAATGAATTCAGATGTCTATAAGGCCAAGTATTCATAATTTTAGTACATTCTTCATGGAGGTAGGATGGAATTCTTTTTAGTGCAGCTATATCCTACCAAGCACTTTCAGAATTCTTCTATAGTTTTGACATAACACAAGTGTCATCTTCTGAAGTAACAATATCATGAGTGGAGAATGTAGCAGGCCCTGAGTAGGAAGTAGACATTAATACTAAGGTATTCTAACCTTTCACTGCCTGATAAATTCCAGTATAACTGCTTCTTGAACCATATGAAACCAGTCCCAGGATGCAGTGTTCCTGGGACTGGTTTCATATGTCCAGTTCTCAAAAGAGCTTTTAAAGAAGAAAATTATGTTGAAAAGGTACAGATTCTGATGGCCATATTCGTAGCATTTGTCTTTGTTTTATTTTTTACTATACGATATCATTTTGCTTTTGACTGCCAACACTTCCTAAAATGCAAAGCACTGTTGTCACAAATAAATACCTTTGCAGAATTCTATTCCATGCCGATTGTTCCAGTTTAGCAGGATGTCAGTTTAGAAGTTAAGGAATGCCTTTGATCTGCGACTTCCAGGGAATTTTAGCAATAAAAAAAGATAGTACTGAGCTGCATGGTTCAAAAGTGTGGTTTCATGTAAGGCAATTCCTTCTTATGCCATAGAAGCCCCCCAAATTTAGGCACTTTGCATCAATGAATGAATGAATGAATGAACGAACAAATGTTTAGCATATCAGTCCTGAAACAAACGGTTACTTTTTCTTTACATAAGGGTTCTCCTGGAGAACGTGGCCCAGCAGGTACAGCAGGCCCAATTGGTTTACCAGGACGTCCTGGGCCTCAAGGTCCCCCAGGCCCTGCAGGAGAAAAGGGAGCTCCAGTAAGTAATTCTGAAGACAGCACGTGTTAAGACTATGATATTAAAAAACTTATTACCTTTCATATTCGCTAATGTTAGTTCTTCACACTCCAGTACTTTTTCTATTGCGTATGTGCCAGGCATACTCCTTTTCTACAGTATTTACAGCAGAGTTCTGCAAAAATTTAATTAAACTCTATGACATTTTGGTACACTTTATCAGACCCTTAAAACCCAGGGAAAGAGGCTAAGCAGAACCAATAATTGTGAACATAATAATAGCTGTGTTTGGTTATGAAATGTTTTGTTAAAATGTAGGTTTGTTTTAAACTTTGTGCCCTGTTCTATTTTAATGTACTCATTTTTCCCTTCCTGATCAGATTTCATTACAGTTATTCCTACTGTGTATACCTTGTAAGTGAAAATGTATATTGACAGATAAAAAGACTGTTAGAATTCAATGTAACAGGTGCTCTGTGTTACAAATTCAGTGTCAGTGTTAAAATAAATGAGTGCTTAATTGTAACTTTAAAAATTGTGCCATACAAATTAAAAATTAAATAATTCTATTATCTTTTTTTTTTACTTCTTACAGAAAATTCAAATATATGTTATAAGTTAAAAAGTATTAACTAGGGCTCATCAAGCATCTGTCAGAGACCAAGAGGATCTATATATTCTGTAAAAATTTGAAAATAAGGAAAATCAAACCACTTTATAGAATAGCTTAGGAAAAGTAGTAGTATGCTTTTAAAATGTATATATTTCTGTTGCAATACATGAGTGTAAAACATGACTTTATTTGACTGGTACTAAAAATATTATAGTAAAATCTACTTTTCTGATATAGACCTTTCCACTTAAACAATTTCTGAACTGTTTGAATCTCACTTATGAAGGAACATCCAATTTTTGTGATACATGTTTGTCCAAAAAATCCCCACAAATCAAATGACATTTTTGCTTCTGTCCATTTGCCAAAAATTCAGTAGATACAAGTATTATATCATGGAGAAGATTATATTACATCTTCTCACTATTTAAAATGAGGAGCCTAAAAGGTATAACTGAAAGAGGTGATAAGTACACAAATATGGTTGAGTTAGGTCAAAACTTTCAAATTCTCTTTACTCATATTATTGGTTTTCATTTCAAATATTGTTTTTTACTTTATTCATTTAATGAAGAAAATTTTGAATGTTCATAAGCTATTGTTTTTTATTAATTTATCAAATTTCTACACCACCCTCTCAGTTAGGTGACTCTAGGTGGTTTACATACAATAATATAGAATAATATAAAAATGTGATTAAAAACAGAGTTAAAAACAAGATTAAATTTTAGAAGTTAAAAGTAAAAACTCAAACTTAAGAAATTAACAAAACTAATAGGTTAATAAGGTGGAGAGAGTACCCTCAGCTCATCAGCCATCTCCAGGGTTGAATAATAGGTCTTAACGCTCTTCTGGAAGGTCCTAAGAGTAGAGGCTTGGGTCACCTCAGCAAATAGGATTTTTCAAAGGGTTGGGTCAATGGTAGAGAAAGATCTCTTCCTAGATCCCATCAGTCAGAATTCTTTGATGAAATCCATGGCGAGGCCCTCCCTGCCTGACTGGGTGAGATGGGTTGATGTAATTGGGAGAAATGATCACCTTTCACTACTAATTTCATACATAGTAAGGTTATATCAAGAATTCTCTTAGTCTTATACCATTGGCTGAGAACTAGATAGCATCAGAATGTTGACGTTAAAAAAAAAATGGTAGGAGCCAGGACCATGAGGCTACTCTCCTGCAGATATTTGAATTCAGTACAGTGAAAAACTATAGGAGATTATGTCAATAGCCCCATATCAGTGGAGGAAGAGAACTTGGAATTCAGAAGAGGTCAATAGAGCTCAATTTAGAGAGATATCTGGGGAAGTTAACATGGCTTTATTTATTACTCCTTAATTGCTCACATTTAATTCAAGTACAATTCACTGTTTCTGAAATAAACCCATTGTCTGTATTTCTACATATAAATGGATATTGTAGTGTCTTCCAGGCAGCTGTGCTTTATTTTAGAATACTCCATTTCATGCCCCCTCCTCTCTTACTGACATTGAATTAACTGCTTTATTTGGGTAACATATATAGCATTAGCTATAAAATGGAAAAAAAGGGTATTCAGGTTTTTTTTTTGTTTGGTTAACCTTTTTTATTCTTTCATATATTTGACTAGTGGTTTTTTATTCTTTGATATATTTTCAATTTGATTCCTGTCTGTAATCTTCAGGAAGCCACATTATTTGTATTCTTATTTCTATTTCCTAGTCTGTTATTTATAATGCATGTATCATAAAAATGTATTGAAATTCTGAAATGCAGACAATGGTTACCAAGCGACTTAAACTCTTTTGCAATTTGACATCCTGAATTCTGTAATTCATATGTATGAGTCCTTATCATGACTGAATGAACAAGGAGGGAAAAATCTGAATGCCGTAGCTGAATTTGCGAAAATATATCCAAGGATAAAAAAACTTGTGGCAGGCTTAAAGAACAAAGCTGAGGAAACCTGGAAACAGGTTTCTCTTCACAACCAGTCAACAATTTTAAATTCTATTTTTTGCAGCTCACTTATTCAACTTGGACAATTATAGTCAATCAAGCAAGTACAAGTACAGAATCTACCAAATACATCCAGATTAGAATTTCTCCTACACACTCCTATTCTTCCCTTAAGATATTAATTGTTAGTTCTTTGGTTGTTTTCCAGCCTCAGAGAAACAGTCAGTAGTTGAATGGGCAACAGGAGTTTTCAGTTGTGCATCTTGTCTTTCAAATACACTCTCTTGGATACTTTAACTCACAGTATTTTGGCACTTGGCTGACATGCCTTTGTTTTGTGAATCTTTTAAATTAAGATTTCAGCTAAAGTGGTGCTGAATATATTTCTTCGCCTCCACCCTTCTTTGTGAAATGAATCCCTCTTTGAAACAGTAGAGAAATTCTTCATAGGATTGTTTTTTTAAAGCTCATTTTCAAAACCTTGTCTTTAAATAGTTTCTGTAATAGTTATGTCTAAAGTTAAAAGTGTAGTTAAAAAAAATCTTTGTTTTTTTAATGTTCTTGTTTAGCACAGGTGTTGTTTCAAGGTCATCACACTTCTGATTTTTTCTGTATTATTGTAATATCTTCCTTCACCATTAGGTGTCCTCATTAGTTATAGTGTCTCTATCCAGTAGTAAAACTTTTATTTAAAATGCTCTTTCACAACAAAGTAAAAAAATCTTCCCAAATCAAAAATATTAGCCAACAACAGATTATCATTTTTTTTCTTTTCAATCAGTCTCGAATCTTTTCTGCATATTTTTATATTCCTCAATTTTGTTCCCCCATTCCAGATTTCTCACCACTTTTAACTCCCTTCTTCCCAAGTCTTCTTGGGGTTTTTTACTTTTAAAAGTTATCCAATTCAGGGAATTATATGTTAAAAGTCCATAGGGAAGAGAAATAAAGAAGAATCTCACCCAGATCAAACACGTTGTTGACAGTCAGCTGTTCAGTGGCACTGCCACAGCTCTTCACTTCTTCCCCGGCTGTCTGTGGCTTGGGCTGTCTGCGTACTTACCGGCAGCCATTCTCTCGCCTGTTTAAAGAGTTTCCTCAGTCCGTTTGGGCCAACCGCCATTGGCTCCGAACTCCAGGGTTTCCCTTTCTCCTCGTTGCGTCTCCAGGGCAACTTTCTGACCTCTTTGGGTCTCCAGACAAAGCAAAATGGAACTAGGAAACCGAAGCTCCGGTTTCTTTCATCCGTGTCGCCATGATACCCGGGGTGAACTCCCTGTCCAGTCTCTTCTTAACAGCCTCCACTGATGGAGCACTCACAACTTCTAAAGGCAAACTGTTTCAGTGATTTCACTGTTAGGAAATTTCTTCTTAGTTCTAAGTTGCTTCTCTCCTTGGTTAGTTTCCATCCATTGTTTTTTTGTCTTGCCTTCTGGTGCTTTGGAAAATAGGTTGGCCCCCTCATCTTTGTGATTTAGACTTTACTCTTAAAAAGTAAATGATGAATATATTGAATTAAATAGGATTGATTTCTGAAAGTGTTTGTTTTATCTACTCCAGGGAGCATAGTACTTTTCTCAACCAATTTTAAATGCATTTCACAACAGATTCAAAGAAGAATTTTGGTATAAACCTGATCAGTAGAAACATCTGAAAATAAGTCAGTTTGACAAGTCTGCTGAGTAACAGGACTCCATTCAGACCTTTGTTCACCGGATTCCTGTGACATTCAGAATATTAACATGTTTAGCTAATGTATTATTTCCTTTAATTCTGTATAATGCATTACTATTTTTCTTTTTTAAAAAAAGGTTGTCATTAAAAAGAAGCCTACAGGGAAGCAAAAGGGAAAGCAAAAAAAAAATAATAATAATGGATGAAATACAATATTTACAAATGAACATCAGAAGTACAAAGCTTATACAATTAATGCTCAGTATATCTTCAATTAGAAATTAATCATTAAATTTATTAAATTAGATATAAGAATATTAAACTGTTTTAAATATATATATATAAGTGAGAATTTACAGTTCTGAGCTAAGCACTCTTCAGATCTTATAAATCTTTCTTCTTCTAGAACTACCCATTATTTATCACTAATAATATGAACAATGCCTCGTTATTGGAAACAGGGTGAAAAAGGTCCTCAGGGACCAGCTGGGCGTGATGGAATACAGGGGCCTGTGGGTCTTCCTGGCCCTGCAGGACCAGCTGGTTCTCCTGGAGAAGATGGTGACAAGGTCAGTTGATTATCATTCTGTACTTCTTTTAATATTTACTCCAACAACTTCCTTGAACTGGTGCCTTCTAAAAGTCTAATTGCACCAAAGCTAAGCAATGGAGAGATGACGCATGGAAGAAGATAATTTAACCTTTGTTACAAAATATGTTTGCTGACAGCTGTTCCCTTTCTCATGTATTTCTACCTTATTAATATTCTTTGCAGTTGTTTTGGAAAGACTAATAGGAAGTCCAGCTGGATAGTCCTTCCTAGCTGCAACTTACCTAATGCATATACATTAGCAGCTACTTCTTTATTCATTGGCAAACTTTCAGTAATAGTACCACATGTTACATAGATGAAAGCTTAATTATATTACTATTCAGACATTATGTTTCAGATCCCTTCCATATATGGGGATTTGCAGATACATGGGACTTTCCTTGTTGTCACAACATCTTGGGATTTCTGTGCAGTTTTAGAAGTTAAATGAACAATCTATTGGCTCAGCTTTTGCTGCAAAAGAAACATATTGAAGATTTGCAAACTTTCCACTAATGTTGCAAGATAGGTGCTTTCTCATCAGTAAGATCTCTTGGATTTGGGGATTTTCTATTTTTTTTTTTTTTTTCAGATTAAACCTGGCTTCCCATCCACTCCACTATCTCCCCATCCTCCATGAATATACTGAGGAATGGCTTTGCCACTTCCACTACATAGAAGCCATTCAGGGTTTTACAAAACACATGTTTCTTGTAAAAATAAAATAAAATAGAAGTACAAAGCAAGAATAGAGAGCCAATTAAATAATATCTTCTGTTTCCCCATTGTCCAGCTAAACAGGAAGCTGATTAATTTAAGGGATGGGGACAAGCACCACATAGTGGAGGTGAAAACATTGCTTATATTTGGGCAGGATGGTGATGCTGGTGGTATGGGCCTAAGATTGATAAAATAGGAGTTATATTGCTCATTTACCCATGTGTATACCTTCTCAATACGCCCCCAAATGGTGTACACTGCTTTTTAATGAACCATCATTTCTGATTTAATCAAAAAAGGGGGAAATTTAGCTTCCAGGTTTGAAACAAACCAGTTAACTTCAAAGTATGATTTATTATATCTTGTTTCAAAGCTGATCATTTTAGATGAAATGGAAATCTATTTTTAATTACTAACTTTTTCACTTATTCACAACTTAGAGTGGGGATTATGTGTACAGGGCAAGACATTTTTTGTATCTTGAGAGAGGAACCTCTGTATGGAAACTTAACAGTATTTTTATATGATGTTTTTGATAATGAAAACCTTGCACACAGACGAAAGGAGCTGTCCTTCAGTCAATCACAATTATGGTAACTTTATATTGAGGGAGACGTGAGGGTAAAACAAAGGTAGCAGTTTTGTTATTATAAAATAGAGTTAAAGTAAATTTCACTGCAACACAGCTGCACTTTGAGCTTTAGCAGCCAATATGTCACCAAAACTCTCATACCAAAATGTGATTGATCAACCCAAAATTGCCTTCCTCAGGCAATTTCAAAGGGAGAGACAATAATGTGGTGACATTTGAAGGTAGTTCAGTATTGACTACTGTTAACACAGAAATGGGTCCTTTAAAGAGAGACGTAATACCTTTCTTTTGATTACAGGGTGAAATTGGAGAACCAGGTCAAAAAGGGAGCAAAGGTGACAAGGGAGAAAATGTAAGTCTTTTCTACATCCCCCCCCCCCTTACTGCCTTTATTATATTGCTTTTTTATTGCTTGAAAAATGTATCAAAAACCAGCACGCTCAACGAGCAGAAAAAAATGTCTATTTTTTCAAGAAACACATTTCTAATTAATAAAGCAAAGAAGGGGTTTCATATTTTTTTGATAATGCTTTTTGATAATAGCTATATTTCTTCAATGTGGTCCAACTTCCACTTTCTCACCACTGTCCTTGACAGATTGAAGCTTCTTTTTCTCCATAATCCAACTTTGTTGTTGCACTTCTTCCTAAGCCTGGAAAACCCCAAAGAAAGTATGTACAGAGACACTGGGCTGCCACTCTTACAAAAGATAGTTACAAGCTAGTTCTTTTCCCCGCTTTTGAAGTACCAATAATTGACAGACTTTCTGAACTTTGGAGCTATAGATATGGATATCTCCCCAGATTATCCCTGCAACTTCTCCTATTTTAGCAAGAAATAGGATGTTGCTTGTCACATTCGTAAATACTATATGTGGAACTTTACTTAGTCTTACAAAGATAAAAGATTCCATTAAATTTTCTTCCAATTCTTAGCTTGACTTAGTTTGTTTTAGACATTTAACAGATTGTGAAAACTTTTATTTATTTTTGAAGGGCATTTTGATTGCCATAGCTAATTATTGTTATTTATATATGAGGCTCCTTTTTTTTCTCTTTATCATTTGTTTTTTATATCAATTTTATCTGTTGTCACTGTATTTCACATTGTTTTTTATGACTGCAGAGTGTTGAAATATTAGATGACAGCATACCTTATTATGTTTTTAGTTTTGCCAATCACCTTGGGCATTTTGGTGATATGTGTTAAAATAGTAGGGAGTGGATTTAAAATATTTTCTTACAATTTATTTGTTATAGAAATGATAAAGATTAGTCTGACTCCCTTGCTTTTCTATTTTCTGTATGTGCTTATTATACATTACTGTATTAATATGGAAAAATAAATGTGTTTTCCTTATTTGGAAGAATATTGCAAAAGTTAGTAACTAAAAAACTTTTTAGACAAATTTGACATAATTTAAATTCTGTTGATCTCTAGCAAAATGTTTAAAAGACTTTTTAGTAAAATAAAACTTCAAAAGGCATTATATTTATGTTTTACAAGGTTTGGAATCAAATTTTACTTGAGATTTATTAGAATATTTTTTAATAAAATTCACCTGGTTGCTACTTGCAAAGTAAAAACTGCAGGTAGCTAATTTCATTTAGTTATAGATGCTGCTTATATAATTACTGTTTTTTAGTTTTTACATTAGCATTTTTCTACATGGGTACTTTTAGCCAATCGTGTATTTGGTATAAACAATATTTCAGAATGTATATCAGTGCACATATTTTGGATGTTCTCAGTAATGGATCATTTTCATTTTTAGGGATTGTTACCAAATTATTGTCATTTTAATTGTCATTGCTCAATAAACATCATGTAAATATGAGCACATTTTAATATAATTGCAAGATGCTCTGATGCATATAAATTTAAGTCTTTTGTTTAGGTTTGCCATTCTTATAAGCATGGAAAGAATATTTTCAAGTAATATATAAGTCATAAAATAAAATCTTATTTTAAATAAATAAGATGTTCAGGCTTATTTACTGAATAGTAATATATTATTGTCATTTTACATTCCATTGTATCTATTTATCCAAGCTTGTATTAGTGATGATACCCTTTACCTATAACAATATGAACAACTTTAATTTAATTTCTGGGCCAATATTTTAAAGGTTAGGTGAAGATGCCATCATTCCCTTTCTGTCAGTCTACATTATGGATTATGTGGAAAGGGATGTCCTTGCTGAAAGACCAGTTCTTTTCAGTTCCTTCCCTCCCTTTCCTCCCAGCTGGTTGCATGACCTCTTTATACTGAATTTTAGCTTAAGCCAGTGGTGGCGAACCTGTGGCAGTTCAATCAATCAGTCAATTTCAACTTCTCACAGGAAAAAAAAAGATCTTGCAAAGTTGGAATTGATTGATTGAACTTTTTAGTCCCACCCAGTCTGCCTTTACCACCACAGCCACGCCCACCCGATGGGCCACACCCTCCAATTGGCCACACCCAGCCATTGGGCCACACACCCCCGGCACCTGGCGATGCATAAGTAGGCTTTGGGTTGCAGTTTTGGCACTCGGTCGCTAAAAGGTTCGCCATCACTGGCTTAAGCTGTTGAATTTGCTTTTCTTTTTCTTTCTTCTTGTGTAATTTATTTGATATTTTAAATCCGAGAAGAAGAAGAAGATTGTGCTTGCTCTCTGCAAACATCTTTCAGCTGAAGACAAAGATAGAAAGGCTGCAAATGAATCAGTAAATTAAAAATCTAGAACGCTAAAGCCTGTTTATTAAAAAGCAAGACTGATACATTGGGAAGATGCCCCCCCCAAGGCAACCCCAAAACATTGGTCTGCTTCAATGAATGCAATAAACCTTAAGCTCCATCTCTTCAAAGAAATATTGTAATGCAGTTGTATTTGAATAATGCAAAAAAGCCGTCCTGTAGACCCTCTATTTATCTGACTGTAGATGCTAGCATTACCCTCATTTTGTTTTCTTCCAGGGACCTCCAGGACCATCTGGTCTTCAGGGTCCCATTGGTGCTCCTGGAATAGCTGTAAGTTTCCTGTTCGTTATGAATTGCAAATGAATTCTTCAGAACTTTTTGTATTTTTTTTTTTAAATCTCACTCTTCATTGAAAAAATTTAGAAATGATTTACACAGCCTAAAACCTGGAATTTAAATCACATCTTCCAGGACTCTATGGCTACATACCTGCAGGTTTACCATAAGCGCCAGGATTAAATCAATGCATGTTCTACTTCCTTTGTTCATTAGTATGACAACGCAAAAGCAAAACACATTTTTTTGGCAAAGGTTCTTTATTGAGCACAAAAGCATCCTTTTCAATGGCTTTACATATTGTACAGGTGTTTTATGCACTGTATATAAGCCATTGCTTAATTTTGCATTCATTTAAAAATGTCTCTTTGTGGATCAGCCACAAGTCTATTATGGGTTGCATCCCTTAGGACTTTTCCAGGGTAATATCTAATCAAGAAAATTCTGTAACCATTTCAGATAACTGTGCAAGACAGCACCATTATCATGTATTAGCAATTTTTTTTTCTGAGCAAAATAAGCTGCCCTTTGCTAATAAATGGAACTTTTGATATTTCTGTGACAAGCATCCAAACCTCCTCACCATTTACTCTTGTAGAGTGTTTGTTTCCCTTGCTTGAATTTGTGGAATCATTTCCAAGAAGTGAAGTAAAGATAGCAATCTTGTACATGGTTAAGCTGCCTCAGCCAACTGAAGTCAATGAGATGTTTTCATAGCTTACAGCAGGGGTGTCAAACTGCCGGGCCACAGGCCAGTTGCATCATGCAGAGGCCGCACCCACCCCAGCTCCGGCAATATGAAAAAAATTGTGATACATCGCTACACGTCACATAATGTGGCGAGTTTGACACCGGTGGCTTACAGAGTTGTGATCAGAACCTATGGGGGGGAGTTCTTCCCCATTTTCTAGATCAATATTTTTTTACACAACTGAAAATGTTGGAGCATACTTTACATTTTGAGTCAGTTATGCCTATTTCAATTTACAGGGAAGTGATGGGGAGTCTGGTCCAAGAGGACAACAAGGGATGTTTGGACAGAAAGGCGATGAAGGTCCACGAGGCTTTCCTGGTCCTCCAGGACCTATTGGCCTTCAGGTATATTTTATTGTGTTCTCCTTCCTGCACATATTAATCTTTTTTTTTCACCTATTGTAAAGTGACCATATTTAAAAATAAAGTCTACTTTTACATAATAAACAATACAGAGTACTGATAGTAACAAACAAACACTTTAATCATCATTTCAAACCATCTTGTAAAGTGGTTAGAATTACAGATTAAGCACTAAGCTACAGATAGCAAGGTGCCTACTGAGTTCTTTAAAGACAAGGTTTGAATCACAATTATCCTCCGCTACAAAAAAATCATTACAGGTGTGGAAGGGATGGTAAACCATCTCAAAACACTGGGCCTCTTTCATCAGAACATCCACAAAAATGGGAGACAAAAGCAATCTCATCATTCAAGGGCTTTCCCAGGATTTCACTACAGGCACAGCTGCTTCATTTCAAAGCTCCAGAAGGGAATTAATGAGTCAATCTGCTGCCTAGTTTACAAAGAAATACATTCCAGTGTAAAATTGATTCAGTTCAGTGCAGCATCTGGAACACTTTTCTATTTAAGAATAAGTATTAAAATGTTTTGGATAAGAAAGGAAACATGTTTTAAAACATCAAATCTTTTTTTAAAAATGCAACAATTTAAAAGTTGCATGATAATGAAATCACCATTTTAGTAAAAGTGACTGATGAATTTAGCATTTTTAGCTGCTCCACAATGGAAATTGAGTGCAAATTTTGTCTTCAGTGTAAGTGTAATATACCTCACCTTTGTGTAAGCTTAATTTAGTGATAGATGTGTGAAGGATAACTACTCATTAATCTGAGTTTTAAACAAAAGTTGAAAATGTTCCTTTCAATCTTATTTTGCTTTGTAATGATTTCTTGTAACAGTGTTCAAAATTGTGCTAATAAAGGGTCACTGAGCAAACAAGAGTTTGCACCGAATGCATAATAACAAGAAAAAAAAAATCATGTAAGACATATCTTTCTTTTTGTTGTGAAGAATATTCCTTGATGTCAAATGTTACTGGATATATCCAAATTATCATCACGTTGTCTGATACATTTGCAATCATACATACTAGAACAGGTTTCAATAACATGAATCATTATTTTGAAGGGTTACCATTTAATAGCAGAGTTGATTCCAATCCTAGAAGTACTGTAAGCCTGTGGTAAATACTGCAACTAATTCTGTCATAAGCTTTTTGTAAATACGTTGCTGCTTTAAAAATCTTTTCATGAAATATCTGAAACTTGTTAGCTGTTCATCTGATACAATGTGATCTCCCTCTTTCTATATCTTTTATTGTGCAATCTCTCATTCTAAAAATAATAGGAAAACTCAACAGAACTTTAGTAAAACTTCCTACTTACAGGGATGTGCCAGTTTCTTAACATCTAAAGCAGGCATGTCAAACTGCCAACCCACGGGAAGGATGCATCACACTGAAACCACGTTCACCCCATTGCCGGCAATGGGGAAAAAGTCGCAATATGTTGCGCGATGTCACATGCCGTCGCAAGTTTGACATGCCTGATTTAAAGGATTCTATAGTTTAATAGCTGATATAAGTAGAACTGATCAGATAGAATTAAGGTTTCCAAGATGTGCAATGAAACCATTATTCCCAAAGCACATTATAAAATGCCATAGACATTACCTAAAAGCAAGAATAAAATAACTCAAGTATTTATTCAGTATTCTTAACTCACCTCTCTAAGGGGGTAAAACCTCTTACAGAAAGAAAATAAAAATGAATGAGAATAATAAATTGGAGTGATATAAAGAAAAGCTAAATTTTAAACAGTGTATGCCAGTGTCAAATTCTTCAGAACATAAATTAGAAGAGAGGTTTTGACAGTGGGGAAGTTTAAGTGTAAGCATATGAAGACTGTGCTTGAGAATTAATTTGAAAATAATTAGCATACTTAACCTTAGACATATCTATTCTCCCATAATTGTAATGGTACTATTGACAGACTGAAAAATTAAACTTTCACATTAATTGAGGACCTACATTTGAGATACTATAGACAGGTTTATGGCTCAATAAATCTTAATAACAAACTGCTAGATTAGCTGTTAGTTTGTGTCATGTCAGCAGATAGTAATTGATGAGATTCTAGCCTCTTCAACACAGAGCTCTTTACTTTTTCCAACAGTCACATCTGCAAGCAAGTCATTTGTAGGTAATTATTCATTCAAAGCATTGTGACCACCATTGTCCTAATTCTTAGGACATCTGTAACTTTTCTTTACTGAGTTATTTAATGCCTTAAATTCCAATTTATGTATACACCTCTCCCAGCTGTTTCCCCTTGGAAATATCTATAGGAAAAGCAAGTATGCACTTTTATTTATACTTTGATCATGCCTTTCCTATAAATAAATAGCTCAGGACAGCATACATTTCTTTTTACAGGTAGTCCTTGATTTACAACCATTCATTTGTTTGAAGTTACAACAGCATTGAAAAAGTTTTTACATGTATAGTATCCCCATGGGATCATGTGATCAAAATTCGGGCACTTGGCAACCACCATGTATTTATCATCAATTACTATTTGCGGATATGGCATACATGGTCATGTGATCACAGTTTGTAACCTTCCCAGCTGGCTTCCAACAAGCAAAGCCAATGGGGGAAGCCAGATTTGTTTAACATCTGCAGTGATTCACTTAAAACTGTGGCAAAAAAGGAAAGTAGAGCCCACTTAACTACTGTCTCATGTAGCAATGGAAATTTGGGGGTCAATTATAGTTGTAAGTGGAGGACTATTGGTATAAACAGTCTTGTAGAATACAACAATGGAAATTTGCCAAACATCATCAAGTAATGTTTATTGATATGTTTAATGTATTTGGAAGTACTCACTTACAGTACTCACTTAAAGTAAAGGCCAGAACTGATTTCAATCAGTTTCAATCTTGTTTAAACATTATTATTATTATTATTATTATTATTATTATTATTATTATTATTATTCATTAGACGTGAACCTCAGTCAACTGAACATTCAAATTGACTGGTGCTCATGGTTGACATGGGTTGCTGCCAGCACCTAGGTATTATTATTAATAATAATAATAAGAAATAATACAAACTTCTACATTGCGCATAAACAACAGATCTTGGAGCACTCAAATAAGCAAGTAACCCTTGGATCTCTGCATCTTATCTGGACCACGCCCCATGCCATGTAATCTTGATTGCAAAATAGTACTTGCATATGTAAGTCTGCTGTGCTAGATGATGTATAACATACTCTATTATTGTAGTATTTTAGAAGGTAAAACACCTAGAAGACAGTATAGAGATAAATCTAATATCCTCCAAATAAATCAGTAACTACCTATCAATTCTACATTTAGTTACATCAAAGTATTATCCTTTAGGCCAATTGTATCTGTTTACTTCAGTAGGAACCCTAAGTCCATCACCCATACTTTTTGGCATCAAGATAAACTGTAACACACACACTACTTTGAGTATGGAGCTTGATTTTTTTTTTTCTTCAGTTTTGTAAAGCAGAACTGCAAACTGCAGTCAAGTCTTTTAGTTAATGAATATCCCAGTTTTCTACCAGCAACATTTCTTCATTAAGAACTTAAGGTTTTATCTATAGTAATTTTGAAAACTGATATTACAGGTGAGATGCTGTGCCCATTTGAGTAATCTCCAGATTTCTGTTGCTTTTAACAGTATATTCAGTGAATACTTTTTGCATAAAACAAGGTTCTACATTTTGCATGATTCACCAACATTACACATTACGTCTGTTTAAAAAAAATGACACACAGTCTTGCAATGCAGGAGAATTTGTGTAAAATGTATACCAGATTTCCCCAGCCTAGTGTCCTTCTAAAAATTATGCTGGTTTAATATTCTGATAGTTATAATTTCAACATATCATGAGAATTTTTATTTGAGATGGGCGGGTACATATGTTGGGCTTCATAATCCAGTTTCCCGTTGACTATTATATTAGAAATCTGCTACAATTTCAGCCTAAAACTTAGAGCAGTGTTTCCCAAACTTGACAATTTTAAGGCATGAGGACTTCAACTCCCAGAATTCCACAGCCAGCGTTGCTGGCTGTGGAATTCTGGGAGTTGAAGTCCACATGCCTTAAAATTTTCAAGTTTGGGAAACACTGACTTAGAGCATAAACCTGTGCAGTATTCTAGTGAGCCAAGGCTTTCCAATTTTCCTTTCTCAGCATATTCTTTTAGTTCAAGCCCAATTTGTCTTTTAAATAGGAAAAGAGAATAGATTCTATTGACTTTAGCACTTGGACCTAATGTGAATAGTTTGAACTTAATTCTTGAAGTATCACTCTGAAAAACATCCTATTACAAAGCTTTGTTACATGCATTTAGTGTATATTGAGAGACTATGAGACTACCACAATAAATCCTGCAGTCAATAGAAAAGAAAGACAGCTTCTCCCAAGTGATGGAGTGTTCAAATAATCTGAAGTTCTGAATGAATTCAAGAGCAACATAGCTCATGAATGTCAGAACTCAGTGCTATGCACCAAGTGATCAACATCTATTTGCTATGTCTTTAAATAATTCATAACATCTGCCATTAAATTATCTTTAGATACTGGTAATAATTCAAGCTTTAATTGACTCTACAATTCTTCATTATTCACAATCAATGAATATATTTCATTATGCGTATTAGCATTCCTTATAGTACCTTTGTTTAAATGCCACAAAGTCTATTCAACTTCCAAATAATTGGAATGAACTGGAAAAATGATAAAGTAGGAAAAGAAAGTTTGTCTCCTATATATTAGATTAAAAATGGGCTATAAAAAGCCATTGTTATTTAAACTGCTGCCTCCTTTTCTTATTGCATATTTAGTAAGAGTGGGAACAATCTGAATTTGCCTTACTTATTAATACGAAACCACATTTTGCAATTTCTTACTGATGCCTAAACTAGACGCAATTATCCTTCTGTTTCTGTACTTCTCCCATTTATTTTCAGTGCTGTTCTTTGATTTTTGATAAATATACTTGTATTTAAGGAAAATGCTTACAAAAACATTAAGGAAATCATGCCACAATTTTTTTCGTGCTTGAAGGCAGTACTAAATTAAATGGAGAAACAAGATAGAATAAATTTATATTTGAAAAGTTTTGAGCATTTTAAAAAGCAAAAGAGAGATATCTTTGATAATTAAAGATGTTACTGAAAGCTATAATTATCATATTTGAAAGATGAATGTTTTATTGCTTGATGTAAAAAGAGTTTGTATGTGTAGAAAGATAAGGACATTATTTTAGAGATGGGGGAAAAAAGACAGACTGCCTAATATAACTTGAGCCATTAAGGTGAGTTTTTCGAATAAGAGATTTATTAAATATTAGAGTCAACAAACATTTGGCAGTATTAAAATCAGAATATATAATTGCTATATAAGTGCTTTGGCAGATTTTAAAGTCAAAATGTAAAATTATTATTTATGACTTTGGCATCTGGATTGAATATACTATTTCCATTTTCTGCAAAGTATTTGTTTTTCTCTCAAAGACAAGTACATAGCCAGTTTGGTGTAGTGGTTAAGGTGCTGGCCTAGATTCCAGGAGACTGTGAGTTCTAGTCCTACTTTAGTCATGAAAACTGTCTGGGTGACAGGTGGGTGGGTGACTTTGGGCAGTCACTCTCTCTCAGCCCAACCCACCTCACAGGGCTGTGGTAGGAAACAAAAGAAGGAGGAAGGAGCATCATAAGTGTTCACTACCTTCAGTTACATAAAGTGATACGGGTGGGATAAAAATCTAATAATAAATAAAATATGCAGAAATATCCAAACTGCTTAAAATCAAGCAGTTCGCTCCCATGAAATAAATGTGTGGGATAAGTATCAAGATAGGTGCAAGTAAGGTGTTCCCACTCTTACTAAATATGCAATAAGAAAAGGAGGCAGCAGTTTAAATAACAATGGCTTTTTATAGCCCATTCTTAATCTAATAAATAGGAGACAAACTTTCTTTTCCTATTGTATCATTGTTGTGCTTCACTTAAGAAACGTCTTGCCAATCTACCATATTGTGGCATTTCAGTGCCAGGGAAAACATTCTTCATCTCAGCCTTCTAAATAATATATATCTTTTATCGTGGAGATCATCTTTAAACAACTTTTGCTTGGATTGCCTTTTAGAATAATTCTGTTTTGTGTTTTACATTTTAATTTGCGGCATTTGTTTGTGGGTTCTTTGGGGACCACTCTCCTGAATTGGCTGTGCAAATTCAGTTATGACTAAAATGAGAAAAAAATGCAATGCATCCACACTAGAAAATTAAAACAATTTGGGGGCCTCATTCTCCCTATGATTTCATGCATTCCCTTTAGAATGTTGGAAGTAAAAATACTAAGGAAATATGGATTTCTTAAATGTTAGGTTAGGAAATGTTTTCTGCCACATACTATTATTTGAACTATTCTATAATTGATATTATGCATTTCTATTGCTCTCTCTTATCACTAGGGTCTTCCTGGCCCACCAGGTGAAAAAGGTGAAAACGGTGATGTTGGTCCAATGGTAAGCCATTGTTCTTTCTCCTCTAAACACCCCCATAAAATTGATTCATCAAAGATTGTTCATAATAGTAAGGAGCAAGTTAAACTTACTTTCCCCATTTCCTCCTGTCCTTTGGACCAGACTTATTTTTGTAATTTCGTTTGTGTTTTCTCTCTTGCAGGGTCCTCCAGGTCCCCCTGGCCCTAGAGGTCCTCAAGGTCCAAGCGGATCAGATGTAAGAAATACATGAACATCTGATGATGTCCACACACATATATAAATGTGTGTAGTTTAAGGCATCAATAACACATGACTTACCTTAAATATTCTTTTCATCCAAGGGTCCTCAAGGTCCATCAGGTTCAGCTGGCTCTGTTGGAGGAGTTGGTCAGAAGGTAAGAAAATGCAGTGAATGTTTTTAAACATTTTATACCATCATCATCATTTTAGCCATGGTCTATCCGCTGCAGGAGGAAGGCCTCTTCCACATGTTTCCAACCTATACAGTCTTTGAGCTTTCTTTTGCCAATTGGACCGGCAATACTTGCTGATGTTGTCGACGCATCTTGTTTTAGGTCTCTTTCATGGACACTTTTTATCAGGTGGGATCCATTCTATGACTGCCTTGATCCACCTGCCATCAGCTCTTCTTGTTATGTGACCAGTCCATTTCCATTTCAATTCTTTTATTCTCTTGATGATATTGTATACTTTTATTTGTTATCAAATCCATGTGCAAGACTTTCTATCTTGTCTTGTAATGCCAAGCAGATATCTTTCTATGGCTCTTTGCACCACCCGTAGCTTTTGTATTGATTGTGAGGTTAGTGTCCCTATTTCCCCAGCATATATTAGAAAAGGAAAAAAACATAAATTGTATATAAAACATTTTATACCTTATGGAATAGAAAATAAGTATAATCTCTATCTGGTGTTCTGCTGAGGCATTGGACTGCAGTGTCGATAAATCGTTGGCAGCAAAAATACATTATCTTAAAGATGATCTTTTGAATTGAGTAATGGTTACATTTTAGGGCATATGTATAAAATTGCATCTAATCAATATCTTGTTCCATAAGTGTCCATCGACTAGGGTTCGTTTTGCTGCAAGCATTAGATGTTTGTGACAAAATATATTATTATTGTAGTTGGTCTCACAATCAGTCAGATGTTTAGGTTAGATTCAACATTTTTATCCACCTTTCAAGACCTTTCCAAAGACATGGAATAGGCAGATGTTGTTTGTTTCATTGTGTTAAAGGTATCTTCATAGGATATAAATTGTTGCAATTGACTGATGGTGACTGTGTCAATGCCAATGGTATTCAAGTGGTTTTCAAATTGCACCCAAGGCACCTATTTCTATTGGTACTATCTTTGCTTTCTTTTTCACAGTTGTTCTATTTCTATTTTTCTAAATCTTTGTATTTTGTATTTTTTTAAAGCTCTTTCTCTTCTGTTATTTCCAGGTACTGCCATGTCCACTATCCAGACTTTTTGTCTTTCTTATCAATAATTGTTAAGTCTGGAGTGTTATATGGCAGGTGCCCCATTATTATTACTGCCTTTTTGTATACTATATAACCAAGAAACTACAATAGGTGCATCAGTATCAAAACTATAATTACCTTTGTTGAATTAGTATTTAAATTTCTTTGTGATCTTGTTGGGGATATAAATAATTTTTTTACGAAAAATAGTTTCTCTATAAAAACAAATTGAATATACCATTTTGTGTGGCATTACCATGGTCAGAATAAATTCGAAGAATAGGGTTAATAATTAGTAAACTGCAGATGTTATATATTAATTTAAAATTTGAATTTGTCAGATTCAGAATCTATCAAAAGATAAGTTTGGATCTTTCTTTTCCATTTTTTCTGACGGTAAAATCTTTTAAAATATAATTTAATCCCAAAATCTTTTAAAATATAATTTAAATGTTTTTTTTAAATAAAATATGGGAACTATTACATTATGATTCCCTTTTTTATTTTAAACATTCACACTCAAGAATTGGGACTTTGGAAACTGAAATTATGTATTTCAAGTTTATAGATTCTAAGAGAAATTACATCTCTTTCTATATCTACTTCTATGGGGACTACAGGAGTCCCCATGATCCTGGCATTCTGCAGGTGAATTGGGACTAAGTTTGCTAAGTTCCTAGCCGTATGGCTTTTTACAGTTGGTTAAGAATATTGAGACTTATAGAATCAACATATCCACAGGATGTCGTTGGAAAAAATACTATATACTCAAATAGGGGCTAAAATTTGGTATTATAGCAACATTACAGTACAGGCAATCTTTGACTAATGGTCACAATTGGAAGTGGAACTTCCATTGCTGTTGCCATTAAATGAGATACACCAGCTTTTATGATTTTTTGGAGGGGGTGCAGTTGTAAGCTAATGTGGCTTTCCCCATTGACTTTGCTTATCAAAAACCCACTGGGAAGGTCACAAGTGATCATGTGAACCTCCAGGACACTGCAACCATCATAAATACATACCAGTTGTCAAATGTTGATCATGTGACCATGAGGATGTGGTAAGAATTATAAGTTCAAGGACCAGTTGAAAGTCACTTTTTTCAGTGCCATTGTAAATTCAAATGGTTGGATATGAAGTATTGATGAACAGATAATAATAAATCTTTATTCATTAGCCCTTGGGCCATATCAAAGTGCAAAGTTCCAGCAACAAATTATTGCTAAAGTTTGATAAAAGCAGTTTAAAATAAAATTTGATAAAATACAGTTTAAAATAGAATTAGAGTAAAATACGACTTAAAATGAAATTGGAATAAAATAAAGTCTAAAAGGAAATTAAAATAGAGTACAGTAATTTAAAATATAGATAAAATATGATAAAATTATATCTTGGAGTCATCTTTGCAATCTACCCCAATCAGTCCCACATATGCAGATCTCAACTGAACTATTTTGTTTAAATACTGTGCTGCGTTAAATGTTATTTTCAAGTTCTGTCCGCACATAAGGTAAGTTATTTTGATATGGGGATCCCAATGAGTCATTCGTTTAGTATATTCACCAAGGTACCTGTCTCCCACCCTCTTGTACAGGCAACAATCAAATAGTATGTGAGCCAGGTCTTCCACTTCTGCAACTCTGCAAATGCAGAGACGCTCATTGTAAGGTATAGAATGGAATCTCCCATATCTGACCATTGTGTCAAGCTGTTCAAATCTCACTCACGTAAATATCTCCCTAAGGTGTTTTGGCAGTTGTAACTTCAAATAGCTGTCTACTTGAAAAGTATGTTTTTATTTACTCAGCCATTTCAAGTTACCCACCTTACTAACGATCGCTATATCATTTTGTGCTTCTATATCCTTAATTCTTTGGGCAGCTCTTTTTTTTAATTGTTCTCCTGTTACACAAGAGACAGGAAGACCACAGCTTCTTACAAAATTTGTTAGTTTGGTGATCCAGGAGATTTGTGATTGTAATTTTATTTGCTCTAGTAGACATAACTTGGGGAGTCTATCAGTCTCCATTTCATTGACTTTGCACCAGTAGTTATAAGCTCTAATTTTGGATAGAGCATGAATTGTATGAATTCCCAATTCAGCTCTAACTGCTACAGCAGATATTCTTGGATCTACACCCAGAATACATCTCAAATGCTGGGACTGTGTTTGTTCTAAGATTGTGGTTGAGTAAAGACCCCAAACTTCTGCTCCATACAAGAGCATAGTGGTAACCTTAGCTTTATATACCTTAAATAATGGCGCTAAGGACCCTAGGTAACTATGGTTCTTTAGTTTAAAGAGCAGATTCAGGCAGGCTTTTGCTCTAAATGTACTTCATTGATGATGGCAAACCCAAGATCCAGTCTTGGAAAAAGTTACGCCCAGATATACAAAAGTGTTAACCTATTCAATTGGTTCACCATCTAATTGCCACTTATGTCTCTGATGGTGTCTTCCAAACACCATTATTTTTGATTTAGTTTTACTAATGATTAGGGAGTTATCTTGACAGTAAGAGCTGAATCTTCTTAATAGCCTACATAATCCTACTTGTGAATATGGTAATAAAATCATATCATCGGCATAAAGCAAGCTGTTACAGTAAGTATTTAGGATCATCGGCATATGTACCATGGGATCCTTCATTAACTCTGGCAAGTCATTGATATATAAACTAAATAATAATGGGGCCAAGATACACCCTTGCCTTATCCCTTATGCCTTATTTGTGTGAATCCTGTTAGTCAGAGCCCCATTAACCCCATACCGCACCCTCAAACAGGTACTTGTGTAAAGGGCTTTAATCAAAGCCAGGAGTCTGGGTTCTATTTTAAGAGATGTCAGTTTACTCCATAGTATGATGTACAGATATTTCTTAGACTAACAGAACTTCACCTAATGTTATGTCATTTTACATGACTGAAAATAGTTCTGTATATAGTTCTGGAGTAATAACTAATACCTAAAAATGAAATCAGTTTTTTCTCTGCCTTTTAAACTCATAAACAAGATTTCCTGTAGACCTTTGAGAAGATTTCCAAACTATCTTTATCTTCTTGAAGTCCTTGATCTTCCGTCTCTTTTCATGTCTGAAATTTGGCATCAAAGGAAATAAGTTCTTCCTATGTTCTTTTTGGAGCATTATCTAGCTCTTTACCCTCCAGTTCAGATTTTTTCATTGTGAAATAACACTGGCCAAAAGTGCAGGTCATACAAATAAGGGATCATTATTTAATCATTGCCAGAAATGGAGACCAAAGGCCCCAGGCTTTTTCTTCAGTTTTCAAAAGAAGGTGCAGCTATTTAATGTGGGCGCCATCTTTCTTCATTTTTAAGAAAACTATAGAGTAAGTAAGTAAAGATTTTACCTTTCCCATTGCAATATATTTTTAATGCATTGCAAGATAATGATTTTACAACCTTTGTCACTTTATCTTCTTTTCCCTAGATTCCCATCCAACAAAATCTTTTTCTTGTTAGCATTATGTCAAAGGAAATGGACACATACAAACTATCCTCTTTATATTTGAATCAGCCTTTCTAGTTTTAGAAGCTATGCAGATGTTTGGGTGCTGGGTACCCAAGGCTACTACGGAATTCAAGTTTAGAAACTTGTTCAACTTTCCCAGGAATATTCCTCTCTCCATAAAAATCATACAGCAAATTTTCAATCTCTTTGTCTCCTTCCATGCTGCTGTTGAGGAAATCTCTTTTGTTTAACAGTAAAGCTTCTCTCAGGCTACATTCATCATCCCAGAGAACACAATTCATGGTCCATTGTAAACAGGGGAAAGCACACACACACACCACATTTTGGTATACTTGCTGCCAAATGGAAAGCAACATTTGATCACATTTTAAAAATGACACAAGAAGAGAATATTATCATCATCATTAGGTCCTGTGCAGAACACATTGGCAGCAAGTGTTTTCCAGCAGTTTTGATCATTTGCAGCAGCCTCTGTATCATCCCAAGGAACATTAATAACCTTAAGACCTTCCTTAAGTGTTTGGTGCCACGTTTTTTGAGACTGGCTTCATTTTCTCTTTCCTCCTCAACATAGAGCAATTTTTTGGATGCTGGTCTTTAGACATATGTAAGATATGGCCAACAAACTGCACTTGACATTCAATCACAGTTCTCGATAGGTGTTCAAAATCTGATCTTTGTAGTATCTCTTCCTTAGTGATGTGGTCCTGATAGGAGATGTGGAGGATTCTTCTCAAACAGCAGTGTTGGAAAACATTTAATCATTTCCTTTCTTCTTCCAATAATATTCTCATTTTACCAACATTAAGTAAATACAGTTCTGGGTACTATTGATACATACAAAATTAGATCTAGACATTTTTCTAGTGTTTATACAAATAACAATAATATTAGTATATAATATGTTTTCTAACCAGCTTATATTTTACTTGTATTTGCAATTAAGATCTTCTTATTAAATCAATTTGATGGTTAATGCCCTGATTTGTACCTCCATCAATAGACATAATGCTACCAAGACATGGACTTGTTCTATAGCCTGGCTACGGACTGTTATAGGCATATTATCCCGAGCATTTCTGATTTGCATAAACTTGGTCTTCTCAAAATTTATATGTAAGCCAATCTTATTGGCCTTATCATCTAAACTGGTGGTCATTTCCTGCAAATACCTCTGTGTCTCACCAAGCAATGCAAAGTCATCCACAAAATCTAAATCTGTTAAACAGGCTGTTGTCCATGGGATGCCAAAGTTAGCGTTATCCATTGCTCTGTGCATGGAGAGGAGAAACAAGAATGGTGACAGAGTGCAGAGAACAGCAACAAAGATGATTAGGGGACTAGAGGCTAAAACATATAAAGAACGGTTGCTGGAATTGGATATGGCTAGTTTAATGAAAAGAAGGACTAGGGGTGACATGATAGCAGTGTTCCAATATCTCAGGGGTTGCCACAAAGAAGAGGGGGTCAAGCTATTCTCCAAAGCACCTGAAGGCAGGACAAGAAGCAATGGATGGAAACTAACTAAAGAGAGAAGCATCCTAGAACTAAGGAGAAATTTCCTGACAGTGAGAACAATTAATCAGTGGAACAATGTGCCTCCAGAAGTTGTGAAAGCTTCAACACTGTAAGTTTTTAGAAGAAATTGGACAATCATTTGCCTGAAATGGTATAGGATTTCCTGCCTAAGCAGGGGGTTGGACTAGAAGACCTCCAAGGTCCCGTCCAACTATGTTATTCTGTTTATTGGACATATATCCCTGTCTTACTCCTGTATTGATATTAAAGAAGGTTGTGTTGCCAGATTCCACTTGTACACAGCAGCTGGAGTTATAATACAAGTTCTTAAAGATGTCGATGAAACATTCAGGAATACTACATTCACAATATTCCATAGTGATTCTCATGGAAATGATAATTTACACCTTTTGGTTCCAGAGAGGGAGGGAGAGAAGAAGGAAGGAAGGAAGGAAGGAAGGAAGGAAGGAAGGAAGGAAGGAAGGAAGGAAGGAAGGAAGGAAGGAAGGAAGGAAGGAAGGAAGGAAGGAAGGAAAAGAACAGGGCTATTGATACACAGTAGCTCACATCCATTTCTGTGGCGTAATTCAAAAGAATTATCTCCAGTTTAGAACCTAATAATAGTGTGCCCAAGATGACAGTGCCTATCTATCTATCTATCTATCTATCTATCTATCTATCTATCTATCTATCTATCTATCTATCTATCTATCTATCATCTACACAATTGTATCCACTGCAATCAGTGACTTGTAGCATACAAATGGGTAGTAGATTACATATTTATTTTATCAGCCAAGAGAAAACATGCCAAAAAATCAAGTTTTTTTCTACCTGTTTTTTTTTGCAAAGGAAAGTCATATATATTGAGCCGATTCCATATGAAGCCAAGGGAAGCTCACTGATCACTCCTCAGTTCTGACTGGGGTTTTATGAAATTCTCACTTTGGGCTCAAGAGAAGAATAAATTAACTTAAACATTTCTTTAATAGTGTATACATGTTGCCTTTTCTCAGATTGTTTATATATGTCAGACAAGCCACCTGGGTTTAATAAGGAGTTATCATCACTAATAAATGCTGCTGTTTGCTTCTGAGACCTAGAGATGAAGAGTTTGTTAGTTGTCAGCAGGTTATTTTAGTTATTGTCACTGTGTTTATGTATTAGGCTTCCCTTAGGCCGAATACCTAACATAATTTCTAACTTAAGTATTTTGAAATAGTTTCCCATTAGCATTTCCTGATTTCGCAAGGATTTGCTTGTTTTTTTTTTAAGGTTGAAGAGTTCATTAATAGATATACAGTAGCAGTTGTCCTTTAACAAGAAAGAGAAGAGTCACTATATAATGTATTTCTTCTACCTTGAATATTCATAGGGTGAGCCTGGAGAAGCTGGTAACCCTGGGCCTCCTGGAGAAGGTGGCACAACTGTAAGTATATACTTTTTCTTCCAGTAAGATTTGTAGAAGTGATTCTACTATAACTTCTCTATACTACTTTGAAATAGTAACATTCTGTGTTTCATTCTGCCAAAATGTACAGATAATTTCTTCATTACAGTCTTAAATTTACCAGGAAAGGTTACTTATTAAAATTCGTGTTTCAGCACAGAGATTCTTAGTGATGAAATGAGTTCTATTTACCACTTGATCTACACAGCAAAAATCTTAAGCGGACTTTTTTTATTTCAAGATCATTTCAAGTATCAAGGTCTGTTGGTCAATTTGTGTGATATCTGCCTGTCTTTTCTACCTATTTTTTCTGACTCATATCACCTCTGAGCCTGTATTACATTGATCTTGAGAACTGGCATTCTTGAATGATTTGCCATCGTAATCTTGGCTTTTTTTGCCCACTCCCTTATTCCAGTTATTTGAACAGGCTTTTCAATCATTTCTAACTTTTGACTTACAGCTCTAAATTTATGTTTCATCATCATTTTCCACACAGTGACACTCATATTTTAGAGAACTTCATAGGAGACACCTGTGTGTGTGGGCCCGTTCTTCCTGAGGTAGCAGTTTTCAATAATCATGGAACAGGACTTTTAAATACTTCTCTATACTGACTATGTTCAGAAAATCTTTTCACTCAATAATATATCATGAAGAATTCTACTATTAATTTCAATTAATTTCACAATGTCAAAAAGATGTTGAGACTCTAGAAAGAGGGCAGAGAAAACAAAAAGATGATCAGGGGACTGAAGGATAAAACATATAAGGAACAGTTGCTGGAATTGGGTATGTCTAGTTTAATGAAGAGAAGGACGAGGGGGGACATGATAGCAGTGTTCCAATATCTCAGGGGCTGCCACAAAGAAGAGGGAGTCAAGCTATTCTCCAAAGCGCCTGAAGGCAGGACAAGAAGCAATGGATGGAAACTAATCAAAGAAAGAAGCAACCTAGAACTAAAGAGAAATTTCCTGAGTTAGAACAATTAACCAGTGGAACAACCTGCCTCCAGAAGTTGTGGGTGCTCCAACACTGGAAGTTTTTAAGAAAAGACTGGACATCCATCTGTCTGAAATGGTATAGGGTTTCCTGCCTAAGCAGGGGGTTGGACTAGAAGACCTCCAAGGTCCCTTCCTACTACTACTACTACTACTACTACTACTACTACTACTACTATTTTTATTTTTATTTATTTAACAATCATTTGCACTTCAGTTCATTTTCAAACCTCTCCAGAAATGGATTCTAACAGGTGCTGTTGGAAAACTTTGGAGTGCTTTCTTCATTTCTCTATCCCAAATATATTGCTTCAAGAAATGCTTCCAATAAAAACATGTCTGAGATTGTTATAGATGGGGGTTTTTTGGGGGGTTGCTCCTTACTTACTTGTTTTATGCAATCTATATATATCGGTTAAAAGCTCTTCTTTTTTGCAGGGTCCAAAAGGTGAAAGAGGTGAGAAAGGTGAAGCTGGGCCATCTGGAGCAGCAGGGCCTCCTGGACTGAAAGGACCTCCAGGTGATGATGGTCCAAAGGGAAATCCAGTGAGTGAAGATTACTAATTTTTAAAAAAATATATATTAAGATTTAATAATAAGTGTAATTGGGCCCTATTTAATTTCTTAACTGTATTTTCTCAACTCTATAAAACAGTTCTGAGTGCTGTCAGAAAGACCTGCTGTATACAGAGCTGCTGTATCAGTGATAATGGGTGGCACAGAAATTTAACAAATCAGTCAATAAAAATAATTTCCTAAATTTCTTAATATTGGTCACTCTTGTTGGATTTAGGGAAGTTGTATTCCAAAATACCTTGTGAGCATCAAATGAACTATTTTTGTTTCAGAGGCTGTATCTTTCCACAACCTATGTATCAATAAAAATGTTATTTGCAGTTACTTTTTTCCTGATGCTCATTAGTTTTACCTTGGTTTTTTTTTATTTCTGTAGGGTCCTGTTGGGTTCCCCGGTGATCCTGGACCCCCTGGAGAACCTGGTCCAGCTGTAAGTATTTTGAAAATAAAATTGCTTTACTAGGTGAAGTGAAAAACTCACTGGCTTCAGTTGATATTGGATTCTGAGATTCTGATTCTGAGAATTTACTTTGTTGCATCTCTTTGTTCTGATCAAAACACTGCTTTGTGGGGTCTGAAACTGAAAATATTTTTCCTCTGCTCCTTTCCAGGATTTAGTGTAACGCTTGTCTAAATATTATTTTCATATCAACCTGTACAGTGAGCGAGGCACAGAAACTTTCTTGATAGCAGCTTGTGATTGTACTTGGCTTAGTGGAAAATTGAACCTTGATCTCCTTGCTGCAGTACAATATCCTGATTATTACGTTGAACTGGATTTTTCAGAAAGTTATCAAGTATAAAAACATTGCAGTTCTACAACTAAAGCTAAGCAGAAGTTGCTATGAGAGGCTCTCTTGGATAATAAGCAAATCACTGAGATATTTAGGCAAACATAGGATACTATATAGAATTAATATTGCGGTCTGTCATAGTTCTTAATATATGTTCTTTCTGAGTAGAACATACAATTCAAGTAGGATATATTATGTGAATGTTATTTTCTTTCATCCCTTTTCCTTCCTTCCTTCCTTCCTTCCTTCCTTCCTTCCTTCCTTCCTTCCTTCCTTCCTTCCTTCCCTTCTTTCTTTCTTTCTTTCTTTCTTTCTTTCTTTCTTTCTTTCTTTCTTTCTTTCTTTCTTTCTTTCTTTCTACCTCCCTAGGGAACTGACGGCACAGGAGGGGAAAAAGGTGATGATGGCGATCCAGGCCAATCTGTAAGTAATATCTTTGCAAGAATAATTCTGTTGACTGTGTTGTATTAATTGATTATATTATAATAATTGAGGATGACACCAATTATATTCCAATCTCATCAGGATTGTGTGGAGAAAACTGAAAGTTCCTCTCTGGAACAACTCGCATTCAACTCATTTCTATTTATTTTATTTTTTTCTATTTATCCATGGGAAAAATGGATAAATACAGGTAGTTCTCAACTTATGATCAAAATTGGAGTGGAACTTCCATCACTAAGTGATGCAGTCATTAAGTGTGTCATCACGTGACTGTTTCCAACTTGACAACCTTTTTTGCCAGCGTCATTAAACAAATCTGCTTCCCCCATTGATTTTGCTGGTCAGAAGCTGCTGGAAGGTCACAAATGGTGACCATGTGACCCCAGGATGGTGTGACTGTGCTAAATGCGTGCCAGTTGCAAATCACATACTGTGACAAGGACTGATTGCAAGTCACTTTTTTTCAGCACCATCATGACTTTTGAACAGTCATTAAACAAATGGTTGTAACTCAAGGACCTCCTATAAGCATTTGAGTGAGAAGTTGCCATTAATACAACTTCCTATAGTTTCTTAAGTGAAGTCCCTTCATACTTCTGAACAAGTCAAATCCACATGCCTATATTTTCCTAGTATACACTGCTGGTTTTCTTATCCAGTATCAGTCGATGACACATGTCTTGGTTGCTAAGTAAGTATCTATACAATCATTGCATAGGATCTTTTGGTAATCACATTTGAAAGTGGGTAATTTGGATATTTTTATGATTTCAGGGGCCGCCAGGTCCTTCTGGTGAGGCAGGTCCCCCTGGCCCTCCTGGAAAGAGAGTAAGTCCTATTTCTTTATACATGATTTTTTTTTTGGTTAGTTATTGCCATTGTTATTTTTTGTTTAGATATAGTGGATAGGTGGAACAATTTAGGTGGACTCTATCATTTGTATTGACCCAAGGGTTCATTAATATGTGGGAAAACTCTTTTAAGAGTTTTCACCATCTGTTACTAAGATTCTTCTGTCTGCCAGATAGCCATGCATTTAGTATACTAAATTTCATCTGACTTGTAACAGTATGCACAATTTATTTCACACTTCACCACATTGCTTCCCAACACAAGCAGAGGTGCTGAAGGAATTATTTTTTTTTGTCTGAAAATCTGGCAACTTTCACGTTTATACACATAATTCAGCTATTCAGCTTTCTTGCCATATTTTGCACTTCTTTGAGCAATTTGACAATTTAAATCTATCCGAATCTTAATCTAAATGTATGAAACACATATTTTGAGCATTGTTTTTGACAATGTAGCTTGATGCAGATACAGAAGGGAATTGTGAAACCACATAAAATTGAGCTGAAGAAGAAATAAGCAGAAGGATAAATTCCTAAAGAAAGCCTGCCAGCTATCTGTAACAGGTTTTTACCTGACATCCTGAGATTCTAGAGAAATAAAACATAGATTGTCAAATACATGGCAAATTGTAACCGAACAGCTTTTGAACTTTGTTCAGCATACGGAATGCATAGCCTTAACAATCATATCTGTTTCTCTATTAGACAAAATGTATTCTATTCCATGTTCTTTCCCTCCTCCCCCAATACAGTTCCAAGAAATATATATATAGGCATTATATGCCATCAGTCATAGCAAATTAATGCAGTACAATTAGCAAATTCACGAACAGGTGTTCTGTTGTTTTATTTAGCCAGGAGAGCTTCCCCTTAGCATTTCTAATGTAATGATTGTAAAGAAAACCAACTTGATCTAGGTGCGCTTTTGTGGAAAACGGTCTTACATTTGATATACTTTCAAAGGCCCAGATTATGGAGTACTAAATTATGTGCTGCTTTGTGTTATTTCCTTACATTTACTACAAACATAGGGTTGTGATGAATTTTGAAAATGTGTGGTTTCATGCTTACTAAAATTGGGCATTCATAGGGGGAAAAGGTACTTTGGAGAGCCTCTTGGTATCCATTGGCCTCTGTCACAGCAACTGCCCTTAACTGAAGTTCATCAGCAGGGGGGATTATAAACAATCATTCTATGTTAGAACAGTATCAACAGTACTTTGAAAAGTAATTTGTTTCAGTCTAATATATATGGAGATTAATTTTATATTTTAGGAGACCCTAGTGTAAATGAATGATTATTTAACTCCTCCTGCTCCATCCCCCCCCCCCCAGATCTGAGATACTGAAAAAAAGAAAAAGAAAAAAAAAGGCAGTTGCTTGTTAAGGCAATAGGCTTTGATCCATTTAATTAATATATTAATCAACAGAAACTTTTGCTGATTTATCTATGTGTAAAATTCTAATAAGACAAGTTTTAATCAGCAGGGTTATGGCATTAGGGCATGCTCTCCTTTTTTAAGCATTGTTTGGTTCTGGTGTTTTGCCAACCCAGTGTAACAATTAAAATCTAATAAATGATGCCTCTTTCTCCTACACTGAGAATAGTTTTCATTTGCTTGTCTCATAAATTATCGTACTTCTGCACCATGTGATGCTCAAGGGCCTCCTGATGGGAAAATGAACTTAGCTGGTGCCCTCAGCATCTGCCTTCTTTGTATAATGCTTGAGCATGCCTGATTATGCCAAATGTTAATTGCACACAGTGCAGGTTAATTTCACCAAGCATGTTATTGGGACACTTGTCCAATCATTTTGCCATGGTCACTGAGTAGCTGATTCCCCTCATTGACCACTTCATGGCTTTTATATATTTCCAAATCTATGGTCCACTGAAAGGTAATGATACACCAGAAACTACCAGGTCTCTTACCAACATTCTTAATGCAAAGAAGACAGTTGAGATGCCACAATATTTTATTATGTCCAGAAGTGATAATACATGACCTCTTATGTTTTATCTGCCAGCTTTGTCTTTTTGTGTCTGTCGAGATTCCCAGAGGCAATACACATTGAAAGTAATATCCTTCATTTAAATCAAAGAGTGCTTTGCTTTGATGAAGCTTCAAAGTATCTCCTTGAAGCATCTTCACTATGCAACAATGGTCATCTTACTTCAAAAACTTTTTAAAACCTAATGATATCGTTTCAGTCTGGCCTGCTTGTGTTCTCCTCTGCCTTCTCCTCAGAGGAACTCACTTTCTGGGAGAAAGATAAGTGAAACCTTTTCAACAAACTTAAAGGTGCTTTTTCAAAAGGCAGCTGAATTTTCTTTGTTTTTCCTTGAAGACGTTTTCACTTCTCATCCAAAAAGCTTCATCAGTTGATGAACTGATCAACTGGGATGATGAACTGATGAAACTTTTTGAACGAGAAGCAAAACATCTTCAAGAAAAAACAAAGAAAGTCCAGTTGCTTTTTGAAAAAGCACCTTTGAAACAACCATGACCTGGCTGAGAATCTCCATAGATTTTCCAACAGGTATTGCAGGAGAAAACCAAGAGGAAAGGAACGATCACAGCCTAATCCAGACTCCCCTCAGTATACAATAAAACTCTTCCAATTTAGGCAATTTCAGCAAAGGCTACAGGCAATCACTTCTTCAGACAATGCTTTTGGAGAAGGCACAGAGAAGCTTCAATAGTTCAACAGTATTGGCCTTAGGTGTTTCAAGGTCACGGAAACAGCTTTGTTGAGGTGAATCCAGCTGTCTTCCTTGTTTCAGCAAACAAATCAGAATGCTTCTACAGCCTGCAACCACTTCATTGAAGTGAATCTTTGTTGTTTCATATAGACGTAAATGTTACTGCACTGGTGATTTAAAGCATTACACAGCTATTACTGCAACAATAGAAAGTGTGATTTCTTTAATGATATATTGCCACAACAATGGCTGGATGACATTATAAATTGCTAGTGGGACAATGATCATGGATGCATGGTAATTGTTACTATGGAGCACAAAACTTAATTAATTACAAGAACAATAAGCGGGAGAGTACGTACAAGAAGAGAACACTTTTAAAGGGCCATTAAGAGAAGCACATTATCTTTCTACTGAAAAAATCTTGAGGAAAGCCACAAATCTTTAGGTGAAAAAAGCAGGAGGAATAAACATTTGTGTAATTTACCATTGCTTCCTGATTTTTCAAAGCACAAGCTGTAATTAAAAGCTTTAAAGCGGGTCAAGATATTACATTAAGTTTAGATTCTACTTAGATTCTCTTTTTGGAGGGTCTGTTGGAACTTTGAATAGTCTCTAACTCAACCCCCAATCTCCGGGCTGCCCAAGCAGCAATCTTGCATTCATGCGCAGCTGTATTTGCATAGCGGTGGATGTTCACGCTCACACATGAAGCTCCAATTGCACAGGTGCTAGGTGCTTGTGCTTACGTATGAAGCTCCATTTATGTGAACGGCAGGCACGCAAACTCATGTGTGTACCTGCCACGGACCCATCCCCTCTGTCTCAGAAAGATTGGGGATTGCTGCTCTAAGTGACCTGTCCTAAGTCGAGAATGGATCTGCAATGTCATTATACTGCATATGATGTCATTGTGGGTTCAACCAGATGCCTATTGAGATCCCAATCAAGGAGGAAGGAGATTGCCCCTTTGGCCTATTTTGCATGTAATGAAGTACAATTTAATCAGTTCAGCTTAGAGTAATCTGAAAGAAAAAGAAAGTGTTTCCCTGCACATGAGTGTGTGGTTTAGATGACACATTAATCTACAACATATTGTTTTCAATGGAATTTATCCTAAAGTCAGCTCATGATATAAGATGAAATAAAGTTTAGTACCAAATATAAAGTAATGTCTTCAGAAAATAATGTTTCAGGAACACCCTAAAAGTTGATAGGCCTGCAGTTATCCTACTATCATTAGTGTTTTTGAAGAATAATGGATACACATCCTGAATAATCTCTGCAGGCATGTGAACATCTAAGCCTTATTTGTCAGGCAATTAGTTGATTTTTAACAGTTTTTTTTTAAACATACAGCAGCATTAAATGTAAGCTGTAATCTATTTAGCAAAATGAGATAAACCATTCTGTATAATGGGCTTGAGTGAACTGACATGCTTAATTAGTTTTATCTATTTTACACAATAATCTATTTGTTCCACCAATTTACTGAACATTTATAATGCTGGAAACAATTACAGTGGCATTAGTAGTCTTTTCAGCAGAATTGGAATAAGACTCACTTGAAGATTTAACAGTGACTACGTTTACTACAGTTCAGCCAAAACATTTCTTTTCCAGTATGTTTTTGTTAGATCCAAGTCTAAGACAATAAAAGGAAGTATGCAACATTTACTTATTCTTTTTAAAGACATCACGAAGCTACGTTTCTTATTGTTTTTGTGGAGCGATTGGGATTAAGGTCAGGAGGAACTCTTGAGCCATTTGAGCAAAGGAGCTTTGCAATGCTTAGCGATGCTTCATCAATTCAAGTAACTTTTTCATTGTCAGTAAAACCCATCCAATGCCTTCATCTCCCATTCCATGTCCAGAAGCCAAGTAAGCTAACTGAATTTTAGGCACTTTCAGTAAGCCTCAGTTACTGCCTCCAAATAATCCTCAACACTCACAATTGTCCATCACTGGCATGGGATTGCCCCAATTAGCCATTGCAAAAAGTCCAGAGACACGGTGTTTGTTGATCAATGAAAGAACATTGAATACCCAAATCTCATAGAACTTTCAGTGCTTGATAGATAAAACATCCAAGCTATGTAAATAAATGAAAAAAAAGATACCGTCAGGCTCCTACAGCAGTGCAAGATTCATAGAGTTTCATTAATGCCAGGAAAAAGCAATAAAGTTACAAAAACTTGGAAACTAAATAAATATAGCCCATTCAGTCATTTATTGGGGAGTGTTTAAGACACCTGTGAGTTGATTGATCTTCT